TAGCTTTTTCAAAGGTTTGTACGCGCATGCGACCTCTATTAACAATATGATCCTTTCAGCCGATCAACCGAGCAAAAAGGCAGACCTGCCCCTATAAGTTTTTTTTTTACAAAATAAAGGAAGAAGAACAATTAAAATTAAAATTTTATTTCTATCAACCTAGAAAGATGGAGTAGTTGCTAATTAATATATATTTTTTGATTGATATTTTTTTTAATATATATATTTTTTTTTAATATATTTTTTGATTTATATATTTTTTAATATATATATTTTTTTAAATATATTTTTTGTTTGATATTTTTTACTGTATAATTTATTTAAAATAGAATGGATTTCTGAAATATTTGAAATTATTAATTTTTTTTAACAATTTTGTCACATAATATCTATAAGAGAACTGCAGAGGTATACTATTTGCACGGCCGGATGATTTATTTTTAATTTTTCTGCCCTGCCCGGATTTTATTAAAATATATTACATTTATTTTTAATTTTTATTGATAATAATGGCTATTTAAAAAAATTGTTTTTAAAATAAACGGGAAATAAAACAATTATAGATAAAAAAATTAAAATACCGGGCTTAGGGTCAGGTTAGGCCTGCAGGTCTCTGACATTTATAAAAATATAGGTAATATTTTAAATATAAAAAAAAATCATCTCAAAGAATATTCCAGATAAAACTTGAAATTCTTATAAACGTCAACTGTGGTTTAGATAATTCCATCCTAAAGTTTTCTGTGGATTAAAATCCATCAACGGAGTCATTATCTAGAATTTTCGCCCACTTCTTTTTCCTTAATGTAGAATTCTTCTATGTTATTTTCCCCCAAGGTGATCGTAGATATACAGATAAATAAATATTTTTGAACATACAAATTTCCATGAAAAATATTTAATTATCTTTAAATTTTTTTTTGCCTACAAATCATGAATTTAAAATCTTCGGCATCTGATGTTCGATATACATTTCCATATTACCTTAATTTTTGTCAAATTAAAACACTGTAAACAAAATATTATACTTATTAAAAATAATATTTACCCTGTAAGGTCGCACTACCCTAAATAAAGATGAAATTTTTTAAAATTAAATTAGGTTGTATTCAAAACATAAATATACAATCCAAAACTTTCAAATATCGAAATAAAGGAAATAAGCAGGGATCCAACCCGAACCTGAACAAAACAGTTAAACCGATATTAATCTGTATTTTTATCGAACCTGAACCGAACTTATACCATTATATAATTTTCTACCCAAACCTGAACCGAACCGCTAAAATGCCTGTGAACCCTTTCGAGCCTCATGATTTTGTGCTTATAAAATTATGTGAAAGTTATTATTAGTATATTGATAAAATTTTAATTTTATATGTCCTGGGTCGACTTAATTTTTATATTTAATTGCTTTTTAGTCTAGGATAAAAAACTTTTGAACTAAAACACCCTAATTTAATTTATTTTAAATATTTAGTGGCATTGTTATTTTTTGTATTTTATTCTCGTTTTTTTTTGTTTTTTCTTATTTAAATTTCATCTTTTGTATTATTGGCTGTTTAGTATTAAGCCTTAGGAAACTGCCATAATGCTTAGAAATAATCGAATCTAATATATAAATTATTTGCCTATACTATTATAAATAACATATCAAAATAAGGGGAAGCAAATCTTGAGCATCACATAAAATGAAACGCCCTCTTGGATTCAATAAATTTTACAAAATATCCCACAAATGAAATATATAAATCGAATGTAGTTTTATATACAAAAGTGTTCATACCGGTTTTTAGAGGTTCGACTGAACCTATTTACTAATCGAACTTGAACCTTGAACCGTTATTTTTATCCGAAACTAAAACTAAACCGATGCGATATTTGTTACGGTTCGAGTCTGTGGAAATAATCTCTTTCTTTTAGAAAAATTAAAAATATGGTCAAAACAAATTTGTAATGAATTCAAAAATTTTATATTTGATTTCCTTAAAATAAAAATAACTTTCCAAATTTTTGAATTAAGTTTTGAGCGCTAGGTATAAAAATTAATTGTCACAATCTTGAATTGCATATGATCCAAGTTTTCTTAAATTTTTATAATGACAAAATTATAAATAAAATATAAATTTTTAGTAATTATGTGGTGAGAGTAGTAGAGACCTACCACTCTAAAAAATAAAAAAATCCATTTAAGTCACATTTTACAAGAGTAATATCTTTACCAAGTAACACTTTATCTTTAACAAAAGCTCGTTACTATGGAAAAAGATCTCATAATTTTCCCCCTAATTTCATTATTCATAGGTTATTTAGGATATTCCTATGGAAGGAGATTTTAAAAAGTTTTGTGGGGATGGGATAGCTCTTATGCATAATCAGATACAGTCTGTAGTTAGAATTATTTAGATGAGGACAAATAAAAGCCATCTCGAACAGGTGCAATTTGGCCTCATGAGATCATTTAGTGGCCTCATTTTTATGGGGGCTTTACCCCATTCTTTCCTATTTTGCCCGACCTTCTTTCGGGTTTTCTACAAAGGTTTATTCTTATTTATTGACAACTTATATATTTTCCAAAAAATATGTTCAAAATAATGGGTTAAAAATAATATTTCAGCGATCACAGTAATGTAACTACGGAGCGGTGTCTGCCCTCTCATGAGAAATGCAATTTTGTTTAAATTTACTATACTCTTCTTTTATTGAGTTTAAAAATTATTTTTAACGAATCAAAATTAAATTGCAAATTATTTAATCGAATTTAAATATGTTAACGGGCCTAAATCAAGATAACCAACAAAATTAATTTATTGAAATGAATCATTCAAAAAACAAAATTGAAAAACAATTCTATAAATTATTCCAGAAAAATAATTAAAACAAGTAAATTCTTATTTATTCCCAAATAATATTAATTTCTTAATAATATTCTTCCAATTGTATATTTAAATTTAATTATAAAATAAATGTTATTATTTTCTGAAATAAAAATAATTTTTAGATTACCTTTGCTGATTTCCCCCCCCCCCCCCCATTTTTGGGCATAATTAAGCCATTGAATCAATATTTTAACAAAGAATAGATTAGTTGGAAAATATATATCACATTTTATTTTCAAAATTGTACATTTAATTAAATATAGAATCATAATTATCGCAAATATAGAATTATACATATATTGCAAGTTAGATTCATTCGTTTTTTTCTAATTGGATTTGGATTTATATTTCTATTTTTACCTATTTTGATTTAGATTTAATATGGTTAGTGCTTAATAATGTTGTCAAAAGCCCGATTTGGATATTGTTTAAAACGACCCGATTAAAAATTTAGCCAAAATAATATTATGCTAGCTTAAAAATTTTGTTAATTGATGGGGGTAAATTACAACAATTTCTTAAATCTCGAGTTTTACACGATATTATTATGGCTAAAATCTTAATCGGACCGTTTACAAAAATCAACCTAAGTCAGGCTTTTATACAACTATAGGGCTTAGGTATAGAGGACCCGAAACCCTAACCTAATTCTAAACGTAGCTCTAACCTATACTCCCTATACCCTAACCTATATCATAACCCTAACCCAACCCTACCGCTATCCATAACCTATAACTTAACCTATACCCTAACCTTAAACTAACTCAAACCATAGCCCTAACCTATACTTTAATCTATGCCCTAACCTATACCCTAACCCTAAGCTATACCCTAACCTTACCCTTTAGTTCTTATGCCACAAGGTTATCGCTCAGGGCCAATAAAATTTTATTTAGGAGATATTTACTTCAGCTTTTTTGTTAAAATGCTCATTAAATTTTACAATCCGGGATATCTCGAAGCAAAAATATGTTTTGAAGTAATAACTTCCATGCCATAACTCTGTAATTCCTGGTATGCTGTGTAATATTTGCAATCATAACTATATGAATAGTAAAGTGTTTTATTTTATATAAAAAAAGATTAGCATATATGAAAAGTATCAGTGACGTAGCTAGGGGAGAGGGGGTCGGGTTTGGACCCCCCCCCCCCCCAGAACTAAATTTTTTTAGATTATAAGTTTAAAAGACTCAAAAGTGACTCTATATCAAATGAATACCGTGAATATTTATAATTTTCTGGTTTTGATGTTTATGGAAGGATAATATTACTATCGAAATTATTCTGGATAGTAATATTATTAAGTCATACAACACTAATTAAAATGATCAATAATTCTAGGAATTTTATATTATAAAAAAACAAATATGATTTTTAAAGTATGGACCCCCTCTAAGGAAAATTCCTAACTACGCCACTGAGTATAGTGTTTCATTTTATTTTATATATAAAAGGATTAACATATATTGATATTATTTGTGTTTATTAATGGTATTAAAATATATGCATTATATATCTCTAAATTTCAACTGCAGCTTTCTATCTCATTTATTCCACGATGGCAAAATTCAGGACACAAACCCAAATCTTATTTTAAAAATTAGTAAACTATGATACCTTAAAATCTAAGATTCATACTAGGCTTTTATTCCTGTCATAAACTATGATTGAAGTTCTAAAATCAAATTTCTTTTGTTTTATGAGTCTAGTGTTGTTAAAACCCCAATTTGGGTTGATTTTTAAAAATATTATCAAGAATAGCCAAAGTTAACCTCGAGATTTAGTGAATAGAGGTCCAAACCATTCTGACACCTAAGAGCGAAATTTTTTAGCTTACATAATAATATTTTGGCTAAATCCTAACTGTGTTATTTAATCGACCTAAATCAGGTCTTTTAACAACCATCTTAAGCTTCTTGACTATGAAGTACGAACTCATTTCACGATTTTATAAATACACTTCTCCCTATATTATTTTTATTGATATTTATTGTATCTTTGTTTGAACAATGCTAGATCATAATTGAGTTTTCTTTCAGAATATTAGTTTTGCAATGACATTATGCCGTTGATGTTTTATTCGTTTTTCTAAATTTCTATGCCACGCTGATTTATATAATTCATATGTTTATTTAAATTTAACGCTGGATAAAAAAAGATATTTTAAAAAATATAATATAATTAATTTTTTTAACCTATCCCATGACATAGAATGCAATTATTATCAGGATAATATTTTATTTTACAATTATGGGTAATTTTTATATGAATATACTCTTTAAATTTTAAACAATTGATAAAATAAAAATTAAGACATTGGTAAATCTTTAAAGGTTATTCTGTTTTTTTTTATATAAATTTTTTATATTTATGGTAGAGAATATTATATTTGGGGGATGTTTTGGTGTGGTCCTGCAAATATTTTTACCCAGCCCATAAAATAGAGTTTTACAAGTTGATTTTGTTCTGAGCTGACCTCTAATGATTATTTTATTATGTTTCTTTTTTAAATTGAAACATAGGATGCAGTATTTAATTGCTTTGAGGTATATAACACTTGAAACCTGTCCCAGACTAAATCACCTTAAATTTTTAACTAGGTTGGTCCTATTTTTTTTTTACAGAGCTTAAGCTAAGCTGATATTTTATTGAATTTGATCAATTAATTGGAAAAGTATATTATAAAGATATAACATTTATTTATATCTTATATTTATTATAACCCTTAAAACCATAAAATGCACCCAAATCAAAATTTTTTAAAATCTGGACCAGGCCATAAAATACTCCTATTTTTTTAAATCCAGTTTTTTAAAAATCTGTACCAACCTTAAAAAATTAGCCCCTGCACAGTTTGCTGGAATTATTTAAAAAATGTCATCAGATGCTCTGCAAGCCCTCATATCTGATGTTTTTAAAAATTTTTTTGCATGAATATCTATATTATATATATACAAAAAGCGTGTAACTTAAACGATATAAATGTAGGACAATTATAGAGCCAATAATTTACACATGCTAATTAAGTTTAAGGGTATTATCAAAATATTTATTAAAATAATTACTTATCATTTTTTTGCTTTGATTTAGTTATCAAGATAGTTTTGATACCCATATTGATGGAGGATCAGGTTCAAGCTGTTTTATTGAGTAAATTAGATGTTAAAAAGAGTGATGCTTACGAAAAAGAAGAAGACATTATAAACAATTTACATCTCAAATTACAGTTAAGAATTTTTAAAATATCTGAAAATGAACATGACCTTTCTTCTGCAAAACAATCAATATATTACGGTAAAGGTGCTCATGAGGGATTAATCGTTATTAGAAAATACAAATTAAAAAGTACATTTTTTAGAAGTCTAATCTATAAATAAATATAAGATGACATATAAATTAAAAAGGACTCCTTTCTGAAAGATAGGGAAGAAAAAAAATTAAAATTAAATACATATAAGTAATTGATTTAATCAATTTTATATTAATTAGGAAAGGTATTAGTATTTAGGAATTTAATGGATTTATCTTAAATTAAAATTAAATACATATAAGTAATTAATGATTTAATCAATTTTATATTAATTAGGAAAGGTATTAGTATTTAGGAATTTAATGGATTTATCTTAATTTTTTTTTACAGGAATATTACAAGTGTAAAGTATACTTAAAATAAAACGAATCGTTATTTGATTCTAAAAATCGAATTTCAATAGTGGAAACTTTTCATTAATCGATCGAATTATAGTCTCTTCATTATTAGATCAAATCATTCTAAAATATTTGAAATTATTCTTATTATTTCTCAATATATAACATGTTCCTTGTGGAACTTTTATTATTTTTATTTTTATTATTAATCTTTTTTTTTTAAACTTTAATACTTTTGAAAATATTTTTAATAAATTTAATTTTCGAATCGAAGAATTCTTTTACTATTCGTACGAATAAGAATTGAATATAAATTATAGTTTTGTGTGGTAGAATTGTAGAAAATCTAGAGAATATAAAGGGTTATTTAGGCTTCATTTCTGATTAGCATATTGATTTTTTAAATTATTACCAATGTTTTATTCACTTGTTCTTATGTGTATAATCTTCATGTTATAAAATGTTTTATTTGTATTCATTTTTGCAACCACATAGTTCCTTGCTTACATTACTACACATTTGCGTTTATCATTGGTTTAGATTATCTCAACTTTTGTTTTTATATTTATTTATAAATAATAATCTTAATATACACAATGCCTAGAAAAAAAATTGATTAAAAATTTATTCATATTTGATTCTTTTGAATAAATCGGAAATTATTCGATTAGTATTATTACATTATTCGATTAATATTCGTTTTTGAATAGGCCTAGCCAGATTAAGAGTAATGATTTTTTCCGTCAGACGGGTTTTATTATTTATGTATTTTTCGTAAGATATCTAAACACGTCATTTATTTGTCATTACGAAAAAAATTAATGATTTCGTATATTGTTGTTAAATGGCTCAATTGGAGCCGATTTAAAAACGGCTAACTCAATTTTTTTTGCCAAAATAATATTGCAGCCTGAGATTTCGGTAATATATGTCTAAACTTTTGTGCCATTCTTGAGCAAAATAGTCAGGCTTGAATTATATTTTTCAAAATATTGAGTTAGCGCTTTATTAAGTCTAAGCTCTAATCAAGGCCATTTATCAAATTTCGTATATCGTTTAAGGCCTATTAAGAGGAGATAGATCACTAATCGCATAAATCTGGGTTCGAATTCAGAAAGGACCATATTATTTTTCTGAAACCAACTAAGTTGTTCCGTCGGGGGGGGGGGGTTGATATATACTCTTTAAATTAAAAAAAAATGGATCATATTACATTTTAGTAAAATTTGGTCGTTGTTTGGCATGTTTGGCGGGTATTATCACTAGACAAAAATAGATTAATCCAAATAACGAATCGAATAATTAAATGTTCTATTCAAATTTTATTTAAATCGATAATTTAATATTCTTATATGGTGCGAATAATAAAAGATAAAAATAATCTTAGTTAAATTTTATTAGTATAGGTATAGTGTATTAAAGTATGGTATTGATAATATTAATTTAATGTGAAAATTCAAAGATTGACGAAAATCAATCAAAAATTTCACTGATAATATTAAATAATTATTGAAATGTAAACTTCTTTTTCTCCTCTAGGTAACGGTATAATCAAAATGCCGGATATCGATTTCAGATTCAATGTATTTTTATCGCGTGCTAATGTTGGAAGCGAGACTCAAGCTATCGAATATACAAAAGTTTTCAATTTATTATATATATTTTAAAAAAATTATTAAAACATTATAAAAAAAATAAACACTGATCAAAATAATTTAAGATTGTTATGATATCAAATTCTCTATTTTCTATAAAACAAGGGAGGCCGCATTAAAAATAGATGATTTTTTAGATCCATCAACGCTACTATGTGTGTTAAATATAACAATTACTAGGCTTGGGAAATTTTAAAGAATATCAAATTTTTCAATTTAAATTTTCTTTTCTAGAAAGTTACTTTGAGGGTTTACAACCTCAAGCAAGACTTACATAGTGATTGATAATTTTTATATTTATTTTTTTTTATTCGTGTCCTATATTAAAAGATTCAAATATAAATTAAGTCAAATTTTGAGTTCAACATTTAGGTATATATATAGTAAACCCCTAATTGATACCGTTGGGAACAAGATTTTTCCCCAACTTGACAGTTGCCCAATTTATCAAGACCTTTTATACTTTAAAGTAATAAAAGGAATTTATTTCGACTCAAAATTTTGAATAAATTGGGGAATTGCCAGAATTATAAAGAGTAATTCATTATTTAACCGATTTATCGTATACCCATATCATTTATTTTGGCTTATTTATTATAGCCAATAGAATAACCTTCTAAATGTATAAATTAAACCTTTTTATTTTATTAATATATGTGCATATATTATAATCGCCACTAAAATGTTGATTTCTACTCCAAATTGTGTTAATATTTTTTTAACCCAAAAAAACAACTGGGCTTTGAAGTTCTGGAAAACGTTTCAACGTTGAGGATAAGCATCTGAGATTCACGCTCGCGCCTCAAGGCATATTTGATTTGTTTCCGCCAGCGCCCCCAGGGATGAGTCGAATTAGTTTATTTTAATTAGCGATGTATTTAAAAAGAAATTACGAATACATTAAATTTGCCGCCCTATTACGAAGTCGACTCAAACGCTATAGCGAGACTATATCCTAAATAAAGAAAATAAGTTTGACTATATAAAAATTTACGCATGGACATGAATTTAATAGATTAATTATAGTTAATCTTTTGAATAAAACTTCACTTTCCATAGTGTAGACTTAGATGTAACTCTTCCTATTAGATCTACCTAGGGTTTCTCAGAATCAAAGGGGGTGAAACCACGGTGCACAAAGGATCTTATCTTCATGGAGTTTTGAGGAACTTTTGTGATTTACGGAGTTTGTCTGGTTGTGATTATATTTATTAATCATTTTCGAATGTTAATCTAGTTACTTTTATTATTCATTTTTCGTTATATTCTTTACAAATTATCTTTTAAATATCAATTAAAATAACAGAAAACGATTTTTACTTTTATTACCACGAAAAATAAAATGTATCTATAATATTTCATATCTGCTGAAATATATATCGCCTATTATAATATCATTTTATGAATCATAATACAATTGATAAATATTAATAACAAAAAATACAAATTTTCTATCAACTTAGAATTGTAAATGTTGAAAACGACATCATATTAAAAAATTGATTTACAAAACAAAAAGAATATAATATTGTATTAAAATTTTATAGCCACATTATCACAATTTATAAATGCTTTTGGTGATATTGTCTAAAAACTAAATAGAAAACTATCGATTATTTTGTTTCTGACAGAGGTGTAGGGAAACAAAACCCTTTTCTCATTTTTTTTTGTCGTTCATCACAACACCAATTAATTACTTTATTTATAATATCGTATAACACCTGCCTGATATAAAAATTAATTTGTTTCAATGTTATATCCTTATTCATCAAATAGTCAAAATTATATATATATATATACTTAAAATACAAATTGTTCGAAAGTTTATAAAAATAAGTCGATTTTAGACATGTAACATGTCTAATTAAATAAAATATATTTTTTAAAATAATTTATATAATTAAGGTTATTTTTTATATATAATATTTTTTGAATTTAAAGTGATTTCATAATTTGACTCAGTTTGAATAAAATATTTTTGAAGGATTTAAGCCTAAGGTCTAAATTATTATTATCTTTTCGTTTTTTTATAACAGTGATTATGTTATTTTAACATGAGACATTAATTGAAATTAGTCTAATAATTGAAAGAAAGGAAGGAAAGAAAAAAAGAAAGAAATTATTTTAGCTAAATGATTCGACTTGAATTATTAAATATTATTTCCCAGCCCTAAATTAAAAAAAATTATTTTTATCGTATTACGGTCCAGCCCGCATTTTAAAAATTTGCTCATTTTAAATAATTTTGGCTTGCAAATGGTTTCAAAGGAAAATTGAATATATGATAATTTCATTGGTTAATTGTTTAATTTAAATCTTTTAAAAATAGAGCCAGATATAATTGTAATATGTATATTTTTTTTAAGCAAAATCAGAATTTTTTTAATACTATTTTAGTGGATATGAATCGGATAATTATTCTAACTATTTTATTTTTTTCAACAACACTCGATATTATTGAAAATGCCCTGCTAACTAAAAGAATTTAAAAAAATATATATCTTAGGAAAATAGGACGTTAAGCTTTTGGTTTGACGAATCGCACATATCTTCCCAAAATGCAATGTACCAATCGACCAATGTCTTTTTGCGACAATTATTTTCCCCCAACGAATTTCCTAGAGGTATATATTTTCCATTTTATAAAATTATTTTAAAAAATTTATAAAATGTTTTAATCCTTGATCTAATATCGATGTTGTATTAAACTATATGAAATCTGAACTTAAAAAGAGTTATATTTCTAAATATTTATCTTAAAAATGGGTTCTGATTTCAGTTCAGGTATTTTAAGATAGAGGCCCCGGTTTTTAAATTTGACCCAGTTTCGAGTGTTTTTCGTTTAAAATTGAAAGTATCAGCTAATACTGACCGATATTATAAATATCGCGACACCTCTAGGTTAGTTCCAGTTTTAATGAATCCTTCCAAAACAATATTTGCATAATAATAATGCGCATTTTTATTAGCACCGGTTTCAGTTCCGGTTCCTAAAAATTTAAAAAGGTTTCCGGTTCTTGATTTGAGCATGTAGTTTAAAGTTGAAAAAGAAGCTATATTTTATATATTTTTTTTTAAGAAATACATGAGAAAAACATAAATTTTGACCGATAAATAAATTATATTTAAAAAGAAAATTGATACCGTAATATTAAACGCTCTTAGAATCAGATGTTATAACTGAAAATTATTTCTATGGAGTTATTATAATAGTGCAATACCTCGTATATAAACGATTATCAAAGGATTTATGCGATCTTGTGTTTTTAACATCCTCGTATAAAACTTTTATTTTTTTTTATTTAAAAAAAATTGATTCCAAATTAGTGCCCAAATGACACACGTTTTTTTACAAACTATATAATTTTTTTAAAAAAATATTAAAAAATAAAAGTTTTATACAAGGATGTTTTAAAGCAAAAGCTCGCATATCTTTATTTTTTATACGAGGCCGTTAAAAATTATCTCCTCGCATAAATAATAATATTAATAAAATTTATACGAGGATGTTTAAAAACACAAGGTCGCTAAATAAAAATAATTTTAAAAAAGTTTTATACGAGCGTAGGTAGGACCGTTATTATTGAGTTAATTTATTATAATTCTCTTTTTCTGATTCCCTACACCCCCTTTACAAAAAAAGAAAGAACCAAAGCATTTTTGTAAAAATAATAAATGTTTTCTTCGTATATAAATGAAATTAAAATAAATAGTTATAATCAATGATTCATTTTTTTAAGTTAATATTTTTTTTTTCTTCATTAAAATCGATATTCATCATTAAAAATACTATAAGCTGCTTATTTTTTTCCTTATCTTTATATTTGTAATACCAGGTTGAAAAATTTAATAATAAATAATAAGTTTTTTTTAAAGATGAATAAAAATAGGTTAATAATTTAATATTTTTTTTCTAGTGGAAAAAAGATTCAAATTAATGCCAAATATTTTTAGTCAAATATATAAAATTTGACCAACGAGTTGACTCACTCCTGGCCTATTTCCAGAAAAGTTAGAAGCCATCTATTGACGACAACGAAGAGCTTGATGATCAAAACAAATGGGAGATTGGGAGTTGTAGTGGCAGACTAATCGAAATGATGGATATTTTTGATTCTTCATTAATTACTAGGAGGCTTGGATTAGAGCTGGGTATTTAATTCCCATTATTAATATCTCAGACTGGTTCAGGTTGGATATTTAATTACAGAGTTTGATTCGGATATGGAATTATCTACATTTAGCTCAACGGTGAAGGAAGGGTTCCTATGATAGAGAATAGCGATTGTTATTCCTTTACGACAGCTTTCATATATATGTTATTTCAATGGAATGATGTGAAGTGAATAATATAAATAAATATAAGAGCAATTCTTTAACCCTAACCTTACATTTAAAAAAGGATTCAGGTATATATAGATCCAAAGGGGTCAGGTTCTCTCTGCTTAAAATATCTTCATTATCATTGGCCCAAAAATTTAAAAAGAATCGCCACTTCCAATTTATTCAACGTTGTGTGAGTTGGGAAATCTTTATATTTGTTGTAATTGTTAAACCAAATTACAAAGCCGAAGGATATTCAAATCTACTCAAGAAAAAAGAATTCGAATGCAAATGATTTAAAGAAAGAGGAATAAAAAAGAATGATTAGATGACTATCGACACTAAGACAAAGAATGAGAGCAATAAAACAATGGTATCAATATTAATGGTCGTATTTCGGAGAATTAGTCGTTTAGCTAAAAAGAATGCTTCACAAGAGATCGTTATACGTACAAGTGATCGATGTAGCTAAAAGAATTTCGTTATAAATTTTTATTAAAGATATACGGTTGACTGTTTAAGTTGATAATATTTAGCAAAATATCAGGTTGTTGATTAACCAAAAAATCTTCATAAAGAGAAACGGCTTTTCGTCATTAGAAAATTTAGGCCGCAATCGAGCTCAATTAGAGATCGGATTTTTATTTTGGATCAAAAGATACAAGAAATCATTATCGTATAAGAGATCTTAAGGCAAGTGGATATATTGACAAGAAGACCAGGATGCTATCGTTAATCGTTGACAAATTATAGCCAATTGCTTATCAAAAATTTAGTATAAGATAAAAAATCGAACAAGAAGTCGTGGAAACCATCGTTACTCGCAGACAAATGATCGTCAGTGGTTTACCGTCATTAGTTACTAGAAACCGTTAGAAACAAGCAAAGACTAGGATAATGTGGGAGTAAAACGAGATATAATTAAAGGAGCTAGAAGAATGTATCAGGAACCATGCCTTACTCGCAGAATGGTGGGACTAATCTAAGTGGAAGGGTGTTGTAATTGTTAAACCAAATTACAAAGCCGAAGGATATTCAAATCTACTCAAGAAAAAAGAATTAAATTTCTAATGCAAATGATTTAAAGAAAGAGGAATAAAAAAGAATGATTATTCAAATTAAAGAAAGTTCAAGATTTTTTTCAGTTTGTTTGTAAAACATTATGTAAATGAATTATAAAAAAGTATATATATATTCGAGGATATTTGTATAAGACAGATCATGATTTTACGAACTTAATTATAATTTTTAATTTTAATTTTTTATTATTTTAATTTTTTTTTAATTAATTTAGTTTGATTATATTTTTAACTTATTATTTAATAAAGAGTTAGTATCATTTTATTCTAACCTTTCTTATTTAACAACGATTATAATCTTCCAATTCTTATTCTAATTTTTCAAAATGTTACAATGATGTTGGAGAGTGGAGGCGAGGCGACAGGGCAATTTCAACAATTCAGTCTAATTAACTCTCACACTAGCCTCAGCAATATAAATATCAATACCATATGGGTACAGAGGTGCCTTACAGCGATTGATCCAGGCTTTAGAAGATCAAAAGTCAGTCTAATTAACTCTGAAAAGAGATTCTAAATAAAGGGGGAAGGGGATGTATGAGATGACTATCGACACTAAGACAAAGAATGAGAGCAAAAAAACAATGGTATCAATATTAATGGTCGTATTTCGGAGAATTAGTCGTTTAGCTAAAAAGAATGCTTCACAAGAGATCGTTATACGTACAAGTGATCGATGTAGCTAAAAGAAATTCGTTATAAATTTTTATTAAAGATATATGGTTGACTGTTATTTAAGTTGATAATATTTAGCAAAATATCAGGTTGTTGATTAACCTAAAAATCTTCATAAAGAGAAACGGCTTTTCGTCATTAGAAAATTTATGCCGCAATCGAGCTCAATTAGAGATCGGATTTTTATTTTGGATCAAAAGATACAAGAAATCATTATCGTATAAGAGATCTTACGGCAAAGTGGATATATTGACAAGAAGACCAGGATGCTATCGGACAAATTATAGCCAATTGCTTATCAAAAATTTAGTATAAGATAAAAAATCGAACAAGAAGTCGTGGAAACCATCGTTACTCGCAGACAAATTATCGTCAGTGGTTTACCGTCATTAGTTACTAGAAACCGTTAGAAACAAGCAAAGACTAGGATAATGTGGGAGTAAAACGAGATATAATTAAAGGAGCTAGAAGAATGTATCGGGAACCATGCCTTACTCGCAGAATGGTGGGACTAATCTAAGTGGAATGGTGTTGTAATTGTTAAACCAAATTACAAAGCCGAAGGATATTCAAATCTACTCAAGAAAAAAGAATTAAATTTCGAATAAGTTCAAGATTTTTTCAGTTTGTTTGTAAAACATTATGTAAATGAAATATAGAAAAGTATATATATATTCGAGGATATTTGTATAAACAGAGATCATGATTTTACGAACTTAATTATAATTTTTAATTTTAATTTTTGATTATTTTAATTTTTTTTAATTTAGTTGATTATATTTTTAACTTATTATTTAATAAAGATTTAGTATCATTTTAGTTCTAACTTTTCTGATTTGACGAATATTATAGAAAAATATATATAATCGAGGATATTAGTCTGATTTAGTATCAAATTAGTTCTAACGAGGATATTAGTCTGATTTAGTATCATTTTATTTTAACCTTTCTTATTTGACAACGGTTATAATCTCTCAATCCTTTCAAAAATTTCAAAATGTTACAATATTTTATAATTTAATTTATACCTAACAATATATATTTTTTAAATATCAGTTTTACTGTCCTTTTATTAGTAGTAAAAATTTTACACTTATATCAATATTTAGTTTATTGTCTGTTCTATATTATTAGTTAACTCCGATGGCGAAGTCGCCATGGATACGCCTAAATTTTAAATTGAAACTCTTCTAACGCGATAAGCAGTTGATCCTATTTTGATAAGTTGTATTTTCAGAAGGGGGGGTGGTGATATTATTTAATATTTATATATATCTCTTTTTTCGATTTATTTCAGATTATATCGGATTTTTGATAAAGGTCATGAAGCTTATGCAGAAATCGGTAGAAATTGACACCATTCAAATTAAGTTCAAGGTTGAACCACATGCGTGCCATGAGATACCATTAAGTATGTAATTATTAAAAGTGGCAAACGATTTGATTTAGATTAATTTAAATGTATATGGTTGAGTTTTTTGTGTCTTCGTCAGTGGAAGGCTGGACAGGAATTTTATATTCTAACAAGAATTAGTGATCCTAACCATTATTTAAACTGTTTTTTCGGAATTTATTCATTTATTGGCTGTAACGATCATAAAAATTTAACCGACGAAACAAAACAAAACTGATTCTAGGGACTGGCCTGTTCGTTCTGTTTTAAATTTTGGCATACACATCAGTTTCGGATGCAGATAAGGATATTATATCGGCTTCGCGCTGCTGTTGTTCTTAATTTCTGATTCTTGCGGACTTTAAAAAAAAATTATTTACATAATTGACAATATTTCGATTTATCTAGTACATTTGAATTGTCATATTATTAGACATGTACGCGGATAGTTTTATCAACGGCAGCGTTTCTTTCTTTAAAAGATTGATTAGCGGCAGCGCATTTAATTTCACGCCAACATGAAAATCGGGGGCGACGCCGAATATATCTTTAAATATTTTAATATATTATTTAATATAATCAAAAATATATATCACGTCACCACTCGCCAAATTTTTACATCGGTGGTGGCTTGATGAGATACTTTTTTTTCTAGTGTCGGCGTGGTTAAAAATTATGGTGGCTACGGATTGTAACGCAAATGTTTATAATAATAATGTTGTTATTTTGCAATATATTCTCAATAAAAGATGACAAATCCAAGCCGGAAATCGATTCAAATTTTTTGGAAAGCAAGCTATTAGAAATAATAGAATCTGTATACCCGTCTTCAATCATGTATCCCTCTATTTTTAAGTAATAATAATACATCCTCTATCGATAGAAGAACAAATATAAATCATAATAACTTTTCTTTTAATCAATTATAATATAACCCAGTCCAGTAAAATGGTGTGTATTGTATCGGGAAATTCAAATTATTTAAGACCATAAAATATAAATACATGTTATATGTTTTATCACCCCCCCCCCCCCCCTATTATTTTCAATGGTTAAAGATGAAAAGCTAAAATTTTAAATCAATAAAGATGTTAACTTAGCAATGTTCTAAGACACACGGATATTATGTTTTTGGAAAAAAAATCACTATTTTTCTGAAAAAGGACTCTGACTAAAAAGCATATAATATAATAGAACTCTGCACGGACCTTTTTAAATTAGACCTGTCGAATTGGTCACTATTGGGTAGACTTTTTCTCATATTCGGTCAGACGGGCCCTTGATTTTTACGGACTCGAAGCTCGACAAAATTGTAAGTGGCCTATTTCTAAAATAAATTTGAATCGGGCTCCCATATTTAAAAGAATATAGAATGGGATCGGTCTGACAAATTTTTTTTAAAATTTTTCTCTGAGCCGGACCTGCAAAATAGCGTTTCTAAACTAGGGAATGATAATACAGGGATTATATTATTATTAAATTGCAACCAAAAAAAAATAGCGTATACATATTTTACTTTTTAATCATATTTTTATGTCAATATCTTTTACATGTTTGAATTTAAAATTTAATTTTATGGACATACATTAGACATGTAAATTTAAAAAGTTAATAATGCTCTACTTTTTTGAAAGTAAGTTTTTTCCAAAAAAAATTGTTAGCGATTGCCAAGTAATATTAGCGGTAGCGTTTAACAATACTGTTATTTAAGGTGAAACAATAATCAAAATCGTACCCACAACTCTATTTATCGATGTTATTAAAAAAATATCTATATTTAAACTAACCCTCTTATATTAGGCATATCAAACAAAAATATGAATATTTGGAAGACCCTTACATCATAAAAGCACTCGAGGAAAGTATCAAAAAAATTTTATTCTTATTCTCCAAGCTCAACAAAATTCGCCAGCTTGAAGATCAATCCTGGATTCGGATAAATGATTTTACTACCGTTGAAACGATAATTGATGACGTTTCATTTGACAATATAGAAGATACTATCTTGAAAAAAAGATCGACAGGTATAGTATATATAGAATTAACTGGACTATTCGAAAATGAAGTGATTGGCAATTATACTAACCTTGTTTATTTTGTATGAATATTTTTTTAGATCAAACCTTTAATCCAAACCCGTCTCTATTAACATTAACTATGTAAAATAAGCAAATAAGATTAGATGATTACCATGTTATTTTCGGGCAACTTAAGTCCAATTACAAAATGTAAAATTTGCGTGAATTTTGATAAACAAATTCAGGAAATATCATTTCGTTAGCAAAATTCTTATATAAGTTAAAATATATTGCATTTTATGTATAATCGAAATATATTCCTTATTTCAGAAATATTATGAATTTAAAAATTAACCTTATACATAAATTATAGGCTATAATTTAGTATAAAAAAGTCCTATATAATTATATTTTGAATAGTCAAAATTATTCGCAATAGAAAATATTGTATATAATAAAAGGGAAATAGAATTTTTATAAATTTTCAGAAATTTATTGGTCTTAAATTTTCGGCTATTTATTTGCCTATCAAATATAGGTTTAAAAAATAATATATTTGGACATGGAGTATACTATCTTACCTCATAATTATCAATCTCGGATATAATGCTGAATTCACAGTGGATTAATAAAGAAAATTGATCTCATTAAACGATTATATAAACTTAAGGTAAATCGCGTCGCTTCCATTGTTTTCTCATTCAACATTTTTCTATAATTTTCTTCCTATTAATTTAAAAAATTCTATAGATATTTATTTTTTTAGTTAAATTTGTAAAGTTTTCTAATTTTGTTATATTTAAGTTTTGGACACAGTCTAAATATAAATTGTATTTTTTTTTACTTGAATCGATATTCATAATTTTTCATTATTAGATTATAATAATTATAACCCGGTTATTGCCATAATAACATCGAATTATTGCGAAAAATTAGCCGTCGATGCGATGATGGAAAACGCCTTTACTTTAGTCAAGTATAAAAAACAAGGTTACATTCTATTTTAAGATATTTAGGATAATAATTAGAGACCTGCATGGGCTCTAAGCCCGGCAATATTTTATTTAAATATACAAGGGCCGGGCCTGAATTTTTTTTAAAAAAAATACCTTAGGCCTGAAATTTAAAAAAAAAATACCCAGGCCAGGCTTTATATTTTAAAACCAAATATTTTAAATCGCCATTAGCTATAAAAATAAAAAATAAATATATTTTAAAAAATCCGGGCTGGGTCGTGTAAATAGTACCTCTGCATGACTCATAATTATGCTGTTTTTAAAAAAATATTTTTCTTGACGGTACCCAAAATTTAATAAAAAAATTGATAAAATTCGAGAACAATAATTAAAATAAAGAAAATGCGATTATTTTTTTCTATCGGAATATAGTATTAACGAATCTAGGGGAAAAAAAATGGTTGCGAGAATTTTATTTTATGGTTTTTTTTCCGGGGAATTATTTTCCACTTTATATTTTTAAACTTTAAAAAATGGAAAATTTATTTTCGGGAAATTATTTCCCTGGAATTTTTTTTTAGGGAAATTATTTTCCGAGCAATTATCTTCCAGGGGAATTATTTTCTACTTACCGTCCACAACACTTATCTACTCTATATTTTTTAATTTTAGAGAAGTTTATTAAAATTTTTATTTAAATTTGTTAAAGTTCTCCAATTTTGTCTTTAAAGTCTTGGACATAGCCATAATATAACGTACATTTTTTCTTCCAAATAATTAGATGGCATTAGAAACATAATAAAAGAAATCAACTTTTCATAATAATTAATAATAACGCCTTGATAGTTAAATATTATTTGGTTTCAGAATCGGGCACAATTATGAATGTGGTAGATTTACGATCGGAAATCAATATTGTTTAAAATCAAAAAATCGTTTTTTATATTTAATTTACAATCATTTGATTATTTTAAAAAAATATATCAAATTTTTAAGGTTCTCACCATTTATACACTATCGGGGATATTGGTAATTATAAAGTAGTATCCATAAAGTTATCCACATTGGGCCAAACGAGGCACGCTATGATATCTGCCACCAATACTATAACACGATTATTAGGTTTTTCACTCTCATAATTCCTTGATAAGATCTTAATTATTTGCCATGCTCTTATTCCAGCTATTCTGTATAAATACACGAATAAAATTTTTTTGAGAATTATCGCCAAATTCTAGCTCCAACTGTAAAATATACAGAACAGCGCTCTGAAACTGATGAATAATATGGGGGTCTCCTAAAATCTTAAATGATAGAGATTAAAATTTTTAAAATGTATTTATATGGGCAGCCCTGTAAAAGTCGAAATATGCCTTGAATGATTATAAAATATGGTATTAGTTGGATTGATAAGTTTGGTCTTGACTCATTATGAAATAAATTTTTTATAGTAACGCATTTATTTATACTGCATTTACTCAAAGGTACATTTTCATCCATCAAATACATCATGTTAGTGGGAATTGGTACCGCGATAAATAAATTTCGCGATTATAGGTAAAATTTACACTTTTTACTAAATTTTATTTAATTGATTTTTTTTTAAATCATAAGAAAAAAGTTTAAATTAGGGGATATCGTTGTGTCAACCAAAAATCCTGGCTGCGATTACATATATGTTAGGTGCGATTATTCCTGGATCGAGCCAACCTCGGATACAAATAAAGAACTTAAGAGGGACCATGAATTTAATGTAAAAACATGGAAACCTACATCACCTAGTAAATAATGAAAGAAAATAATTTATGAATAATTTAAAATGCCATGTTTTATTCGTTTTGCAAGATAATTTTTTTAAAATTATTTATTATCTCTTGGAGAGTAAAATAGATATGATTAAAATTCCCACAGAAGCTAAGCCCGCATCGTTTTTTGTTCTAAATTTTATAAATTTTAATTTATTGGATTTAATAATCACTCATTCCTTTCTAATTATACCTGAATAGTAGATAAATAAATTTTCAATTTATAAAAATATATTTTTTAAATCTCAGCTCTTGTAAATATAACTTGATAAATAAAGAGTAGTGTTATGAACTCAATATATTTATAATTGCTCTTGGTTTATGCTTTTATTTTGTTATCGAATTAAGTTTATTTTATACTTTTCTGTTTAGGTTCTTTTTTGAATATTCAGTAAATTTTTGTTTTGGTAGTCTATCGATGAGTAAATTTATTGGGGGTTATCAATTAAATTTTTGGATGAAATAGGGCAAATATATTATTGCAAAAAATTATTTAATACTTATTATATAACTGTTATATTATAATATATATTGATAAACATCGACCAACTTTATGCTTTATATGAAAAATAACGACTGATTCTATCATATAATTAGTCATATTTTCAAATAAAACTTATTTCTGAATAATTTTTTGCTGTATTTTTAAATGTAATTTGAAAGGGTTAGACATTCTATCAGCAAATTCATATTTATGCCAAACAATACACTATTAATTCATTCAACGTAAATGAGAGATTCAATTCGTTTTCTAAAATATAATTCTTTCACATTCACAATTTTTTTTGATAGTTTTAATATAATATTTATAATTTAGGTTAATCTTTTTAAAATATATGAAGGGATTAACACTATAAATAAAAACTTGTAATTAAATGTGGTGGAATATTTTTAGGGGGGTAGATATAGGTTTTTAAGGGGGGGGGCGACTTACCCCTAGTGATATTTGTGTCTGGCCATGTTAATAATGGTGGAGCCGTAGTTTATATCGCATATATTTTAAAAAAAATTCAGGACTTGACAATTTGATTCATGTTATAATTGGGGAACATTTGAGAAATCCTGATTTTTGCCCATGGAATATATATCTTCAAGATGCGCTAGTTAAGCTTAAAGGTATCAATTTTTTAAAAAATCCATTTATTTTATTTTTGTTTAATTTTATTATCTATTATTTACCCTCTTTCCTAATAATTTTATTAGACCAAACCGATGTCAACTTTAACAAACCAACTACAGTTTCTTCAGAAATCCCCATATCAATAGGCGGTAACGATTTCCTATATCTAGATCCAGACACTTATATTAATAGCAACAACGAAATATCTATTCATTTGGGTGCGGTTGGATCTTTTCATACCCCGGGGTGTGATACTTTAGAAAAACTAGAAAATAACAATGCATCATTATTAGACAATATATCCTCTAAATACGGTATTCTAGCATTCGACCAAGATTTTGACCTGGTTTTAGATGCTTTAGAAGGGAATAGAGTGGAGAATTACGTGTGCGTAAGGGGGATAAATGACCATTGTGGTGGTTCAAGTGTTGGGAATAAAGGAAGTAACATGAATGCTAATGAATGGGCCCCTTATTCAGCCCTAACCGCCGCTGCCTTTATGAAGGCCGTAATAGTGAATTTAAACGTTTAAATTTTTTATTGTATGATTATTTTGAAGTGAAAATAAATAAAGTAGGAAATTATTTAAAAAAATATATATGTTATTATAATAATGAAAATTGTTGTATATTTTAATATATATTTATAAAATGAGTCATTAAATTTTTTGTGCCAATATAATAAATGAATATGTATAAGAATATTTTATAAATTATGTAAAGATCTGTTGAAGGCATTGTAAGCCGATTCAAGATCGAAAAGCATTTGTCTAACTTGATCGTGGGTTAATTCTTCGGACACGCTCATAGTGTTTAATTTTTGAAGCCTTGTATTTTTTATATATAATTTAAGTTAAGAATTATGAAAGATGTGAATGATAGATTTTCGAGTTCCGGCTTTAATTTAAATATTTTTCCTACTTCTAAGCTTGGACGGTGTTTTTTTGACAAATTTTTTCTGAATTTGTAAATCAATAGTTACAATACTCTTATTTTAAAGTTAAGTAGTACCGCTTCGTTTCAAAAAACGCTAGAGCTGCTACCTTAGAAAACTTGGGAGTGGGCATTAGCTACTTTAATTTTATTGCATAAATTTTTTAAAAATAATGGTAAACATTCGAATACATTAATACTATATGTGTTGTAGTAATTTAGCAAATTGAGTTCAATACTTTATTGACCCAGATTTTTAGCAAATTGGTAAAATATTTATAAAAGAGCGAGAAGTCTTATCTTGCCGGAATACTTGCAAGTCCTGCCTGGAACGGGGCAAAAAATAATGATTTTAAAATCGAGCTGGGCTTAAGAATTTAAAAAAAAATTAATAATCGAGGCCAGGCAGGTTCTAAAAAATATGTATTTAAAATTATCTCAATTGGAAAATATACAATAATGCTCTTATTTTTAATTTCCTTTTAAAAATTCCAAGCTGGGGTTGTGTTTACAAATGATTTCATTATTCAAATCCAGGATGGACTTGAAAATTTAGACCTCTGCAGGACTATGATAATAATTAATATAAATTGATAGTCCAATTCACGGTAAAATTGTATGAAATTTTGAGCCGGTACTCTATGCTAGTGATTTGCATCGGACCTTATTTTTTAATCCCAATCGAATTTTTTTTGTACAATATTTGTCGCCCGCTTCAATTTATTTTAAAAATATTAGGCCCGCCCCAGCTTGTACATTTTTTTTAAAAGTATGCTCAATTCGGATCTACTTTGCAGATCTCTATTCTATACATGGAGAATCCACTTCAAAATTAAATTATTTTGTGGATTTAGAATTTTGTATTGGTAATAATAAAAGATTCAATAGCTTTATGGCAAATTTTCCATGCTGCATTCAAATTCAATTGGGAATTTATAGAGATGATAAAATGGATATGAAAAACAATTTATTTTATAAGTGTCACATTAGGTTAAAATGGTAGATTTTTGTTGAAGGGACCAAAAATTAAATTATCAAATAAGTATATAATAAAAAATATTTGAGCACAAATAAAAATAAATAATAATTAATTGTCCTTCAACAAAAATACAAACAAAATATACATTTTAACCAAATATGTATGCAATGCCCCCTCTGAAAAAAACACCAAATTGATCATCCATGAATCGCCTCAATCTTGCCCTATAGGAGGTCATCCATAAGCGCTTCTACTGTCGGTTCCTCCAAACCATTAGGATTCTTTGTACTCGTCATAACCGTCGCTTCCCGGAATCGCTACTACCGGGATCACCACTCTTCCAGCTGACTCCACATTAGCATCTCTTACCGTATGATCCACATTGGACCCACGTTCCGTCCTCGGTCTAAGCTCCTTTCTGACACAATCTGCAGCCGAACGTATCACCGTCGTTACACTCCTTCGCATCACATGAGTCACTCCATCTGGGAAAAGGAACATGGTCCGCTGCCAACAGTCGAGTTTCTGAAACCCCTCTTCCCCTTGGTCCAAAAGTTGTGACCGTCGGACAATGCCTTGATATGTGACCAATACCACCACAACCATAACAGGTGATCGCCATATGGCTCCTCCTACCAGACACTAATCTTTCTTACCCAGTGAGCACTCAAGTTCCCATTGCTATCCTGCCCGTCAACCAAGGGCGTTCCCTATTAAATCCTCCATTCCCTGGTTCATAAGTCGCTAGTAAAACTGCCGATGTTCACCGAATTCAATTCCTTATTGTGGAATTGTTTTTGATATATCATGTGCATCTTTAAGCTCCAATTTGATTTTATCGGCGTTGTGACGAATACGGAGAATCCCAAAGGTTTAAATGCGGAACCGACAGCCAAGGTGCTTATGGATGATTTCCTTGAGGCAAGATTGGAGTGATTCGTGGATGGTCAATTTGGTGTTTTTTTAAAGAGGGGACATGTCATATTAGGTTAAAAATGTATAATTTGTTTGTATTTTTGTTTTGTTTATGGACAAATAATTATAATTTATTTCTATTTATGTTAGAATATTTTTATTCTCTGTTAAAAATTATATCCATGTTTGACGCGTTTGATTATTTTAGCAAAATAATAAAATAGTGAAAAATAGATTTGCAATATTATTAAATCCACAAAAATAAAAAGATAAATTTCCAGCACAAAAAAGTGTATAATTTAGCCCAAAAAATCTTTAATGATTTATAGGCTTCTGAGGAAATAGATTAAATAAGAAAAACAGAGGAAGATGACTCACTAAACATTTTTTTTAAAATAACCCATATAAATAAATAAATTTCATATTTTTATTTGGTGTTGGAAAGTAAGATTTCATTCCAAATACTATCAACATTAGCAAATAAAGTAAAACGTTTAATTATTGTTCCTAATTAAACCTATGATTGATAATTTGAATATGTGACTGTTTTATGCCATCGAAGAAGTTCCAAGAGAACTTATCTATTCTATCTAACAAATAAAAACGGTTCTCAAAATTTAAAGTAAGCTGTGTGAGAAGTTATACAGTTTAATCTTAATTCAAAATTTTTTATAAACTAATTATACAATGTTTTAAAACATCATCTCAATAAAATTTAAAAAATAATTTTACCATGTTTGAATGGTTCGTTTGCCATCAAAATCATTAGGAAGATTTCTTAATCTATTCATAACCTCTAGAAGTTCCTTCAGGTCTGGTTGAATTTCGTCCATTGCTTTGATTTCTAAACGCAGCTTATCCATAATAGTTATGAATAACTAAAAAAAATTATTCATGGCTTAGATATATATTGCTATCAAATTATTTACCGACACAATATCGGCTATGCATTTACTGGTATTGCCTTTATCATCTTTGATGGTAATAGGTCTCTCCTCTCTAATTCTCTCCATAGCAGCAGGGAATGTACACTAAAATATTATGTTTTTTTATATCTACAAATTATGATTGTTTAATTACTCTATAATGTTTAAGAAAATCTTCAACAGTCTTAAATTCTGAACCTTGCACTAATTTAAAAGCAGCTTTATATTGGACTAGTAATTTAGAACATGAAGCTGTATATCTATTGTAAACATGAATTTAAAGAGATGTACACAAATTTATTAAATGTTTAATATAATATTATATATTACTCTTTTGGTGGTACTGCATCTTTAATATATGCTTTTTCTAAATTTTGTAAGGTACAAATAACTGAAAACAATTCTGCTTCATTATCCAATCTTTAGAATAAATTTATTATTATTAATGAATAATCTTAAAATATAACTAAAATGACAAAAAAAGGTAAATTGCAGAAATACAAAATAGAAATTGGAGATGTAACTAAAATACACTACCCTGGAAAGGAAACTAACAATCCCCTATTAAACAAGCACATATATAAAAATAGAATGATTCCTGTTCAGCTCTTCAATAAGATTTTGAAAACGTTTTTTAAGTGAATAAGTAAAAAAAACATTTTTTTCCATGACTAAAATAAAAATTGTCCATAATTATGAACTATTATAAAAAAAATTAAAATAGATTCAAGTTTACTCTTCAATGTGATTCAGAAGTAGAAATCAATTTAAAAAAAAATTATCTTTAATCTAGTGGGATATTGAAAAACACTATTATTTTTTTGACTAAACTAAGAATCCCCTATTAACCTCAAATTTGAAAAATAAAATATAGAAACATGTAAAAAGCTTCTGAAGGATTAAGAAAATGTTAATATTAATATCTTAAAATTTTGAAAAAATTAATTTTTTTTGACCAAATAAACTAATCCCATATTAAAAGGTTTAAATTTTAAAAAATAACTATAGAATCATGTATAACTCTTCAAGAGGATTCAGAAGATGTTTTTATAATTTAATAAAAATTGGTAAATTAGTATAAAAAATTATAAATATATTCAGAAAATGATAAGTCAACAAAAAAATAGGCTGTTTTTAAAATTTTTTACAAATTTACAAAAAAACATCTTCTAAATTTTCCTGAAGAATACATTCTATATTTATTTTTTTAAATTTAAAACTTTTTAATAGGGTATTCTTAGTTTAGTCAAAAAAAAGTTAATATTAATATTTACTTAATCCTTTTGAAGAGATGATATTCTTAAGGCTATGCCAATATTTACTGTCGGATTGGCAACTATATCTAGCTTTTTCAAAAAATATCCGGTTGGGCCTATCTTTTTTAAAACCCCAATCTGATATTTTTTATTGTTTTTGGTTATTTTATAATTGTATATATAATCATTTTTTTATTTCATTAATAATTTCAAATAATAAATTAATGAAAAATTCTAGCCAAGAATATTGCCGATGTTTCCCACAAATATCAGAAAAGTTTGGACTTGTATTGGCTAAATTTCGAGGCATAGGCAATATTTTGGTTAAAATTTTGATTTGGCCTTTTTTTTAAAATCGACTAAATGGGGCTGTTTAACAACACTACATTCACTCATAAACATTGCAAATATTTTAAATGAGTATTAACTTATGAAAAATAATAATAATAAAATGCACTTAATCATAATCATTCCTGAAAGTTTTGGTTTTATTTAAAAGTAGATATTGATATATTTATGATAGTAATACAAAGATAGATGGTAAATAAAAATCATATAAATATCATTTAATAAGGTCTTAGTTAATTCATTAAAAAATTTTTTTTACTAATTTACAATTTATTAAATTAAAAAACATCTTCTGAATCTTCTTGAAGTGATAAGACTTATAATCATTTTTTTAAATTAAAGCCTTTTAATAGGAGATTCTTAGTTTAGTCAAAGTTAACATTTATACAGTATTTTATTTATATTATTTTAAATTTGAGCCTTTTAAATAGGGATCTTAGTTTAGTCAAAAAAATATTAATTTTTTCAGAATATTTTGTAAATTTTAGGCATTTTAATTGGCAATTCTTAGTTTGGTCAAAAAAATAGTGTTTTTTCAATGTCCCACTTATTTAAAAATAATTTTTACATTTTCTGAATCACATTGAAGGGATAAACTTAAATCAATTTTGATTTATTTATAATAGTCCATAATTAGTGAGAATTCTTATTTTAGTTATGAAAAAAAATGTTTTCTAATAATTTACTTTTTAAAAAAAACATTTTCTAATCATATTGAAGTGCTAAACAGGAATTCATATTATTTTTTGCTTGTTTAATAGGGGATTCTTAGTTTCAAGGGTATTTTAGTCATATATATTACGATAAAAATTTATAATTAAAATTTCTATCTTATAATAATTTATAATAAAACTGCCCATTCTTAATTTAAAACTATACATTTTTTTAAAATAATCAATAAAATATAAATATTATAAATAAATATTTTGTTAGTAATAAAAGTATTTAAAACATACTTTTCTCTTTCTCTGGGGCTATTATATAGTTTAATTTCCTAAATGCTATTAAATGATATATATATGTGATTAATTATTCATACTCTATATAAATCATTCTTTATATCCATTCGCTTATATTTTAACGAAATTTTAGGAATATACAGAAAATTCCATAAAAAGTGGCATCTTATGAAATGTAACACAAGTTTAATATTGACATGCTACAATATCAATTTAAAATATATGAAATATCTATCTGTAAAAAAACATACAACATATTTATTAATTTTACAATATCTGATTTTATCTAATTTTTTGAATTTATCTGACAAATACTTAAAAAATATATTTATGTCAAAATTATTTCGAACTACTGAGTCCAATCATACAGGTCATTTTATAGTATCTTCAATATAGTGGTTGGTTACAATGGATAATAATTCTGAAAAAGATAAAATTAAATTATATTCAGAGCAAACTTTTTCAAAGATAAAGAGTTGTATAGAGAGCGAAATTTTACGTAATTAACAATTAAATTTTTTGTAATCCTGAAACATTTAGTAGCTAATAAAGAGACTGACGTTCTTAAGAAAGCAAACAATTTATTATCTCAAAAGTATAATCAAATGGAAGCATCACTTTCGAAAATTAATGATTTTTCACATGAATTATTAAAAAAATGTAATCAATCTTGTGATTATTATAAATATTTTTTTTGATTGAAGATAAAAATGTCATGCCCCTATTACAACAAATTGATACTTTAGAAACAAATATCATCGCTTTAGAAAATATTGTCTTTAAACTACAAGATTATAGCAAGCAATTAGGTTAACAAATTTTAACTGATGAATTTTTTTCTCATAATGCATTTTTTTTAAATTTAATCCCATTAATATCAAATAAATTTACTCTGTCTTTCACACTACTCAAGATTGCAATTAGTTTTATATTGAAATTTTAATGTGAATTTTAGTGCAACCTAATTGATCATTTGTTATGCAAAATGAAAACAATGCATTTTATATAATATTGTGCATAATGATCACAATTTATAAGCATAAAAATGCAAAACTGAAAATGCTCAATTAGGTTATGCTATTAGACAATTTGTTAAAAGAAAAAATTTAAGAAAATAATTTGTTTAAACCCTCACAATTAAAATTTTTAAAATATTATATCCAGTAGAAATCAAAATAACTTTGTCTTTCTTATACCAGAAAAACTACTTAATCTGTAAAATTTTGGGAACAGGAAGCAACAGGGAAATCAAAATATTTTATTTTAAAAATTATTTTTAATTTTATAGTAATAGTATACACCTTTATTACTTTTCCAACTTTAAATCTTTGGTTAATAACCTCTACTGTTCTCAACATCTATTATATGAGCTTTAAAAGAGCAAACTTGGTTCTGAAAGTGAGTGATAAGCATAAAAACTTTGAAAATAAATTAATATAATATTGTTAAAAAGGGCAGTATATTTACATAATATAATAATAATAATAAATTCTGTTATTCATTTTAATTTTGGGATTTGTTTAATAAATATTATTTGATTTATGCAATCCACTTTCATAGAAACTGTTTCTGAACTTTAAAAAGGCATTTAAAGTTATGACATTATATTTTCAAGTAGGGCTGTGCTGATCCACACATATTTTTATCCAATCCGATATTTTCTGATATTGCTTCAAAACCAATCAGATATTTATACTGATTTTTAATCACCCCCGTTTGAACCAAATGTAATTAAGAAATCAATATTTTTTTTGCAAAAAATCGAATTATGAATTTAATTTAATTTTTTTATTTATGCAATTAAGATTATAATAAAAAATATATTTAATAATATATCCATTTTATGTTGGTATGAATTATAAAATTGTAATATTTAATATATAAAACTATAATATATTAGATTTTTTTTAATAAGAGCCTCGAGATTTTCTGGGAATAAGCTTCTACAATATGGACTATCTATATCTCCTGCCATACTGAAGACAGACTCAGATGATTCTGCAGATAACACATTTTGCAAAATTATCTTTTTCTTTAAATATTTTCATAATTCAGATACCATATTTAAAAAAATTCTTTTATTTAAAGTATAAATAAAAAAATTGACGTTATTTAAAAAGATTTAAAATAAATAAAACTTTGGGTGTTCCTTGTTATTTTTATAAAAAAAAAATTTAAATACTATAAATCTATCTTAAAAAAGAAATAAAATTTAAAACAATTAGTTAGAAAATATAATAATGTAAAATAAATATACATAAAATAAAATAAAATAACAAAAAAAGAAAATTAAAGGATTGGATCGATTTTTACAGGTATCGGCCCGATCCTATATTTTCGGAAAACGCTAAATATCGGTACCGATCCGATATTTAATATCGGCACAGCCCTATTTTTAGGTAACATAATGAGGTCAGCTAGGCCTGAACTGGCTTGGGAAATTTTCTATTAATTTTTTTTTACCTGGCCCGTTAAATATATTTTGTACAAGTTGTTTGGCCTATCTTGCTAATGATTTTTTAGGAAAATAGACAAAATGAATTTGCCTAGTTATCAACTTTAAAAACAGTTTGTTGGGCTGCACCAATTTCTATCATAAATCTAATTATATTATTATTTTTACAAAGTAATGCAAAATGTGACTGTTTAATTTTTAGAGTACGGTTAACAGCTATAAGTATATTACTAAATAGTAAATACACAATTAAAGCTAGGTAGTAGTAAAATAAAATATGGAACAATTTTGAAGATATATTTAATGATAAAGATCTTAAACTCTATACTGTTCAGTTCAGTGTAAAAATGTAAAACAATGCTTTAATATATTTTAAAAATGTAAAACTTAAAATAACTTAAAAGAAAACAATTATAAATAATACATAACTATTAAAAAAAATTGATAACATATTTACTAATGTACCAAGGATATGCATATTTTTGACTTTCTAGAGATGTCTTAAGAAAATGCCTCAACATTTTATTCATATTGTCTCTATTTATGATAATATTTATTGTAGAAATATTATTCCCATTTAACTATTCTATCAAGAGATGTAAAAATTTTGATAAATTAAATTAGAACAGATTTATTGAATAAATAAATAGTCATGTTATAAAAACTGATCTGCCACCACAAAGAAATAAATAAGGCATAAAGAATTTTTGGGATGTTAAAAAACGATTGTGGATGCACTAACAATTCCTATATCTACACCAGAAATAAAGATATAACTGATTCTTATTTTTTTTACTTTCTTCACTAAAATTTTAACACCCAGACAGAATAATATTCACCCATGATGGAGAACCCTTTGTTAGATTCACTCATATATTAAGAACCTATATCAGTAATGTATGAGGCTAAACAAGGGGTAACCAACATAAGGATTGGCCTGTCATTTTATGGCTAAACGCTAATAATGCACAATTTTTCTCATTTAGTTGCCAATAGGGGTGTACCGATACCACTTTTTGGAGGCCGATTCGATCCGATATTCCAGATATTAAATTGATATCGGCCGATAACCGATCCGATATCATATCTAATTTTGTATTTTGTAAAGATACCAATGGTTTTAATTTGTAATATACTTTTTATTAGTATAACATCTATAATTTAACCATAACTTATGTCATTTAAATATATTATAATGATCAGTTATAGTTTATATTCAATTCTATTGCCTAAAAGTATATAAAATATATTATTATAAATCACTTTTATATATAAGTAACAACATTAATCTATACATAATAAGTAATAAACAAATATATTATGAAATTTGAATAAATATTTAAAATAATATTTAACATTATTATATCGAAGATTTCTTTTTAAAAATATCAAAATTTCCAATTTATCAGAAATCAGCCTGCGACGATAGTAACTGTCAATATCACCAGCTTCACTAAAAACAGATTCTGAAGAGATTATCGCACACTTTTATAAACAGAATGCGCAAAAAAATAACAATATGGCAGAATGTTTATTAATTAATTATTATTATTAAAAAAATATGGATTTCGATTTTATTTATAAAAAAAATGATTTTAGATATAACTTTTTAAAAAAAATTTATAACATTTTATTTTTGTTAAGGACGCCATTTTATATCGGATCGGATCGGCAAATTTTATAATATTGGCTGATGACCGATATTTTATAATAGGCGAAATATTGGCCCTATCCGATCCGATAAAAAATATCAGTACATCCCTAGCGGTCCGTTAAGGCCAAAACGATAATACTTATCGTAAGGAGATTACTGATTTTTCGCGCAACCGAATAAGTAAAGAAACGATGAAGGTAGTGGTATTTCACTGGCGGTTGCCCTCCCACTTATCCTACACCCTTCACGTGTCTTCACATAGTCGGAGAGAGTTAGTGTGAATTACAGGGCACACTGAACATCGATATTTCGAATGCACTTTGCGGCTCGGAGTTAAACTTCGAGCCTCGCTCGTCTGAGGGTCGTTAAACAAAAATTTTTACGGTCGTCATTTCCCCAATTGTTATGGTTTTAAAATAGGCACCAGTTGGAAGAGGTATATAGTAGTTAAAACATTTTTCAGAACTACATTAATTTTAACAATAAGGAAGATGTACTTACATAACTTTCTGCCAAATTTTTAATTATTTTTTAAACAAACTAAATGTGCTATATCTTAAGCCACCCTCCCCTAGCCCTACCTAAGATCGAGCTTTTTTAAGAAAATATTCAATAATTTATTTTTCTCATATATATCCTTCATTTCTCTTTTTGCTCCAACTCATTTTAGTAAATATTCTCGTAAAATATATTATGATGCATGTGAATTAATCTTTTCGTTTTATACCAAACAAACTTTTAGAAACTACATTTAAGCAAAGCGAAAAAATATGAACATCCGGTTATTCAACTGCCATTTAATAAAACAACATTTGATTTTGCCATTCAAATGAAACAACATACAAACAACACATAATTTATTATAATTAATATAGTATTTATTATATAATATAGACCATAATTTATAAGATAAATATAACGAATATACAAATAAAAATGTCTTTTTTTATAAATTGCGGGTAGCAGGCCTGTCTTATACTTCTAAGCTTTTAATAAAATTCTTAAATAAATAAAATCATATTTAATTAACAAATTAAGTCTATTCATTAAATTTTTTTCCCAGCCAAGCAGGAAAATAATTTTTAAATGATATAAATTGTTCGGAGAAGATATGAATAAAACGAATAAAATTGGCCTTTTATTTAAAAGTTTGTTTTTACTATGATCTTAGTGTTAACCCGCTCATTCCTCAAAAAGATATTATAGACTACCAGTTTTTCGAGCCCGACTGGCAGTAATAAGTTAATCAGAACTTTATATTTAATAAAATGTTTTTATTTCGATTTAATACTTGAAACTTGATTAATATGATAGGGGGGGGGGGTATCTGTAATGAATATATATAAAAAAACTAATTTAATAAGCAAAATTAATTCCCACAAAAACATAATTTTATTGATAAACAACTCTTTCTAATTTTGATGCCATCATCAGTTTTTTCGCAAATTTAAATATAAACATTAAATATCTTGGGATTGAGGATGTAAATATCTCATCTTGTAGGACTCTTGATGTAAGCTGGAATTGGTCTGTAGGAATTTACTAAGACTAGGTTAATATGAGATGAAAATAATTGAAGTCACTTGATCTCTTATTTTTTAGTACCTTGTGAATAAGATGAAACAAGAGATAAATATATTTAAAAAATCAGATACCTGCAGAAGTACTATTTGCATGGCCCGGCTTGGATTATTTTCAAAAAAATTTTCTGCCCTACCAGGTTTTAGATTTTCAGCCCGACCCGGGTATTTTTAAAAAAAATCTTAGGCCTGGCCCGAGTATTTAAAAGAAAATTTATAGGCCCGGCTCCGGTGTATTATAAAAAAAATTAAAATACTATTCGTGTCTATAGGTATCTGTTAAAAATATTAGTAAATTTCACGAAAATGCTCTTTTTGAATTGTTAAATCGAATTAAAATATATTTTATTACTATAATATATGATGTATAATTTTTTTTAAATGATATGAGTTAACTAGGATGATTCCCGTTCTCATTTTTTTATTGTGATTGTCAGACTAGTGTTATATATAGAGATCTGCAAAGATAGGCTCGGCCTGAGCTTGGCCCGAACGGGTTTCAGGCCGGACTCGGGCCTAATTTTATTTAAAATAATGGATTCGGGCCGGGTCTAATATTTAAAAAAAATTTTAGGCCGGGATGGGTCGAACCTTGGAAATTTTTTAAATATATCTAAATTTATCAATTTTATATTGAATCTTTATGTAAAATAAAAATATTTGATTTATTTATTGAAACTAAACGACATATAACATACATATGTCTTTTATTTTGAGTAATTATAAAAATTAATTTATATATTTAAATAAATTCGGGTTCGGGCCGTGCCGGCAAAATTTTTTAAAAAAATTTCGGGTTCGGGTCGGGCTTACAAAACTTTTAAAAAAAAATTTCAGGCCGGGACGGTCTTGAAAAATTAGGCCCGATGCAGAAATATATAGATTCACGTCATTGAGTTTCATCCCTTTTCGTTTTGGGAGGGTAATTATTTTTTTCAAAAAAATTGTTTTCTATTCCTTTTTAATCGGGAAAAGTTCCACAATCACTACCTCCTGGGAAATCCCAATCAAGATTTTTTAAAAAGATTTTATGCAGGGATCCAAACCATAACGAATATCGATTCAAGTTTAGGTTTCAAGGAAAATAACGGCTCAGGTTCGGTTCGTAAAAATAGTAATATAGGTTCGGTTTGAACGTTTAAAACCGGTTTAAGCTTTTTTCACATATAAACTTATTAATATGTAAAGAAAAGAACATTTTTTTAAAATTTTATAACTATTCTCAAAAAACTATTATTGAGCCGAATACAATAAAAATATTTTCAAGATTCTCACCAGTCAAATTATATCCATAAGGTGGTAGAATAAATTCTAATGTTGAGAACACTTCTATATGCTAACAAATTGAGTAGCTGGCACCATCAAATAGCAATATAGAAAAATATCTAAAGATATACTGATCCTAATCAGTCAACTGATTTTTATCATCTCTAAGAGAGTATAAATTTTAATTAGGTTCATAGGGATATTTAGAGGTTCGGTTCAGGGTCGAGTGTTTTTTAACGATTCGGTTTAGGTTCCGTAAATAATATAGGTTTAACGAAGTGTTAGAGGGCAACCTATCTTTAAAAAGGGCTGATTCAATAATTTAGCCAGAATATTGCCTAAGCCTCGAGATTTCGAGAATAGATGTCTAGAACTTTGTGCCATCTATGAGCAAAACTACAGGCTTGTCTAATATTTTTCTGGATAAAATATTGAGTAAGCCGTTTTTAAAAATCTCTAATCTAGTTGTTTAACAAAGCTAGTTTAGATTCTGTTTGAATCTCTGATTTTATGTAAAAAAAAATTATGTTTTTATCTAAAGATTTCTATTTGATTTTTTTGATGAATATATAAAAAAATATTTGGCCTCGTTTGAAATGTCTAATTTTACTGCCAAGATTTTTTTTAAACTTTTAATAGAAATGCCAGAATAAAAAAGAAAGTTAAGATTTATGAATTTATTGATCTTTTTTTTGTTTCTGCTTTGAGATGGATAGGAATGTTCAACGGCACCTTAAATAGTGTAACCCCGCTCTTTTTAGTTGTAGGCAATTCAGGGTTTTGCCATGTACCTTGGATTGTACCCTGCTAATGCTTATTTATCATAAGTATTTGAAGCATAATCAACTGTTCATTCTATTCCGACGGCTTATTGCGGGAAATGATATAGGCATTTCAAACCATGTAGACTTTTCTTGCGAGATTAATACACCACTCAAACTAATAGTAGATTTAATCGGGTATTAAACGCATGATAATCATTTTTTTATCATATCGTCTATTATAGAGCACTTTCGTATAATATTAAGCAACTTTCAAAATATATAAGTTGTGCCGGTGTCCACCTGTCTCTAGTTTTTGGTCTCCAAATATAGATTCGCCAGTTTTTCCAAGAAATATACAATAATTTTATAAAAAACGGCTAATATTTTTCTCCGTCCCAACATATGTTTTCATAAATAAACCTTATAACTGTTTAACCGTATCTAACTGAACACCAGCTCCTTAGACAATTCATGCGGTTCATTTACCCACGTTTGAAGACAATGATTTGTCTTCGGGAAGCACACGAATTAATATTTTATTAATTATTTAGGCATGTTAAATTGGAGCATATAAGCCATTTAATGTTAATTTTTTAGATAATTTGTGAAAATTAGCTGTAAATTCTTGAAGCGCGTCAAGCTGGAGCTATAGATAAACTATGTTATACTATTATTAGATTGGCAATAAAAAACATTGATAATAAATATGGTTTTAAGTTTTTTAAAAAAAAGAGTTTTTGAAGTTATTTATTTAGATTAAATACATGCGCTTAGTTAATTTTTTTTTAAATAAATAAATTATAGGGAAACACCCTGTATTGGAGATTCCTTAGTAATTTTTTTAAAAAATAATAAAGATTATATACATTTATATTTAAAAAATTTGAGTCCACGTCTAATTATATTTGCACTTAATTGATTACCCAGAATTATCATGAGCCGAGTAAATTGACGCTAGCCGAAATGACTACCTCGAATCATCATGGGCCCAATTTATCGCGCCAAATTAACTAGTTATTATAAATTAATGTTCTTGCTATTTTCACGTCAATGAATGTTTTATTTCAAAAAAAAAATTCATAATTACATAAAATAATATCATTTTTTAAAAAAAATTTAAACTCTCATATTTGCATAATTTATATTGATTTACGATCTCTTTAAAATTTGTTATTATAAAAGTAACGCCATTAATAACAGCGTTACTTTCAAAGACGTTATTTTATACTCTTTATATTTTAAAAAATACATCCAGCACACATACTAATTCATCAATTTAATTTATTTATTTTTAAATTTAATTAAAATTTCTCATGTTAAAACGCGTAATGGTAGATCAAAATTTTATCTTGTTTTATAAAATTGTAATAATACATATTTTTTTTAAATTATATTTTGAACTCATTTTTATAAAAAATATATTTCTTGAATGCTATTCGTCTTAATTTTCTATATTCGATTTATTGTCATATGTATATTTGTACAGACTATAACGGCTATTTTGGATCAAGTCTACACCCCAGGTTATCATGGTTTTTCATAAAATGGAATTGAAAAACTTTATAATGTAAAAAATGTTTTATTTACCTTTATTTTTCAAAATTAACATTTTTTAATGAGCATAATATTTTCTATTATGAAAACATAAAAAATCAAATCGTTTAACTTCTAAATATTATTATGAATTCAAAAATAGTTACAACTTTTTATAGAAGTCCACATTACCTGGCCAAATGGCATATGCTCACTCCCATTAGGATACTCTTATATTTATAATATATATGACACCGCCCCTCCCCCGTCTATAATCGTCCATGATTAGAGGAGACCAGGGCTCGTCGGCCCAAGAGGCTTCGGTTCAGCGGATTTTATTTAAAAACCAGACATGTTTAGAAATTCAAATTACATAATGTAATAGTCTTGTATAATATATATATATTTGAGGCGAAAAATATTTTATACCACTAGGTTATTAAAAAATTTTATGATAAAATATATTTTTTATGTAAAAATTAAATTGTTTTTACACCACAATATTAGGCGGCATTAAATTATTAAGAGTTTGAAAATAATAAAATTGACATATGAAATTTTAATCCCCTCTTTTCTCATTTAAGAAAGTTTTATAATCATATATAAAGAGGTTTAATTATATTAGTAACTAGGGGTTAGTAGACTCAGGGTTACTCGGATCAATCAAATTATGCTTACAAACCATATATTAAAATAATTTATGTAATAATATAAAATAAAAATTCATTGGCTTCTATTATATAATTAAAAAATAAAAAAAATTATTAAAAACTTTATACATTATTAAATATCTTATGGGAAAACTTAATAAAATAATTGAATCTGCAAGCCCCGGGTTTGGGTTGGCGCAAAAAAAACCTTTACCAGAATCAATCTTGAGAAAATATTAAAAAATATTTGAAAAATTTGTCAATGGATAAGGTTAGATAAATGTTTTGGCTATCTCGTGGTATTTTGTAAATTCAAATACAACAATTATTTTCGTACCTATGATGATTTTGACAAAAATTGCCACAACTAGCCATGGTCTCCACTAGCTAACAAGTTTATAAAAATATAGAGCGTATATAAACAGAAAACTCAATTCCATAATTTTAAATATTACTTTGTTATTTTATGTGATATTTTTTATATCAATTCACACAACTGTATTCTCGACAGATAATTGTAACATAACTTTGACAAGTGTAGAAGGTAATTTGAAGAGGATCCAAATACTCGTCGATACCTCCAATAACGCACATTTATCTTTTGTTTGTTTAATACTGTTGGAAGCAGAACCTGATCAAATCATCCATCTGTTCTTTAAAGATGTCGAATTTAGGAGAGCTGGAAAATCGTGCGACTATGAATTCCTTTCTATAAAAGATTATAAGCGTACTAGACATAACGATGGCACAACTAATAATTACCATATGAATACTACAAGGATAGGGGGAAATGAGGAAGGAAAATTTTGTTCGTTTATAAATGGGGGTAAAATGTATTACTATTCAGAGTATGACACCGTAAAAATAACATTAAAGAGAGATCTCTTCGACATCGATAAAACGGCTGCTTCGTCATCTTATTTTAAATTTCAATTTATCTACCGATTTGTAAGCAATAGCCGAGCCCAGGTTAGGCATGGAAGTTACGAATTTCCGAAATTTCGGGGAAAACATATTCCTTACACTTATTGCGATAAATTATTTGTCGGTTGCGAACCAAGTCAAAATTGTAGAGTTCAATCTCCGGGGTGGCCTGGGACTTATTTAAGGAACATCACCTGCAAATATTACATACTAGGTAATCGGGACCCTTCAAAGTCATCTCACCTTCTGATATCAGGTGGAAATGGAATCAAGTCCAAAATTATTTTGCCCAGACCTGATTTATATTATACTAATTCTAGCATTATCCAAAGCCTTGAACGAAGAAGATTTACGAATTGTCGTTCTGATCGATTGGAAATTTATGATGGCTTAACACCCATAATGTCGAACTTGATTGTTGTTTTATGCGGAAATATCAAATTTCCAGACATCATAACTCGGACGACCGATATATTAATCGTGTTTAAAAGTGCGTTTGAAGAAAAATTTGGATATACCGGGTTTGAACTGATCGTTCAAACTATAAAATATAACCCAGCTATTGGTTCGCTTCTACCGGTGCCGTCTATTAATGATTGTTATTTCGTTATAGATGCCTCTAAAACGGAAAGCGGTAAGTTTTCGAGTTTAAGACATTGGGTGAAACCTCGAATGGCTTGTATTTTAAAATTTGAAGGTGTTAAAGATAAACACAGAGTACTTTTACTATTTAATATTTTTATCATGAAACTAGACATTTATAAGACCTTAGATGGAAATTCAACTACTTTATCGAGTAGTAATAGTAATTTTTGTGATAGAAAAGTGATTTTATACATGCAAAACATTCCATTCAACTTGACCCGTGATTCAGCATTCAACTCAGATAAGGCCATATTAATTTGTCCAGGGGAAATCCCAGATAATCATGTTACACGAAATAATGTAGATTCTATCGAAAATTCAGCCATCCTCTTTAGTTATTTATCCGAAAAACAAGATTCCTACATATATTATTCTGATAGCCATGGGGATTTTGACGGCATGAATATAAATTTTGTAGGATCTTTTATATTTGTTGACGTTTCGGACCCAATTGGTAGTCGACGCAAACAAGGAACCGTTTGCGAATTTATTATCGATCAACAAAACACACACCATGGTAATTAAAATTTTAATTATATATATAATTTTTGAGATAAATATTTAAGTTTTTAATTTTAGCTCAAAATTGGGCCTAATGTGTTTTATGAATATACTTTCAAATAAATAAATATTTATGTAGGTAAACATAATGTATCATTGTTTAATGTACCACTAATTAGTCCCAGGAACGAGTTGTTATATGGGTTGGGTTTTAACAACGATCTAAGGTGTCGGTATGTATTGCGAGCGAATCCCGGATATCAAGTAGCATTAATTTTAAAAAGTTTCAAATTTGATAAAAACGGATCTAGTACACAATGCACAAGTTATTTCAATAGAACATCCATGACTTATCAATGCCTGCTCCAAAATCCTTCAAGATATTTTAAAATATTTTCTGAAGAAGGAAGGGAGCTAGGGTGTTTTTGTGATAATGTAGAGTATAGGGATATCGGGTTACGCCTTTTTCGTAGATTGCCAGTATTTAATCTAATATTTGTTATCAATAACATCGAATATTGGGAGGGAAAAAGCTCGATAGGATTTCTACTCGAATACAGTTTTTTAAAGTCTACTTTTTGCCCACCGTTTACATTTTTCGCACAAAAAACGAATGGAAATCGGGGACAGTTTCATTTTCCCTTAAATCAGACAAACAATTATAATAACTCGTCCTACAATTCCACTCATTACGACACAACCGGTAATAACGATTTTACGGAATTCAATCAATTTCAAACTAATACTTTATCGTGCCATTGGATAATTGTAGTAAACGATCCTAAATATTATGTCTACTTGAAATTAATCAGATTGGATCTGTTGGAAGATTGCGGGAAGGAAAGTTTATTAATTTATTCATTAGGGTCGCCGTTTCCCTTTAAACGTATTTGTCATGATAACAATAGGAAGACTTTGTTGGACCTTTTTTCACTTGGTTGGTACAGTTGGTCTTCTCATCAATCCTCAAATTTTATTTCCAAACATAAACTTGTCGATAATAATGAAACAGCACGAAAAGCTCCACAAATTATAGTCGAAAAAAACTCAATTGTGGTTGAAATGATTATCGATCGGACTAACATATTGAATGCAAAAAATGAATACAGTTATAAAATACTGGCCAATTGGATATTGATAAAGAAACCTCAACCCATAAAAGTTTGGAATGAAAAATATTACGAAAAAATATATAAAAAGCCACAGTCTAAAACAAATAAGGATTCTAGTGACGATTCATCGTGCGGATTTAAATGTCCGGGAGCTTGTATCGATAAAGATTTCGTGTGCGATGGATTTGCCGATTGCCCTGGTTATCTTAATATTAGCAACTCGCCGGAAGAACGAACATGCGCAAACAGAGTTTATAATAAAATGCTATGATTTTACTATAAATATATCAAATATTGGATAATAAAAAATTTGTTTTACTGGAAATGGAATTATTATTTTAAATTTAGGCACTAACTCCATAATAAATTTAAAAGTTTTCACTTTTGGAAAATCTTTGAAGAATCAGTTTGAATCTTGATTCCTTTTTTACTCATAAAAGAGATGACCACGAAATGCGTTGAAAGTAATTTTATGGGAAAAAAGTCGAATTTTGTTCTCTTGGAAATGATTAAAAGTTTTCTAAAAAAACAAGTTTACAAGAAACGGATTTATGTGATCTATTTAAAAAAGATAATACTAAGAGAGACAAGTAAATTAATTAGTATGGCTAAACATTGTAACCTACAGAAAATTGAAAATATAAGCTTTAAAAACATGATAAAACACTTAAGAATGAATAGAAAAAATTAAATTTAAAATTTTTAAAATTTTTAAAAATACAAAAACAATAAAGATCCAAAAAATGATAAAATTTAAATATAATAAAATATTTAAAATACGACAGATAAAAGTTGACAAAAATGAGAAAATGTTTTAAAAAATAAAAATCGGTAGAATTATATAAAGGTAACCGGAAAAAAAAATTAAGTTATAAAGTGAAATTATGTAAAATAAAAAGTATACTGAAGAGTACAAAAATCTACAAATTTGAAAAATAACATATTCCAAAATCTATTTTTTTTTAGAAAACCAAAGTTATCTTTAACTGAATTTAAACAGAATATTTGATTTCATATTTTTTTCATTTTCAGTGTATATTAATAAAATAGATGGCAGAGCCAATTTTTAACCCAAAAGTCTTGGAACATCCTTCTAATATAATAAATCTTGAAATCGACTTAAAACAAAGTAGTTTTATTTTGATACATTGGGTTACCATGCGGGTCGATATGATCTGCTCATGATGCCCATTAATTCGTCGGTCCATAGATCAATGGTTGAGTTAGGCTTGAGGTCTTGTTTTTGGACTCAAACCTCGTTCAGTTTGCTTCCATACAGACCCAATAGTATTTTAATAATACTCACTGGTTAGTTTTAGAGCCGGATTTGCCTCCAACAAATTTTTGCCATTTACCATATAGAGTGAATAAGGTCAATGACCCAAAACAGTGGATAGGTAGTTTCGATTTGTCCGATTTTTTGATGCGGTTGCATCATCTAAAAGGGTGGTTCTGGGGTGTATTATTTTATTAAAAAATGTGTTTAAGTTTAATATTCATATTTGATTTTTCTTTATCGTTATCAATTTGTTTCCAGTTTATATTTTGAATATCTTTCATTAACCTAAGACGTCCAAAGCAGTTTTTATTACTTTTACTTTACATTCGTTCCAGTTTATGTAAAAGTCTTAAGATAAAAATTTAGATTACGATTATTAGCCCCCCTCCCTTCCCCCTATTTTTCATTCAGTCCTTTATAAGTATTATAATAAATAAGTAGAATATAATATTAATTGTAATAGGCATATACCAAATTAATTTATAAACAAAATTTAATTAAATAATATATACTACGTTTTTTATTTATATTATATCATCATAAAAGCGGATTTCTAAAACTTAAAACTATAATTTTTTTTATTTTTAAAATCATGTTAATTTATCTTTCGGATTTTATGAGTAAATGAGACCAAGGATTAGTGGCAATATTTATTTCTCGTGATTATTAAAAGATTCAAAGATTAACTTTAATAAAATTAATATAATCTAAATTTTTTGTGTTTACTATTAATATCTTATAGTGATATAGAATATATTAATACAAATATCCTCCAAAGTCCAAACCTGAACTATTATTTATACCCGAACAAGTATTCGTTTCGGTTCAAATCTGTAAATATTATAAACCTATAATTATACAATTATTTAGAATATTATATATAAAAAAGGAATAATAACCTTTATAATATAATCTTATGTTTATAAGATTTTACATTAAGATTATTATGGCTACCTAAACCTTAATCAATCATTGCCTTCATACTCATATTTATTAATATTTAAAGATAATGATAAATAAAATTTAGTTTCAATTTTTTTTATGTGAATATGACTAAAAGTTTAAGGACATCTACAAAAATTTTTATAAATTGACTGGGTAAGTTTTTCGCTAACAAAAATAATATCGAATTAGATATTCAACAAAGTAGATTAAAAGTGTTGTTTTAAAATAGTTTACTTATTCTAAGTCTCCCCTTTTCCTAGTTCAGGTTGTGGTAATATTTTTGACATTGGCTCATGCTCATGCACAAGAAAGATAAATTTTATTTAAAAAGTTTTAATGAAAACATATTTTATATCAAACTCTTATTTATGATTTGTGTCAAAAGAAAGGACTCATTATTTTAATATTGATATGTTTTTTATAAAAAATATGTTTTTAGTCATAATTCATGAAGCGATTCCAAAATCTATCGAAATCGTTAGAAAGAATGTATAAAATATCTATTGAATTCATTTGAAAGGCTAGAATAAAACACATTCCATTGCCAAGATTTGTAATATTTTATTTTGTGGCTTGGAGATTTGATTCAAAGTATAAATGATAAAATCCTAATAGTATTTTTTATTTTTTATTAACCTAGATTTGATATATGTGAATAATACAACAATAATGTTCTAAAAATCTTAGAAAAAAGGTGCCGTTTTTTATTTGATTATATTTCTTTGATAATTCGTTTGTCATATGCCGACTACGATAAATATTATACTTTACTCATTAATTATAATATTTCTTTATAGAAAAGTGGGTAGGGTTAGTTATAAAATTAAATGTTTATTTTTAATGGAAAATAAATATAGTTTTTAATCTGGTAAAATGATTTTAAAAAAGTTTAAGATATAATAAAAAGGAATTGTATAAAGATTGGAGGTGAGGGAGGGGACTAAAATAATAAATATCTAAAAATATAGAATTCAGAAAATTTTAACAAGTTATTTATGATATGACTCAATGCAAATACAGATAACAAACACAATTGATTTATTAAACCGTGTTCTAGAAATGAGTAGCCATAGAAAAGAAATATGAGTCCCAATTGTCATTGAGAAAAAAATTAGATATTGATAAAATTGTGTGGTCGAAAAATTTAAAAAAGAGAGTTAATCGATCCTGGCCAGACTATTCATAAATTTTAACATGCCGAACCCTATTAAATAGTTATAACATGAGCCGTGCAAAATTTTACGGGCCATGCTGGGAAACATTTACAACAATTCTAAATGGCCCAAAAATGCTAGGCTTTACTAAAAAAAAAATTAATCCCCTACTCCCTTGCCCTCCCTTCTACCCTCCTTAATACCTTTAGCAAAAAAAAACTAAACCTGATGATAATCTTAAAAAACCACACTTCCTCTCCTATTTCTCCTTATCATATTTCAATGACGAGCTTACCTCAACCCCCCCCCCCTACTGTATTATAAATATATACCCTTCGACAATAAAATCTTGATAAATATTTTAAATAAACTTTGCACCATCTAAAGGCATTGTCAAAAATTTTATCGCAACTTTTACAAAGGAAAGAGGGAATAGTAAAAATTATTTTGAAAAAAGTGTTTAGTTCTTGAATATTTCATTTTACATTTTTTTAGAAACCTTAATATAAAATATTATTTATTTAGAAGATAAAATTTAAAAACACAGTTTTAAAAGTTCTGGAAAAATTATTTGGATAGAAAAAAAATTTATGAATCATCCAGATTCCATATTTTGATAATATTGATACATTATTTTTACTTGAACTCGCTCCATATCTATATAGTTTAAATAATATATTATCACACAGAAAATTAAGTATTTAAAATAATAAACAAGGAAGAGTATCAAAACCTTTAATTCAGTTCAAATCTTATGATTATTATAATAGCATGGTCAGAAATAATAGCATAGTCATATTCTTACTACAACAATACAGGTAAATCCTAGAATTTTGCTTGAACATTTAAATCATCCAAACCAAAGTAGTTAAAAAAAATTTAAAATTTTCCTCCAGGAGTAAATAATAATAGCATGCTGATTTAAAATTTTTCGAGTCGATTTATTCTGCTCATTGAGCTGCTCAATTCGAAATGAGTTTTGAGACTCCAACTCAACAGAATCGTTAAAACTCGACTTTTTAACAACATTAGTAAAAAGAATCTAATTATTAAACTTATATACTAATATCATAAAAACTATAAAAAACAATAAATGCAAACATACTATTTGGCTTTTGGCTTGCATAGACTGTAATATGTAATGTTTCAAACTTAATTAAAATTTTATATTGGATAGAGTCAGCATCTAGTCTCTGTAATAAATTGTATTAAATGTTATTTATTTTATATTTTATAAAAAAGAATGGAACATTCGAATTAATAGAATTGATAAAGATAATTTTAAAAATAATAAAACGGTATATTTATTAGATCAGCCAATAATTTGTGGTAGTCATTTTATTATAGTCTGAACATATAGGGTCATTTTAATTTGATTATGGAGATCCTGAATAATTTGTTAGTCTATTTATTAATGCTAATATAATTCTGGCACTGTTTAAATTTAGAACACTGTTTTTGAATTTATAAGTCATTAGAGCATTAAATCATATGTTATGAAATTTGAAGATTTGAAAAACCTAGTTACTAGTGAATTAAATGTCAAAAAATTTGAATGTTTAAACAAAGGAGGAGGAGGATGTATTAACACAGGAGAATCTTATATAACCGATATAGGGAAAATATTCATTAAATCAAACGATAAAGAAAAGGTAGAATATATATGTAATTTCCACATCAAGCATTATTTTAAAGTCTGATATAATGTTTCAAGGTGAATTTAAGAGCTTATTAGCAATTATGGAAACTAATACAGTTAAAGTTCCAAAACCTATAAAAGTTTATTATTTATGATTTCAATAAATTTATAATAAATGAAGATTATCAAAAATTTAAATGGAAATGATATTTTTTTAATAATGGAATACATTGATATTGAAAGATGCAAAAATCAGAAAGAACTTGGTTCAAAATTAGCAAAGTATATACCTTTTTTATTATATATTGTTTTATTAATATTATATAGACTTCATATTTATAATAAAACAATGAAAGAAAATAATTCTAAAGAATATGTTAAGGAATTTGGTTTTTCTATACCAACATGCTGTGGATTTTTGCCCCAAAACAATCACTGGTCTTCAGATTGGATTGTACATATTCTAAAATAATTATAATCAGATTTTTATTATCAGGGACCAAGAATGGAAAGTTGAGTAAATTAACATAACCAGATGGTATATTACAGAACAGTCCAGAATGTTCCTATAAACTATTAAAATTATAATATGGAAATAAATAAATGTTTGATTTCATTATTATATTTAGTTTTCTTAATAATTATTAATAAAATTTATTAATCAATATATAATGGATATATAATTTAATTGATAATAAGAGATAAAAAATTTGGAAAAAGATAGAAATTTTATATCCATTTAGCCAGTACCTATATAAATTATTTTTAGTTTTCTTTATAATTATTTTAAATATCAATTATCATTAATAAAATAAAATTACAATGCTAACAAACAAAGCCCAGAAAAACACTTTTTTGTCCCAAACAGGAACTCAAATATTGTTGTTCCAGGTCCCTGGTTTTTATTTATAAGTTTATAAATTCAGTGTATATTTAAATTAACCCATTAATGGTCACACTTTTTCCAGCTAATAAAAATTCTTGATTTTAAATTTTATCTATTTTAGTTAACTAAGAAATCATAAAAAAAATCAGCATGAAAAAATCATCCAAAATATTCAACTGTTGCATATCTGCAACATTGACCATTAGAGTTATAAAAATAAAATTATATTATTGCAAAAAATCAAAATACAATAGATAATTTCAAAATTTATTATATATTTTTCATATAAGATACAATTTTGTAATTTTTATATTTTATGGTATTTTTTAAAACAATAATTATGTATTGTTACATGTGTATCTTGTCTGACTATGACAAAGCTTGCAACATCAGCTTTTGTTATCGATAATAGCTATAACATAATGTGACCATAAGTAGGGATGTAAGACAGGGGAAATTTCCTATATTTCCCGGAAATTTCCCCTATAGTTTCCCCAATTTTTATAATAGGTTTTTTTGCCTAAATCAACATGATTTTTATAATATTAACAGTTTCCCAATTTTGAAAATGATCTTATGATAAAATAAATACGATTTTTATTAGATTTTATAAAATCATTTTTTCCTCGTGGTTCATATCATAAATTATAATTGTGTTTTGTTTTTGAATTATGTCAATTTCCCTATTTACATTTGCAAAATTTTAGAAGATACTTGTTAAAATTAAATAGCTAGTCTGAAAAGTATATTTATATTATAAATAAATACCGATGAAATTTATAAATAATATATGAAATTTTAAGTTATGTTAATTATCTGATGTCCCTCAAGCGTTTATTCATATCAGGGAGACATTTAACGCTTATAAAACAATATCAAATATATTGTGGCAGAGCTAGATTTTAGAAATAGAGCTGTTTATCGAAAGCCGAAAAAATTTTTGTTGTCGGGACATTCATTATGCTGCTCATATATTTGACCCAAGGTTTTGCGGATTTAATTTAAGAGACAATGAAGTTGTAAAGGGGTTGGATATTATTAACCGATTTTCTGGATATCTAGATTTAGATATTGCAAGAGTAATAGGAAACCTATCCAAATATCGTGCAAGGGAAGATTTTTTTAATATAGCAAGTCTTTGGCAAGGCGCATCATTTACAGATCCAGTGAGTTGGTGGAAAGGTTAAATACTTTTATATTTCTGTAAACAATAACTTAACTCTTTTTCTAATCTTAAAATAGTGTTATTCAATATTTTATTAGGTCTATGTTGCAATCAATACATATCGACCCTAGCCATACGAATTTTATCAGTATCACCAACAAGTGCAGCATCCGAAAGAATATGGTCCTCCTTTGGAAATATTCATTCTAAATCTAGAAATAGAATAAAAAAAATTAGTTTATATAAGAGCCAATCTACATTTTATGGGAAAGGATTCTGAAAATGACAAATTGCTTGATTCCAGAATTTCAAGCTCTGATCTGGAATCATTTTCATCTTCAAACGAAGATAATTAACTATTCAAAATTAATTGTTTAAATATTATTTAGTCTATATATAATATTTCAAATAAAACATGTAAAGTAATTGCAAATTAGTTGAAAATAATTTATATTTGTTTAATTATAATGTTTATAATCTATATATTTTCAATAAAACATAAAAAAAAAATCAATATTGACCTGTAAAGTATTATAAAAAAGATAGTTTCCCGTTATTTCCCTATTTTCCCATTATTTCCCGTTTTTTCCCCAAATTTCCCCGAAATATAGTTTCCCGGGAAATTTACACCATAAGAATTTTCAAGTTTTTCTAGGATGGCCTCTACTTGTAATCATCTTTTTATTTACAGAGGGAGTTTTCAAAAGTGTCATTAGTTATTTCCCTCCGAAATGTTAGTTATGATTTTTTATCATCAGGATTCACTAGATTCCATAACTTCCATGAATTTACTGCTGCTACATCAATAAAATTACTAAAAATAGGCTACCACATTTTTTTACATTATATAATAATTCTATAGATACTCGGTTATCGCACAGATCAACTCCACCCATATTGGAATTATATGAATTTATAAGATTAGGTTGTAATTTTTATTTTTGAGAAAATCTTTCGAGAGAATCTTGATACGCTGCATAAATGGTAAGAGCTTTACCAGTCATCACTGAACTATCATTCCATCGAACTACAAATATTCTATATGTCTTTTCAAATCAGTAGTCGTAATAATTACTCTCTTTTTTGGCATAACTTTAATTGTTTCTAGAGGAGAATTTTCATATTTTCTCTTATAGTCACAGTTGTGAAAAATCCAAGATGCCTCAAATGCTATAAGCCGAAGGTACTTGGACCACTTTGAGTAAATTTCTAACAACCGTTCCTACTAATCCAAGATTCGAAGCCATTGGGCTTTTATTTTTACCTTGATATATATTAAATGAAATTATATATCCATAGGAGGAAGCAAGGGTCCATGATTATATCCAAAATATGTTTACCTTTGATAAACATTTTATAGGAATGACTTACTCAATAAGGTATTGCTCATCTATGCCTAACTTATGTAAAAATTTACCAAATTGTTGAAACTTTTTATTTAGTAAATTTAAATATGCGCGGACTTTATAAAGATTATCCTCTTCAACAAGAGTTGAGTTATTAGATAAATATAGATTCATTTTGATATCTCGAAATGTAAGTGGTGTCATTGAATTTCTAACGATTAGAATAGTAATTTCATTGTCATTCGAACAATATATTCTTTCTTGCGGTAAGGAATGCCAGTCAGCAAAAGAATTCTTATAAATCTTTTCATCGATTTTTTTGTATGGAATAAATATGCGTTTGATCCATAAGCAGTGAATAAATTTTTTGATCAAAAATAATTCCAATATTTATTGGAATTTTTCCGATCAAATCAAATTGATAATAATTCTTTATCATTATCAGTAGGTCAAGATGTGTAAATTGGATCAATTTTTCTCCATTTTAAATTATTACGAAAATTTAATTACTTTCTTGATTTATATATATTGAGGATTCTGAGACAATATCAATATCTGCTGGATTATGGATTTCGATCTCCCCTGCAATAGTCGGTTAAATCGTTTTTATCGAAATCTTCTTCATCACTAACTAAAGCAGCATTAGGAAGTATAATTACAACATCTGCTTCATCACCAGGGCCTTCATCGAAAGCATGGATAGGGCTTCATCAACTGTTAGAAATTATTTTGTCATAATAATATTCTAAATAAATAATTTTTATATTCAAATGAAAAAATATAATTATATGAATTTTCTGGAATTTTTTCTTTTATAAATAATAAAAATATTATGATTAAAAAATAGTATTTTTGTTTAATAAGAATATAAAGAAAAATTTATAATAAAATATTATGCCAAATTTTTTTTATATATTATTTTTTATATAAATTACTTTTTTTTGAACCCTTATGTGGTCAACATTGCATAAATGGTACAGTAAAAAAACATATGATTATTAATTCGAGAATAAATATAATGATGGGCCAAATTAATTAGAATAGATTAAGTCATCTATAATAAATAAATTTATGTCAATTGCATTAAAAAGATACTCTTTTAACGAGGGAGGCTAGAACATATGGCATTTTAATAGTCCAAAATTGTCGAATTTAAATGGCAGCAATCGCATTCAAAAATAAATATTTTTTAAAAGGTGTTTTTTATGTTATAGTACAATCTTCGAGCTATAAGAATCATATGTGAAATTATTTTAATTCAAATTTATATTTGAAAAATCAATAAATAACAACTGTTGCAGATTATGGTATGACCATTAATGGGTTAATAAATAATTTTTATTGATATTAATATTCCCTATAGATTTTATTCCTTTTTTTAATTATATCCAGGAATTTTTTATTCAGCAAAAATTAGAATACCAAATCAATATGATAGATGATAAGGTTCATAATTAATAAATTTAACGTAGCAAAACTTTTTTAAACTTTAGCACAATGATAAAGAATGCATTTCTATTTGGAGTCAATTGAAAGAATGTATACCAAAATATTTTGATGGTATAATTATAGAACCATCCCTTTTACATGGGGATCTGTGGTCTGGAAATATAGGGCAAACACCTGATGGAGATCCAGGTCAAATTTTGTGCTTCGATTTTTATTTTCTCCTGATTATTTTTAAAATCTTTATTTAAATAATTTGCCGATTTCAAGTATGTAGATATTATGTAGATAAATATCATACTATCAAAGAAAGATTATTGAAATGTTTCTTTCATTCTTAATAGTGCACACAAATTGAGTGTTTGTGTTATGCCATGCTTTTTTAAATATAAAAGTCGTAATGCATCTCTTGTTTAAACTAAGTTTGCCTTTTTTATTATTAATATCAAGCATCGACTCATTTTTAACAAGTTATAAAAAAGAATTGATTTTTGTAAATTATATTATCGTATGCCTTTTATTTTATTAATTTCGAAATATTCTATTTTAAAAGATACGTTATTTTTTACATCTTATATAATATTAAATTCAATTTTCATTTTAAATAACTTGAAAGTAGTGCCCCCCCCCCCATTAATCTTACCTGGGTTCCAAGGTTTAGTCGTCTTTTTTGCGGAAAATTTTTGAGAATGATCATAGCTAACTTGCAAAATAATATATAAAAATGTATTGAAAAAGCAAACCAGATGTAACTAACGCCAGGTGATAATTTGAACAATTTGCATTATACTATTGGAAATGCGTTATTTGCGTTTGGAACACCGCTTTGAAAAGCTCAATTTGTGTGCACTATAATGTTTGAAATAAGATAATAAAAGGTAATTTTTAATTTCGGCACTAGTCCTAAATATTAAAGATTTATGCTAATTATCAATTTAGGTATAATCATCCAAAATTTAATAATAGTAAAGATGACAATATACTTTCCATTCTAAATATTTAAATTAAAAATAAAGTTATATTTGACCCAGCTTCTTTTTACGGACATCACGAATATGATTTGGGAATAGCTGGTATCTTTGGAGGGTTTAATGAACAGTTTTATAAAGCATACCACAAAGTATTTCCCAAAATGCCTGGTTTTGATGAACGTCACCAATTGTATCAGCTGTTTCATTATTTAAACCATTGGTTAGTTTTTAACAAAATAATTTCATTAGAAAAACAGGTAGTACTGGAGTTTTATCAAAAATTATTTATCAGCTATTCTTTAAATGCTAGAAATATTTTTGGCAAATTTTCTTCAAAAATTTGAATAACTTACTTTTATTAAAAGAACAAACAATCTTAATGAAAAATTTGATGTCATTAGGTCTAAAACAAATTATTTGTTATTTTATATATTTTACGAATAAGAATAACACAATTATTGGAATCGAATATGAATGAGGAAAAGTATTAGTGAAATAGTAAGCTTTTTATTATTCGATTTGAATTATTCGAAATTACTTATAATGGAATTCTTTTAACAATTACCTACCTCATATAATATAAATACAACAACTTTATTAGAAAAATTTAAGGAAATATATAATGAATACAAAGTTAAATATAATATTAATACATCATCTGATGAAACAATAGTCCAGGCAAACACGGATAAAATATTCGAATAAAATATCATCTCATCAATTTGAGGTTGAAACATATCTTTATGAATTAAGAATCGTGGAGACCGCATGGGGATTATTTTCCCGTTTTGTCGAAAATAGCAACTGACATATGTCCAATAGGGATCTTCGGCTTCATGTGAGCGGCTATTCTCATTGGGGATAAATATGATAATGATAGAATGTCTTTGAAGGAAGAAACCATGAAGGACTTTTGTCAAATTCGAAAGCATAATTATAATTTTTATGCATTAATTTTGATGTATAAAATGAGATCATTATGCATTTTTAGAAAATTTTAATAAAATTTGAATATTAGATCGAAGAAATAACGTATATAAAAAGAATTTAGACATTATAATCAATTCTAATTCTAAAAATCCGGTGTTTTTGGCCAATTATACGTATAACATTATGAAATCATTGGGTTTTATTTCGTTTATTTCCTGTAAATTTTGATATGCTAATAACAATTAGTCCGAAATGTAAAAAATTATATCAACAATATCCATTTTGAATTTGCCCATTTAAGGCACATTAAACATTTCAATTATTCTTTTTTTTAGATTTTATCAAATGTAATGGATTTGTTGTCTAATTTAATCAACATTTCTTCTCATCTTATACAAATGCTAACCATTATCTTTGTTTCATACCCCTAAGCTAACAATTAACTTGGTCCAAGAGCGCAGTCCTGTATTTCAGTAAAAACTAAAAGATAATGGCTCGTATCTAATAAAATGTAGAATATATACTCATCGAATTTTGCACTTAAATTAACATTTGCTCACACGACCCGGCCCGGATTTTTTTTTTTTTAATTTATGCCTATCTCGGGTAAAAAAAAATTTAGGCCCAGGCCGGCCCGGGTACTTTTAAAAAATAAGTACGGCCCAGCCCGTGTACCCGAGCTTAGAGCCGGGCCGACAGGTCTCTGATTCCACCTCTTATATGCACACAAAATGATATAAAGTTATTTCATTAAAATTATTAATATTGTGATTATATAATTACATATGTAGTTGAATAAGAATGTAATGTTAAGTTATTTCTTTCATTAATATTGATTGCATAAGAATGACATCTAAAATAATTGCATTAGAATTGTAATAATTAGATATTATGTTGCATAAGAATATCATTATATATTTTGCTGCTAAAAAATGGCATCTCAAGTTTTTCATTTAACAAAGAGAGAAAGTTATTCAAATTTTTGACCAAAATTTGTCAAAAATATTTCTAACAGAATAATTTTTGATAAAATTTTAGTGCTACCAATAATAATGTAACTGCAATAAATATTACAGTAAAATAGATTATAAACATTAAACAAATTATAGATTTGCTTATCATTTAATGATAAAGCAAGAATAATTCAATGGCCGGCTCTGGGTGCATTACAGGACAAAAAAACCTTGTATGGGCACAAATAATTGATTAGGAGCACCATATGAATATTTAAAAAATATTTCAATTTTATCCCCCCCCCCTCCCGCCTTAATTAAATAATACCACAAAATCATTTTTCTATGTTATTATTTTTTGTTTTATTATTAAAATATATTTCCATATTATCAAAGCGAGACCAATTTAATAAATTTTAAGCCTCCCCTACCCCTATTCAAAGGAAACACGATTTGCCTTTTCCAAAATATATTTTTTTTATATTGGTATTTTCGCATATAATTAATTTTTTTTTATTCTGAATTATATTAATGTAATTTTGTATTTTTAATTCCAAAACCCTTTTCTAATTTAATATAAAAAAACAGAAAATCCAATAAATTGTGAAATAAGATTATATCCGTTTTGACTAGCCGTGTTTATTTCCTAAATCCGACGCGTTTCAAAAGAATTTTTATAAAAAGGATTTTTTTTCGTTAGCGATGGCGGACTGGGAAGAAATCTGTTGTCGCAATGCCCTTTTGCTCACTATATTCAACGATTATATACTGGTTTCGTTTGAATCACCTTTTAGAATTAGCGGTATCAGATGTCGTAAAAATGGTTACTGACGTTAATCACTTTAAAGTCTTTATTACACGATAAATAATTTATATAGCCAATCTAACAAAAATCAAAAGGCTTTGGATAAAATAGCGTTTAAGTTCATCTATATTTTTTTTTTGTTGGCTTTGTTAGATAACCCGTTTGCCTTCCTTTTTGACTTGGTTTAATTGTTATTATTGATTTGATTTCGCGTAGTTGGTCGGGATGTTTTAAATAGGTTTTGTTTCTTCTTTTTCTTCTTCCCTTTTCCAGGATTGTGATGGCGATTCTAGTTTTTCGACCAATTGTTCCCACCATCACTGTTTTATTTTCGCTTGTTATTTTAACATCATTTATCTGTAGATCTATAGCGATTTTTGCGATTCGTTGGTAGAAATATTCTCAATCGTAGTTCACCTGAAGTTTTACGTACCACTACCATTGGAGTACTCCAGGTTACTCTATATAGTTTGTCAATATTCACGTTACCATTATCATTATAATGTTGATCATGTTAATTTCTACATATGTTGGTAACGATAAGTCAATTCTATAATTCCTGAAATCCAAATAGGCTGTGTAAAATTTTATAATCCACGGAAATCCAAATAGGCTTATCAATATTTTGATAGATCATAAATTCTATAATCCATGGAAATCTAAATAGGCTGTATCAATATTTTGATATAAATTCTATAATTCATTTTGATAGTGCCCTTTATCATTATCATAAATTCTATAATCCATGGAAATCTAAATAGGCTGTATCAATATTTTGATATAAATTTTATAATCCATGGAAATCTAAATAGGCTGCATCAATCATTTTGATAGTGCCCTTTATCATTATCATAAATTCTATAATCGATGGAAATCTAAATAGGCTGCATCGTGCCTTTATCATAAATTCTATAATTTTGTTTAAGTTTCACGATTGGTCTTCGTCTTTAGTATCTGGGTATCGTAAACATAGTTCTCCGGCGATTAATTTATCGCGAATTCTTAATTCTTATTATGGATTCAGTAGGGCGTGACTTAATCTAATGAAATTAATTGCTCCTATCAATAGAAAATTTTGAGGATATTTTATGTGTCTATAGTCGTCAGTAGCCCATTTATCTCATTCATCTTTTATCCATAATTGCTAAATCAATTTATTATTTTTTTTAACAAAAAAAAATTATAATTCTATATATTTAATTTGACCGAAAACCGCGCGACCTTTTTCCTCGTCGCCAAATATTATATCGATTATGTTTTATAAAAAAACTGTAATTCTTATGGTATATATACATTTATATAATTATCCAATTTAACTTGTAATAATATGCAATTTGATTAACCTCGATAATATAATATTACATGTCGGAATAATATAATATACAAATATAAGGTGACCTTTAAATATATCTTACAATAATAAATATTCAAATGTAACATCATCCAGAATAGTATTGCGCAAGTCTGAAGATTTTGTTTGTAGAAGGAACAAAGGTTTGGACATCTATTAGCGAAATCTCGAGGCTTAAGGAATATTTTTCTGACTAATATATTGAGTTAGCCGTTTTTAAGAATCGGCTCAAAACGAGCCGTTTAACAACACTACACGCCACCCATAAAATTTAAATGAGCATTCTTTCAATTTTTTTAAAATCTAATAAAAAATTGATGCAATTTCCCCTACAAAAAAAATGTTTTATAATTTAGGAAATTGCTATATTAAAGATTAAAAAAATTCAATTTAGATTACGGATAAGAAATTTATTTGATCATAAAATATTTATTGATATTATTTCTAATTATAATGCAAAAATAATAATGAATTAATATTTTCTGGAATCAATAATCTTTTATTTTGTGAAATCAACATCCATATATTTAAAAAATGATCAGTATATACTTATTTTATTATAAACGATAGCCACAAACTCGGAATCAATAATTTTTAAATGACGTGTAGTTAATTAATAAGTGAAAAAAATATTCCCACAAGGATTTTAAATTAGGCCTTCCGGATACCATAAAAAAAATAGCTTTATTTTTATTTTAATCAGGGAATTCGACAAAAATATTTAATTTAGCAAAAAAAAAATTGACTCCTTTTCGACGAAAATACTGATTATATTGTTTATTTAAAAATTATCAAATTTCATAGTTTATATATATTTTTTTCCCAACAATTTCCTAATCGCTCCTGAATCGAAATAGCCAACCCAATTTTTAATAATATCATTACGGAGTTGTCTATACAGAATAAAGTCAAATAGAGCCTAGAGCCGGCTTTGAATTGAATATTTATTATAAATTGCAATTTTTATAAAAAGTAAACATAAATGTTTAAATAGGAATCATTTTGGTGGTAGTTATCGCTCGCCTTCTATCAATATCATGAAAAAGCTAATCAAGGATTATTAGATTTATCAAAACATTTATTTAACAATGTATTTTAATTTCTTTCTTTACATTCATTTTCTGGTGAAGCGAATTTTACAATTTAATTTACAAATCTATCAGTAATTTTTTTAAGTCGATTCAACAAATAATTGTTTTATGATGAAATTTCTTTTTTTTTACCATATATTATTTTCAAGCAGTGCATATTTTATAAATTTATTCGTAAACCTGTATAATGAATAATTGACTAAATAAAATGAATATCGGCATTATATTAAATATAAAATTTGAGGTAATTAACACCAAAATACAAAAAATTGGAATATGTTTTTTTTAAATTAGCTATAAATTTTCAAAAAGTTCTTCGCGATATATATACATATAAATTGACTACAAAATATAATAACCAAAAACAAAATAGAGCGAATTAATATCTAAAGACTAGGAAAAAGGACTAATCAGGAAAAGCTTTATAATCAATAATACTGTTTGCTTAAAGCCAATACCTAACGTGAAGAATGTCTAAAAATTTAGGGCCAATCTCAGATCTTCAATGGCGTCATCTACTTGTTGCTGTGTAGTGAACCTACCAGTACTCAATCTAATTGATTTCTTAGCCGTACTAACATTCATACCACTATTAAGTAAAACCTTTGAGGGTTCATATTTGCCTGCATGGCAAGCAGCGCCCGTACTGGCCATTAACTTAGAACACTTTTCCAGTATCATGCATCCCCATTCATGCTTCACGGAATCAGATTCGAAGGAAACGGACAAAGTATTAGGTAGTAAATGACCCCGGTGATTGTCTAAGTATAATTGCTCGAAATCTATAAAATTGTTCTCTTTTTCTTTTGAATAGTCAAAGTCTGTCGACAAAAATTGCAAATTATTAAAATTTATAACAGGTCCAAAGGTATTAAATAAACGCTTTATCAAATAAGCTGTGATGGTCTCTAGACTGTATGAGAAATCCTTTCCTGTAGGATTTAAAGCTTGATTACTCATATAGGCCAGACGAGCGGCTTCTCCTAGCCCTGCTATAAGAGCCGTATTTTCTGTCCCGGCTCTCAGGCCACCCTCTTGACCGCCACCTAACAATAATGGGTTAAGATTATTATGGAATTTTAAATGTGAAGAATAATATAGTGCACCAATGCGGGGACCATAAAATTTATGGCCCGTGAGAGTAAGGGAATCAACCCCTAGCTCTATGATAGAAATGGGTATTTTACCAATAGCTTGAGAAGCATCCGTATGGATTATTATATCACTTCGATTGATAGAACACTGACTATTCGGATTGTGGCAAAAATCATTTAAAGTTTGACTGAGTTCTTTGATAGGTTGTATAACTCCTGTCTCATTGTTGGCTAACATGATGGTTATCAAGCGAGTGTTGTGCTGTAGTGCTGATACAAGATCAGATATAAGTATTTTGCCACTGATAGGGGATATTGGAAGATAGGTTACTGAGAGTTTACCTTTTATTTTTATCAATAATAAAAAATTAAGTTGATAATAAAATATTATTATAATTATAACTATAAGGAGCTGACCGATCTATTAATAAAATTTTATTCAGACCACACGGGAACAATTTATTGCACTGGATTATAACTTCAATCAAAATAACATTAGTTTTGAGTTTCATTTCAAATAATGCAAAATGAATTAGTGATCTGCATCGGGCCTAATTATTCATGCCCGGCCCGGCAATTTTTTTTTAAATATAGAAATTAATTTATATAATTACTCAAAATAAAAGACATATGTTATATGGCGTTTTCCAATAAATAGAATCAAATTTTTTTATTTTACATAAAAAATTCAAATAAAATTGATAAATTTAGATATATTTAAAAAAATACCAAGGTCCGACCTGACCCGGCTTGATTTTTTTTTAAAAATATTAGGCCCGGCCCCGATTATTTTAAATAGAATTAGGCCCGGCCCAAAGCGCGTTCGGGCCGGGTTTAACTTTGCAGATCTCTATTGAATGCGTTCATGAATTAAGTTGGTTTTTTTGAAAAGATAATGAACGACGTTCCTTTTATTTATTACGAACTTTGAATGTGAACGCGGTTCCTTTTTTGACGAATGCATTCATTCAATTTAAAAAATCTTCATTTGAAAATAAAAATTTTAATTTAATATTGATCCAAATTTTTCATGAAAAAAGTTTTTTTTTAATTAACTGTTTCCTATATCAGTTGAATTTTTTAACAAGTCACTATTTTTATTTGAATATTATTTATAGATTAGAGTAAGCATCGATATCATCAACATTCTGAATTACCATGGCCCAAATATAATAAATACTCTACAGTAGAATAATATCTTCAATAAAATAATTCTATCCTTACCAAATGTAAAATGTGTCTAAAAAATATATAAAATCTTTAGGTTCTAATTTAAAGATACTTGATTGCAATATTTATTATTTTATTAATATAACTATAAGTTTCCTGTTAATAATTTATTTTAGATTGCTATTTCATTATTAAATTATGAATATTATAATTGAATAAATATTATATAGTATAATAGGTATAAAATAGTTAATATCTTTTAGAATTTATTTATTTTTGGTATGTATGATTATTTGAAATTTCACTATTATTTTTAAGTTTTTATTAAGGGTTGCATATCTTAATAGTTGCCAAAGCAATATTTAGTGCATTATGATTAATGATTAAGAGTGTATTTTGTTTTTTATTCCCCAAAAGTCTCATTTAAAATATGGGCAAGGCTGAATGTGGCTTGTTAAATATTTTAAATCATTTTTTGTTGTTTTCTTTTAAAATAATTCTATTTTTTTAGGCCTTCATTATAAATAAATTGAATTTAGATTCCTATTATTAATTTATTATTATTTGAATATGTAATATTCTTAACCAATGCCAAAAATGATAATTACAATTATATAAAAAAAATTATTTTAAAATTCGAAGTGATTAAAAATGGAATGTTATTACTTATTTAACTTTTAATTTATTTTTACAAATTAATTAAAAATGATATGGTTAATTACATCTCTACATTTTTCAATAAATAATTATTAGTTTTGATATTGGTATTAAGCATCTGGTATTGGTAGATGTTGTGTTAGTATTGAGTTGAGTATTAGCTAAATGTGGTGCATCTCTGCGAAAAATGTAAATAAGCCAATAAAACCTAGTGTTGTTAAACGGCTAAGCCGATGCGGCTAAGCCGCCACTCGAGTCGAGTTTTTAGTCGTAATAAACGGCTCAGCATTGATCGGCTCAATCAGCTGTTTGAGCCGACACCCGAGCTGACTCCTGAGCCGATTTTATATTTAAAAATATTTTATATATAAAAGAAAGTAGTGTTGTTAAATAGTTAAGTTTTATCGACTCTGAACTCGAGCCGTAGTCGTATAATACGGCTCAGACTCGGCTCAATAAGCCATTTGAGCCGACTCCCGAGCTGATTTTATATTAAAAATTATATTATATATAAAAGATATCAAATTTATAAAGAATTATACAAACTATTATTATATATATATAATAGAGTTGTTAAAAGTTATTTTTTAAATGGATCTAGGTGCAGATACAAATACATTGTCTAAAAATGGATCTAGATGCAGAAATATACAATTTTAAAGATACATCTAGATACAGATACAAATTTTTGCATACTAATATACAGGGTTCGCCGTTGTTCTCGAACAGATACAGCAGATATAATCTTGATCTGTAAATATATTTGGGTTTATTTAGGGGATATATTATATGCCCCAAGCTAAGAATCCGTTTAATATATTATTTGGTGTTACTGTAATTATATATTTTAACCGACCCATAACATCAAGGTGACATATATTATAAACATCGTTATTGCGTGGTGACTTCTCTATAGATTTCAGATAAATTTTATTTTATAACAAATACATTAAGGAACATATGTGCCAAATTTGAATCCTGAGGATATGTATATTTTAGTAAAAGCAAAATATACTAGAGAATGATTTTTATATTTTTTGGGTAAAAAACAGTTTTTTGACAAAATAGAAAAACCAGGTAAGTTTTTAAAAAGATGAACATAGGTATGAAATTAGATATAAAAATACATCTTCACACCAAATTTAAAATCTTTGTGCTCAAGGGTCTAAAAAATTATTCGCGTTAACATTGTTACCCCGTCAATCGCTTTACTCAGGTCTCCCCTACATAGAGAAATTTTTTTAAGATATATATAACATGATATTGCATCAAACTTTAAAATTTATTTAAAATTTTTTACATTATTATTTATCTCAAGAATTCAAGTAAAATTTCTTTTACCTGAGATTATACCTATATAAATCCTGCATAATAATAAATCCTGCATAATAATTTAATTGTATGATAAATCAATTGAAATTGACGCAATAATTTGTTTTTTATTAATATATTTTCGAATATTATAATTTTATATATGTATAAATAATGTAAAAAATATTATATAAACAATTTAAATAGTATAATACATAAATTATTTATTCCCAAATATTATCGGTAATAGTAAAAAGATTCACATCCCACGAATTTAACGACAGCGTCTGTAAGAACGGATGAAGACATCCTATTTCTCTTCTTAGTCATTGTATCGACAGCTCTAGAGAAAGTTCTTTCACTTGATACGGATGTAGTTTTTTGTGCCATAAAATCTTTAGCTAATTTGGACAACCTTGGAAAACGATGAGTATACCGAGACCACCATCCCAAAACATTCTCGGTGGTCTGTGCAACTGGGTCTGATAAATAATCCTCTATTTCCCCCATAGCAGGATTCACGGCTTCTTGGGCACAGCTAAAAATGAATATATAATTTATGTATAAGTTAATAAATACTTACGTTCGCAATTCATTAAGTATATTTACTGACATTAAATGAGATTCATTTTCTTCATTAGTAAAATTATATCTATCTAAATTATTATTATCATTAGGGGTGTACCGATACCACTTTTTGGAGGCCGATCCGATCCGATATTTCAGATATTAAATTGATATCGGCCGATAACCAATCCGATATCATATCTAATTTTGTATTCTGCAAAGATACCGGTTTTAATTTTTAATATACTTTTTATTAGTACAACATCTATAATTTTACTATACCATAACATATGTCATTTAAATATATTATAATGGTCAGTTATAGTTTATATTCAATTCAATTGCTATTATTTATATAATAAGTAATAACATTAATCTATTTACATAATTAGTAATAAAAAAATATATTATGAAATTTGAAATTAATATTTAAAATTAATATATCGAAGATTTCTTTTTATCAGAGATATGTCGGCGGTGATGGGGACTGTTAATATCACTAGCATCACTAAAAACAGATACTGAAGAGATTAATGAACACTTTTTTAAACAGAATGCGAAAAAAATAACTATATTGCAGAATGTTTATTAACTAATGATTTCTATTAAAAAAATTAAACATAAAAATGTATTTCGATTTTATAGATATAACTTTTTTTAAATTTTGTTAAAAGCGCCATTTTATATTGGATCGGAAAATTTTATAATATTTGCCGATAACCGATATTTTAAAATGAGCGAAATATCGGCCCGATCCGATATAAAATATCGGTACATCCCTAATTATCATCATTATATTGAATAAATAAATCTTTCATAATATTCCGATGTATTCAAAATCGGCGGCAAATATTTTTTCTTAATCCTTGGATCAAGTATACCGCAAACGTAATTAGGAAATGATTCCATAATTACAATATACATCTCTGCAAAAAAAACATTATTACCAATCTTCACGAGCTTCGTAGTGAAGTCTCCTTAACAACCGATATTTGGACCGGATTAAATAAAATGACGTTTTGTTCATTAACAATCCACTATATAGATAAAACATGGATGATAAAGAATTTCTTATTAGATATTCTTGAATTCCCACACCCCCATGGTGGTCAGGATATTTTTGAAATAATAAAAACAACTTTAGAGGAATATGAAATTATTAGCAAAGTAATAAGCATAACGAATGATAATGGGGCTAATGTTATCCATGGAGTTAATTTATTGATAGAATATATAGAAAAAAATTATAAAAAAAAAATGTATAATCACCGATGCTTAGCCCATACTATAAATCTTATCGTGAAATACGGGCTGGATTATTTTTCCCCATCATTAGAAAAAATTGAGGGCTTCGTAAAAAGTATTCACAGAAGCCCCAAATTAATGCAAGGATTCATGAAGATAAGTGGGGGTATTAGAATACCGATGGATGTTGCCACAAGGTGGAACAGCAAGTACATCATGATTACAGCCATTAATAAGGTATTTTTAATTATAACATTTAACATATTTTAATTTTTAATAGAATATCCAGCTAGCTAAAGATTACAGTGGTGATAAAGACTTTAGCTTAAACACCGAGGAATCTAAATTTTTGGTGCTTTTAGAACAATTTTTGTTTCCATTTTATAAAATAACCTGCGAAATAAGTGAGGAGAGCCACAGAAATATCGGTATGGCCATGTTATACATGGATAAAATACAGACTAATTTGGAGTCTGTATGTAGATTTAGTACAAATAATTGTATTAAAAGTGGGGCTACAAAAATGCTGGAAAAATTTTCCTAATTACGTTTGCGGTATACTTGATCCAAGGATTAAGAAAAAATATTTGCCGCCGATTTTGAATACATCGGAATATTATGAAAGATTTATTTATTCAATATAATGATGATAATAATAATTTGGATAGATATAATTTTACTAATGAAGAAAATGAATCTCATTTAATGTCAGTAAATATACTTAATGAATTGCGAACGTAAGTATTTATTAACTTATATATAAATTATATATTCATTTTTAGCTGTGCCCAAGAAGCCGTGAATCCTGCTATGGGGGAAATAGAGGATTATTTATCAGACCCAGTTGCACAGACCACTGAGAATGTTTTGGGATGGTGGTCTCGGTATACTCATCGTTTTCCAAGGTTGTCCAAAATAGCTAAAGATTTTATGGCACAAAAAACTACATCCGTATCAAGTGAAAGAACTTTCTCTAGAGCTGTCGATACAATGACTAAGAAGAGAAATAGGATGTCTTCATCCGTTCTTAAACAGACGCTGTCGTTAAATTCGTGGGATGTGAATCTTTTTACTATTACCGATAATATTTGGGAATAAATAATTTATGTATTATACTATTTAAATTGTTTATATAATATTTTTTACATTATTTATACATATATAAAATTATAATATTCGAAAATATATTAATAAAAAACAAATTATTGCGTCAATTTCAATTGATTTATCATACAATTAAATTATTATGCAGGATTTATATAGGTATAATCTCAGGTAAAAGAAATTTTACTTGAATTCTTATGAGATAAATAATAATGTAAAAAATTTTAAATAAATTTTAAAGTTTGATGCAATATCATGTTATATTATATTATATATCTCTTAAAAAATTTTCTCTATGTAGGGGAGACCTGGGTAAAGCGATTGACGGGGTAACAATGTTAACGCGAATAATTTTTTAACCCTTGAGCACAAAGATTTTAAATTTGGTGTGAAGATGTATTTTTATATCTAATTTCATACCTATGTTCATCTTTTTAAAAACTTACCTGATTTTCCTATTTTGTCAAAAAACTGTTTTTTACCCAAAAAATATAAAAATCATTCTCTAGTATATTTTGCTTTTACTAAAATATAAATATCCTCAGGATTCAAATTTGGCACATATGTTCCTTAATGTATTTGTTATAAAATAAAATTTATCTGAAATCTATAGAGAAGTCACCACGCAATAACGATGTTTATAATATATGTCGCCTTGGGGTAATAAAGCTGTTATGGGTCGGTTAAAATATATAATTACAGTAACACCAAATAATATATTAAACGGATTCTTAGCTTGTGGCATATAATATATCCCCTAAATAAACCCAAATATATTTACAGATCAAGATTATATCTGCTGTATCTGTTTGAGAACAACGGCGAACCCTGTATATTAGCATGCAAAAATTTGTATCTGTATCTAGATGTATCTTTAAAATTGTATATTTCTGCATCTAGATCCATTTTTAGACGATGTATTTGTATCTGCACCTAGATCCATTTAAAAAATAACTTTTAACAACTCTATTATATATATAAAATAATAGTTTGAATAATTCTTTATAAATTTTATATCTTTTATATATAATATAATTTTTAATATAAAATCGGCTCAGGAGTCGGCTCAAATGGCTTATTGAGCCACTCTAGTCTGAGCCGTATTATACGTACGGCTCAAGTTCAGAGTCAATAAAACTTAACTATTTAACAACACTACTTTCTTTTATATATAAAATACTTTTAAATATAAAATCGGCTCAGGAGTCGGCTCAAATGGCTTATTGAGCCGCTCTAGTCTGAGCCGTATTATACAACTATGGCTCGAGTTCAGAGTCAATAAAACTCAACTATTTAACAACACTAATAGAACCTAAATATCAGGTCTAATGTACAGCACTAATACAAACTATTTGATGATAATAAATTTAGAAGAAAACATTTATTAAAAACCATATTGATCTACCTTTATTTTGAAGATCTTGAAGTAGCAAAAGAATGGAATCATGCTCAATACATGATGTAATAACATGTGGTATGTTCATGTTTTCATTAAAAATTTGAGTATTATGGTTACCATTTGCACAATATACTTCATTAAACCCATTTGGACTGTTCAGATGATTGCTTTCAACACCAGCTTGAGCTTTGTAGATTTTATCTTTAGTCTTTTGAAAGTTCTTTAGCACAGAATAAACAATAGTGTTATTGGATTCTGTACCCCCACTAGTGAATATTATATTGGATTGATCATTACAATCTATGAGTTTTGCTAAATGAGCTCGAGCCTCTTCAATAACACTTTTAGCTACTTTCCCTAAGATATTATTACTACTAGGATTAGCCCAGGAGTGTTTTAAATGATGGCTTATGACTTTATGAACAGATTCTTCCAAGGGTGTCGTAGCATTATAGTCAAAATAAAGAAATTCCATTTTTGTGAAAGCTATAAAAATAATAAGGTTAAATAACTTATGAGGTATTTATGATAAAATAATATTTAAACTTATGAGATATATTATGTATAATTAAGGTAAAATAATATTTATTTTATTTTTCATAAGAAATTGATTATCATCCTACATTTTCTTTAATATATAGTTCATAATATTTAGAGAAGAAATAATTATGTGATACAAAATTTTTTTTCTACTAAACGCTTAAAAATCAACACAATAGTTAAAATTTTATATTTTATTTTACCTGAAATATAAAAATAAAATGGTTATCCTACATAACAAGCATACAAGAGTTTTTCAAAGATTTCCATGTCCAGTCGTATGCATGAATTAATTTTTTAAACCAAATTATTTATCACAATTTTAACATTAAGGGACTAGACATATAAAAACTTTATATAATAAAAAATAAGGTTAAATAGAGGATAGGGGATACAATTATGAAAACATAAATGTAACTCAAAAAATGTGTAGTAATTATAATTATATATAAATATTTCTTTGTATTTTTTTGTCTTTAGAAGAGGAATTCTTTGGCTTCCAATGTGTGGATTCGTATTTTATGTGCCCAAGATTTTTAGAAAAGAGGTGAAGTGTTAACAGTTAATTTTAAAATCTCAACGGATGAATGTGGCCATTGGAGTAATAATAAAGTTACCCAATGTTTTGTTTCGGCTTATGTAAGTGTGTTGCTGTTGATATTTGTTAGAAGTGATAACCTCTCATTCACATTAGAGCGAATACGCGGTGAAAAATAGAGCATATTTTGTTTATTTGTGAATGCTAAATTTTCTCTTTCATGCTAACCCCTAAAATATAGTTGGCGCGTCCTATCTTTTCAAATAGCTCGGCTTTGGACTATATCCGAAAATTTTCATATTCAATATGTCCTTGCGGATTTGAGAAATGCAAGTTTGTCGAACTCGGTTGGGTTATACATCTATAATTCAGGGGAGTCACAAGTCTACAATCTCAGGGGGCTTAACTAAAAAAAAATTTATGGTGAGCGAAGACCTCATCCAAAATTTGCAATATAATACTTTTTTTAAATTTGCTAATGTACAATTATTCTGAATTTCATATTTTGTCATTTATTATATTATGCATACAAAATAAACTTGCATATAAATAATTAAAACAATACATGCCATTTCTAAAAATGATATTTTTTAATACAAAATCTATTACAGTATAAATAATTTCGACTGCTTAAAAAAAATTGCGTCTAAAGAATTACAAGTGATTAAAAAGGTTAATTAATTCATAAATATGCTTCAATTAATGGTTTTTAAAAACCACATAATATAATATAATTCTTAGCAACTTACATTGACAAAAGGTCATGTCTTTTTTAATTATTAGAATTTTATGAAATTTTTATATATTGGGCATCCAGATCGGATCTATTAACTTTTATTTAATTGTCTTCATACATATAAATTCTCCCCAAAAATATCTATATTAATATTATAATTCTAATAATGTTTTTGTTAATAATATTATATTATCTATTTATATATTTTTTTGCGGCTATAAATCAAATATTTTAAATATTGCTAAATGTAAAGTTAATGTATAAGTTGGGTATTAGAGCCTAGAAATAAAATACATATTATAAATTCTAATTCCTTTAAAAAATTCTATTAATTATAAATTAATCCATTTTAAATTAACATAAAAGGAAAAAGTAACAAAAGATAGAACGAAAAATAAAAATAAAAAGATTAAAAATTAACAAATTATATGAGAAAAATAAAAAGCTTTAAAAGAAAAAGGGTTAAACAAAATAAAATTCCAACATTTAGAAAGTGGTTTGATATTCACAAAATCTCAATAATATATCCTTTCTTTAATAATCATTTACATAGTCTGTAATTTTAAATAATATCATTATAATTCTTTTAATTTCCATAATAATTTTTCGTTTTTATTTAAATATTACAACAGTTAATATAATGGAAAATTTATTTTGTAACTTTCTTTTTGTTAAATAGTTAATTATACTAAGTTGTTACAATATATATAAGACTATATGATATTATCAGTTAACAGATTATTTATTTTATCTTCAAAATACTATGCCGAGAATCACCTTTTGAATCACCACGTTTTCTTTTTGATTTTATATACATTTGATTATTTGCTTCAATAAATAAATTATCTTAAGCTACGACAATATCAAATATGTTTTTTTTGAATTAACTAAATTTCTGTAATCTAAAATATTTTCTAGTCAATAATCGTTAATTATAGTTTGAAATATATTAAATAATATATCCGTTTCTGGACATTTATGGAAAAATTATAACAAAATTAGAAAATTTATATCATTTAATATATCAAAATATCCATGAGATGAGATATTATAAAAACATTATCTTGAGCTAAATGATATTTTTGATAAACTTTCGAAAACACAATTAAAAATTTTTTTTAAGAATATAATATTTTTAAAAAATTATAGAAGGCAGAAGATTATATAAAAAATTGTTATACTTTATTTTTTTAATTCTTTATTATAAAAACATTTTATCTTTTCAAAATCTCTTAATTCTACTAAAAATTGTCGGATATATATATACATATGATTATTTACATATAACATTTTTTACGAAAGTAAGAAAAGAACAAATTATTTTAAGGTTAAACATTAAATTAAGAAAAGAACAAAAAGTTAAACATTTTTTTTCAAAATTTATATTCAAATAACCTTTAAAACAAAACTTTATAATTGTAAGTTAAAAGAAAATGACTTTAATATAAAAATATAAATTTTTATATTTAAAAATCTTAATTTGCATTTAAAAATATGCATAATATATAAAACTATATTAACCTGTAAAAAAATAACTAAGTAAACAATTTAAAAAAGTCAAAAATAAGGAATGTTCTTTTTAAAACATATATATGGGGGGGGGGGAATTATGCTTTCATTGAGATTCTAGAAAACTAAGATAGTTTCTTAAAAACATTGATTGTAATATTTTAAAATAGGATCCATGATTATGACTAATTTGCAATTTTAAAAAAATAATGGCCTTATAGAATAGTATATCATTGAGAATAGTAATATTTTTACGTACGCAAAAAGAATGGTACATATTTATTTTTTACCGTAACTTAAGCCCTTGCCTCTATAGAACCTTCGTCACTCATTTAATAATAAAATATTTTAAAAAAATTTATAATGTAGTAATAAAAATAATCCACTTACAAAAAGTATTCGTTAAAATATTTAGTTATATAAAAAAAATTCGTCAAAGTAGTTTCATTTAAATACTTTTGTGAAAATATTTTGTAGAAATTTAGTATTTATAATTGAAATACATTTTTTAAAAACGTATGTATATTTACATGCATAAACCTTTTTTGTGAAGTGTATTTGTATTTATATTCAAATAAATATTCTGAAATTTTTTCCAACCCTGTGGTTGTGTTGTTAAAAAGCCCGATATTTGTCGAATTATAAAATGCCCATTAATATTTTTGCCAAAATAATAACTCTGGAAGCCTGAAGAATTTGCTAATAGATGGTGGAAATTGGACTTATTTTTACATAATCTCGAGGCTAACATAATATTACTTCACCTAAAATTTTAATAGGGATGTTAATATACCTGAATCGGGCTTCTTGAAACAACACTACATGAGAGTATCGATCATATAGATCATATGACAATGAAAGATGTCATGTTATTATTTTTTATTAGCGCTTCTTTATTACGTTTGCATATGAAAACTCGAGAATCATACCCACAATTTGTAGCTATATAAATGAAGAAATAGGAAATAAGAATATATATATAAAGTAACATCTAATTTTCTTCAAATTTGTTTTATACAAAGATTTAAATCTTTATCTTTAGTTAAAATATTAAGGCTTGCAATTTATTTTTATAAGTTACAACTAATCAATATATTTAATTTTTAACAATTATTGATTTATAATATTGAAACAAAAGTTATTTTAACATATAATAATTTTAAAAAAATATTGTCAAATTTTTAAAACTAAATATATTATATTTTGACTTGCTGGATTATTGGAGTATTATGTCAAAGTTTAAACAAAAATTGAAACATAATCAGATTATTTGAATTTTTTTTTAAAAATAATATATAACATATCATGGTTTAATATTTTGGAGCAAATAGTTTTTCAATTAAAATATTATTTTGCTTATTCTGAATACTTTATTTTATTCATTCTTAATGATCTAAGAAATTTCTATAACCTAAATTAATTAACATTTTAATTTTAATCTGGGCCTGTACCATATCAGGGAAGGGGGTGGTGATTAACTATGCATTTCCTATTCTCACAATAGAAACAGGAATTTTTAAACAAATTCATTAAATGCTCAGAATAAATATTTAATGTTCAGAACAAATATTGAATGTTCAAATAAAAATAATAATTGCCTAAAAAGAATACTAATTGCTCAGGTTAAAACTGTGATGCTTAGATTAAAAAACAAATTTCCAAAAATTATCTTTAATATAAAAAAAAAATTTGTGAAATTCAATAAAAAATCTCTTTAAGTATTTTTTAATTAATAGCAATTAAGGAAAAAAATTCTGAGAATTTTAATTTTTATTCTAAAAGTAATTCATATATCAAAAATAAGTAGATATGTGATAAGCATCAGAGTTATTAAAATCGAAAATGATATTTTATTTGTTTTGATCCATACAAAGCACGAAAAAGATTAAGTGAAAATATGTTTGTCACATAAGGTTAATTTTGTAAATGCATAGGCAGTGGTGTCACTAGTCTAACATTCTTTTTTTTTTTAAATTACCTTTAGCTAATACTTTTAAAATGACCTTTATTTAAGCAAATATTTTCAGAATGACCTTCTTTTTAAAGATATTTTTTCCCTGTGTGCACAACCCTCTCTAGTGACCCTACAGTTCATAGTTAAAAATCTTAAAACCTATAAAAAATAAAAAAAGAGTACTACACATCCATAAAAATATGCATAATATTCAAAACAATAAATATAGAAATGGGTTTACTTTGTAATTCTTACCAGAAAATGCTAATAAATTTAGAAACAGAAAAATCTAAGAAAAACTAGAATGCACATTATTAGGCATTCATGAGAAATAACCAAAAATCTATCTGTTTAAATAGAAAAATGAAAATGTTAACATCTGGAAATTATATAGGTAAGGGGGGGAAATAGAAAATAAGAGAAAAAAAACTAGACTACACATTTAGGTAAATTTCCTTAAATATAACAAATTAAAAATAGAAATTGGTTTTTCATAACATAGATAATTACATAAAATTATTAATTATACAGGTAAACTTTTCCAAAAAGTAAAACATATTTATTAAAAAAAGTATATATAAAGTATGGAAATGAGTTTGTTTTGTGAAACTGATATATAAAATGCTAGTACCCATTTGAAATCATGCAGGTATAGGATCAATAAATTATATCACTCAGAATCTAATAAAATAAAAATGGATTTGTGATAAAGCTAATCCAAAAAATGCTAAAATAAGTTTGAAATTACATTATTAAAGAGTAACAAAGAATTAAATTTATGTTAACTCTTTCTAGATATGATCCTGACTAACTCAATACTATATTTTATTTTTATAATAATATGTAATTTGCATGAATAAATAGTATTCACCTCAAATTTTCTAAATCAGCTTTAAATGACAAACCCATTTCCATTTTTTAGGTTTTTTAAGAAATTCACAAGAATATGTAATTTATTTTTTGAAATTATTTTTAATCTTTGATACTATGCAATATGGATTAGCTTTAATGACAAACGTAATTCCATTTTTAATTTGTTTTGAGTGATGTCTTATAAGCAAAATTTTTAATTTTTTTTAAAATTTAAATTGTGAATTTAATCAAATGCTGATTAATTATAAATTTAGTTGATAAAATATCTTATATCATAATTTTTTTACTGCGATATAATATAAGCTGGCAAGTTAAGGGTTAATGCTTCCAGAGGTCCACACAGGAAATTATTGAACTTGATTTAATTCGATATTTCAAATAGAAAGTCAACTGTCAAATAAAAATTTGTTGGTTATCGTTATCTACCTTTTTTTTCTAAAACGAATAATCGTTATTAGTGTTGTTAAACTGCTCGAGATGTGCAAACCTGTTCCTTCTACAAACTAAGTCTTCAGGCTTGCGTAATAGTTTTATGGATGAAATATCAACACTAATTCAAATAAAACCCTTAAACCAAATTGAAATTTTTTAAAATTGTTTTAATATCTTTAATCTTAGATACTGTTATAACTGGCTATCCATGAATACCAGTCATTTTTAAAAATCTTCATTATGAGTTTTGTGGTAATTGTATCCACAAAATCAAGAAATTTTAGAATCCTCCATTTTTCTATTTGGGTTTCGCTTTTAAATTATATTATGATAAATATTTTAAACAAAAAAAAATTCTGACGGCTCAACAATTGTTTATAACAAAATATTTACAAATAAAATAAGTAAAGGTAATTATTTTTTAAATATTTATATTGATAACATTAAATTATATATAATTTGGTTTATTGCTTTTTGGTTTTTTTTTTGCATCCTTTAAAATATATAAAATTATTATATTACTTTTACTGACACAATTCTTATCCTATCTTCTAAGTCCGAATTACGTTTCAAATTATACAACCAATGAGATCAAATTTTCAATGCCACGTGGCTAATTTTTAGGGGTATGCCGGATCGGGGCATAATCGGGCCTAGTTATAAGAAAATCGATTCAATATTTTTGATAGAGTATAACGATATTATTAGAGGTCGATCCGTTATTAAATTGACATCTGCTAATTACAGATCCGATATTACATATCTGATTATTAAAAATATTTTAATTGTATGTATCTCTAGTGATCTGAATCTCTAATTTTCAAGCCCGACCCTAAAAAATTTTTAAAAAGTTTTGCTGGCCCGGCCCGAATTTATTTAAATATAGAAATTAATTTTTATAATTACTCAAAATAAAAGATATATGTTATGTGGTGTCAAATCTAGTTTCCATAAATAAAATCAAATATTTTTATTTTACATTAAATATTGAACATAAAATTGATAAATTTCAATATATTAAAAAAAAACTCCAAGACCCGACCCGGCCATTTTTAAAAATATAAGACCCAGCCCCAACCTGATTTTTTTTTAAAAATAAGCCCAGCCTGAAGCCCGTTTGGGCCGGGCCTACTTTTGCAGATCTCTAATCACATCATCATTTGATTATATAACATCCATAACCATAACATAAGTCATTTATATGATATTATCTAATAAAACTATCATTTTATATTAATTAAAGTTATACTCATCAATTTAAAGTATATAAATATTATTTAAAATCGTTTTAATTTATTTTTTGTTTCGAAAGTCCTTCATGGTGATTGTTAGTCTATTAAATTAGGTAAGTTATTTTTTAATTTTACAAATTAATTTTTTTTATTTATTGAGAGAAATCTCTAATAAAAATTTTTAAACCATTTTTTTAGCTTAATATTAGTTTAGGTTTTAAAATTGAATATTAAATGATTTCTCACTATATAAGGAGATAAGAATGAACAAAATACATTATATGTATGAAAATGAATAACGAGAATTAAAATAATTAAAGTAATCACGATTTTGATTAAATTGATTTTTATTATCCAACTAAACTATGTCTTAGAAATGCCTGTTTATTATTTTTTATTTATTGAACCTCTACCTCTATTATTTTAAATAGATGCTAGTATTTTCTACATTAACTTCATGTGACAACATCTCAATCAATATTTTATACTTTTTAACTCAGAGACCTGCATAAATCGAATTTTTAAACCTGTTGTGGATTTTTTTCCCATTTTCAAGCCCAGTTTCCATGTATTTTAGTTAGACAGCTCTTAAAAACAAAGAAATAAGCATATTGTATTCATTTTCAAAATGGTTTCAACATTTCAATCCCCAGGCTGGCCTATTAAAATTTTGCTAAAAATCAGAGATTTTTTTTAAATATAAATAGTCCAGCTCGGTCCAAAAAATATGCTTGAATTGCTCTACCCGGCCCGTTGTATTTTTTTATTACCCGGCTCGATATAATATTTTTAAAAATTTCCCGCGGGTCCGGCTTTACAGACCTCATATATCAAATAATCCGATTATTGACATACTTTAAAAAAATATTGACCGATATTCAGGCTTCTACGATATTTAAAAAAATCTATACTTCCTCGATGACTACCAAAGAATTTTTGATACTCCTAGTAATTTTCGATATAAAGGGTTATTTATAACATATTTTATCTTGTCACTGAGCTTACCACCAGAAAAGGTGAAAGCTAAAGAGAAAAAAAAAAAATCTTGTCACTGTCAATGATAATAAGTTTGTTCATTAATTTATTTTATTGTGTCCTGAATGACAAATAAATTATATATAAATTTACAATTTTAAATTTGATTTGCCTTATAATCTTAATTGTATAGAATATGGTATTTTTTATTACCATTCATTGTCAATAACGCGTTAAAAATGTTCAAAAAATTAGATAATTATATAAATTAAAAGGGTGCCACTTTATTCTTTTGTCAGCCGTTATTTTATTGTTATTGGATGTTTTCTATTGTGTTAGAGATTAGTGGATAATATTAATTGTATACTATCTCAAAATTTTAAAAGCCAAATGAATCGAAGGAAATTATTTGTTTCATTTTTTTGAGGAAAGATATTTATAAAATAAGACAAGAAATCAGTGTCAAGACTCATTCCCAAGATAAGAAAAAGTGATTTTTGTCGACTAATGAACATTAAAATTCTTTAAAACACTATTTATAAAATATAATACATCAGCACCCATTCTACGGGCCAGGTATTTATTTTTATAAATAGTGTAAATATATATTGATTCATAAATTTATTGAATCTTTTTTCATAGAAACCCTTTAAAAAAAGTAAAGTAAGCGTTATTTTTGGAAATCAACGTAATGGCGTTACTTTAAAAAGTAATGTCGTTGAGTAACGCCGACAGCTCTATCAAAAATAAACGAGTATTATAAAATATATTAGATAATGACACTTTTCCTCCTCCCTCCTTTATAATGACAATGAGCCTAGAACTATTCCCCTTTTTGTTAAGTTTATTTTTATTTGACACTTTTATAGAGCTAGACTAGAATAATAAATAAATTGGTTCATTAGAGAATTTCCTGAAGTTTTTATAAAAATGAATTTTAATCAAAAATATTTTATATCATAATGACGTAATCTTCGTATTGAACATCATATTATTTATATTATTGCCTAACATATCAGTTAAAAAAAAATATATGATCATTTTATAAATAAAATTATATTATTAAATTTTTAATTAATAAAAAAAAATGTAAATATAAATATATTTCTATAACTAATGGCATACAAAAATCTATATTTTGCTTAAATCTGATGTCACATAAGATTGTATAGTCTAGTATGTGATTTTGATGACTATCATTATTCATAAACGGATGTATGCAATGTTTGTCTGCATTTGTTCAATATATTATTATTTTTTGATATCTTTATTCACTATTTCTTTTAGACATTGACATTGAGTTATTATATGATCTTGGCATTTAATATAATCTAAAAGATACGCGCACTTTTTTTAAATAGGAAGTTCATTATGATTTATATAATTATAAAAATTAAGTAGAGGGTTTTTTATCAATAAACATTAAATTTTATCTATTTTTCAGGGGGTGGGAGGAGGGATCCCGTGTCTAAGTCACTGATAATTATAGAAGATAACCATTAATATTATTATGGACTATTGTAGAGTATTATATATATTTTATTTACATATTTATCTAATATACCTAACTAAGAATAATATATTATTAAAAATAGGAACTTATATATAAAACTTGATAAGATTCTGAAAATTCTTTATATTTGATTATATTCCGAGTCAAAGACCGATTACAAAATCCAAACGGATTCTAAAGATCAAACCGACAGGGCCATTAAATTTCACTAATTTTGATCAAATTTGGTAAATAAAACATATTAAAATCACTAAATTTTTTGGTTCTTTAAATTGCTATTTTAATAAAATTAATTAAAATTTTGTGTAAAATGGCCGATTTTCTTTTTTTATTGAAAACATGATACAAGTGACTTTTTTCTTTCGAAATGTTTTTTGATTGAAAAATTGGAAACCTTGTAAAAAAAATTAAAAATTTTAACCAATGTTTAAGATCTTCATTTTATGTATTCTTTTTAAAAGATTTTTTTTAAAATTAATTTCTGCAATATAGTATCGAGTAATCATCACATCACCATGCCACACCATTCCTCATCTTTCTTCCTTCCTTCAACTACGATCCTGAAACCCAAACAAATTAAACACCTGCAAGAGCACAAGTATTCTGCTTCGGGGCAATCCCTGTTAGAAAAGAGCATGCAGGGTCTGTGGGAACGTCAACTAAATTACATACCCCTTTATATAGCCCCAAATGTGCTAACCCTTCTAGGGCTCAGTTGCAATGTTTTCACTACTCTGATCTTGATGGTATACAGTCCGGATGCAGCCAGGGATGTGCCTAGATGGGCATGCGCTCTTTGCGCCCTGGGCCTGTTTATATACCAGTCTCTCGACGCCTTGGACGGAAAACAAGCTCGCAGGACGTCCAGTAGTTCGCCTCTGGGGGAGTTATTTGATCACGGTTTGTTTTCTCCTATTTTTATTGATTTAATTGAGCGATTTCTTTATTTATAATATAGTGCATACACATGGAATTATTAACATTATTTTTATCATTTATGGTTACTTTATTTTTATAAGTTTTTTTGTTCATTCCTTTTATTCATTAATTAAAATTATATACCAAAATAAACTTTTTATTTCAGGCTGTGATGCCATCTCGGCCGTTTTCGCCGTTCTTTCTGTCTGTATCAGCGCTAAGCTGGGCGTGTGGCCTGGTCCTGCCCTTTTTATCGCTTTACTCACTCTTTTTGCCTTCTATACGGCCCACTGGCACACCTATGTATCGGGTAGACTCCTATTCACATCCTTGAACGTTACCGAAGCACAGGCTGGCGTAGCGGCCGTCTTACTTATATCTGCATTGGCTGGAACTCCCGTTTGGGACACGGTTCCTTATCTGAGACTGGTTATCGCCGTTATATCAGGTTATAAATTTTTTTAATAAGCCGCATTTCATAACACACTTACATATAATATCATTATTACGAATATGATTCAAACCTAGACCTGTGCACCGAAGTCTCAAGCGGCGGCGGTTTATTTTCATTTTTCATCGGCGCGTCAAATCAGTCGCCGTCTGATAATTTGGCGGCGGCGTTTACAGTGCTACATATCTTAAGAATGAATAGTTAAAATTTATTGTATTACAACGATTTATAATTTTGCCCCACCTCTTTATAAATTTATGCACTTCTCATTTTCCGAAATATATTTAGGAATTGCGTTTTTACTTAGATCATAGTCACACACATCAATCACATCAATACTCTATCGATTTTTATTAAAACAAATTTATATATAAATTTGAAAGCAAACAAAATATAAATAAATTGGAGATCAAATTTAGTTAAATTTATAATTGTGGCAAATAAATAATATTTTATCGAGTTTGATGAGATATAAAAAAAAGTTCTTTTGGCATAGAGTATTAATCAAGCGATGAAAAAAGTTCTTTCGCTAGGTGTATTGGTTGTAGATATACAAAGTACTTTCCAAGCTAAACTAGCAAATATAGGAAGTTCCAGTCGCTTTTTCCATCCATTTAATATGTCCTGTTCTGGTAGAGTGTTGGCCAAGTAAAATATGATATTCTAGATGGTTAGTTATTCGTTGATTCAAAGGGAAAGTATCAGCTATTTTAACCATATATGAATTGGATGCTTACCCATTATCTTCAACTTGAATCTAACTGCATTTCTAGCATGCTCTATAAATTTTAAATGTCCAATTAGAAATTGCAATTCTATAAAATTTGAATTTTGAAAATCTCGCTATTATCTAATGTTCAAAATATTTTATAAATTTTATAATAAAAATATTTAAAAAAATTATTTTATATAATAACTTGTAATTCGGAAATTGGAAACCAATGATCAAGCTTTTTTTGCATATTTTCTTTTAGGTAAATGATAACTATATCAGATTTATTGTGTATATTTTTTTCTATTTTGCTGCTAAATAATAAACCTAGCCTAATTGTTCATCCCTTTTCGGAGGAAAAAAATTCTACAGACTCTCTGATTGGATTTAGTAATCGTATCTAATGTTTCATATTAATTCGATCTGTTGATGAATTTTTATATGTGACAGAGATATCAATATATACATAAAATCAAGGTTTGAAAGAATAATCAATATCCAAAATCTAGACAGGCTCAAAAATTGATTGCAGGCATATACGATGATCTCCCATAATTTCACATTACAAATTTTAACTATATTTTCTTAATTTTAAAATTCAAATTAAAATAATATTTTATTAAAAACAATTCCACGGCCGCCGTCGTAGGTGGGGACTTTGCGGTATGTCTTATCTCAATCGGCTGGTTTTCTGACATGAAGAAAATTGCCAACGGTCGCGGTCAGCCTGTGGTGCACAGGCCTATTCAAGCTACATTCTTTTTTATTTATTGATAATAATATATAAAAAATTGATGTTTACAAATGGGCAATATTTTTAGGCATGGGTTCTGCATACATAATCTACTCATACGTAACAATCGTGTTTAGTGGGGGAGCGGGTCGAAATAAGTCAACTGTAGCTGATACCAGTGTCCTTTCCCCTGCGATACCGTTTGCCGGCGCTGCCGTAGCCGCTTTGGCCATATTCGACAAATCGTTAGCTCTACGCCGTCACTTATGCTTATACATTCTAACGTTCGGTTTGGTGATAGCTAAACTCACCATTCTCTTGGTCCTAGCTCACATGACAAAAAGCGAATTGAGTATGATGGATCGAATTTTCGGGGGGCCAGCCCTTTTGGCGCTTAATCAATACTACAACCATCTATTCGACGAGAGGTTGGTTTGTTCTTTAAATGATTTAGTTAAAAAACGTTGATTTAATTAATTATTTTTTCGTACTAGTAAAATTTTGAACTAATTTATGAGTAAGAAATTTATTTTCAAATTTAAATTGTTTTGTTTATTTTTTAAAGGTTTGTTCTATGGTTCGCGTTCATATTTACTGCTTTCGACATAACGCGTTACTCGATTTGCATATGTTTGCAAATATCGCAAACCCTAAAAATTCCAATTTTAACCTTGCCTAAAAATTCGTCGAACGCACATCAGAATCCACAGACTTTAGCATCGAATCATAATTTGAATAATAATGCACAAGCTGGAGCTAAGAAATATAAATGACAATATTACACTAATACCATATATATTTTTATACAAAAGAGGCGAAATTATGATGATCATATATTTTATAGCTTTTTATTATTTCATCTCAGATTATTAAAAAATTAAACATACTTAAAAAAGACTCCTGAAATTTATTGATATATTTTTTGAATTTTGACAAGCCCTCAACCACCTCATTAAATTTCTTTATTACTTTTATATGAATGAATTTATTTTGTATATATATAAAATGATTATGAAAACACCTATGTTATATTAAGAAATGGCTTTCTTCGTATTATAATGATCAAGTGTTTTGAGAATTATATTGTTCTATCTTTCATTAACTTTTATTTTTGTTACTATCACTACTAATCATTTCTGTAAAATTAAAAATAGAATAATGAATTTTAATCGTGTTATATAATGTAATTTTAATACAAATAATCTTATCTGTTTTAACAAGTCTTTGCCAACTAATTTATGTTATCTTTTTGTCCATTTTTTAAACCAAAAAATTATTAAATTATTAATATTTGTTATTTAAATTATTTATTATTTCGTTGAAATGTTTTTATGGTAAATATTTCAGAATGTTATAATTTTATCTTAAATTTTGTAATTATAAATATAATATTTGGTTTTATTACATGCAATATTATATATGTAACATAATATATATAATTAAATAACATAACAAAATATAATTTAGGAACAAATAAATATTTAATGTGACAGTAAATTTAAATAATTACAATTTAAACTACATATTTTTATTAAAAAGTAATTAATCACTTAATAAATGGATTAATGTGCCGATCCAGTTTTTAGAAGCCAATTTAATATCAAATCGATATTCGACATCGCCGATATGAGTCGATCCAATCTGGAATAAAATTATGGGAAAAATGTAAATAGGGAATAAAATAAGCCAAAAATATAGCATCCAGTGGCCCCTACAACGGTGGAAGGGGGGGGGATCCAAAGCAATTGTTTCTAAAAATTTGAGTTTGGGTACTTTTTTTAAAAATTTAATTCTTTTATTGTTTTGCTACATCCATCCATAACCAATGATTTCTAGTTTATGTATGTAATAATAAGAGCCCCCCCCCCACTTATTATTTAATATAATATGGTTTGCTGGAAATTTTGGTCTATGTTTTGTAAATTAGGCTGTTATCCGAGATTTCTTGTCATAAATTATTTTTCCAATTTCAAAATATGCCCAAAAATAATACAAATGCTTAATTAAAAATTCCACATCGCATAATATAAGAGATGATAAATGGACAGACCACATTAGAAAAAGACATGGTGGGCTTGATTTCAATGATATAAAGAAAAGCTTTGAAATAGTAGCTTTTAGAATATTACTCAAAATTGGACAAATAGCAAAGTAATTTTTTTATTAAATATATAATTGTTTATACTTATCTTATAAAGGGTATTAAATCACAATTTAAGAAAAAAAGTAAAAAGTGGGTTCAATGCTGTTGATATAATAAATATTTTTATTAATGTAATTATTTTTTAAAAGTGTACTAATAATAACGAAAATGAGTAAGATGAAAATATAGTATCTGACTCTGATAATGATCATGAAATTTAATCCTGATATTATTGTGCATGTATCTTCACAGGCACATATGATGGATGATTATGGAAGGCATTCGCACAACAAAAATTCCATATTACAATTATAATACCCCAGAAAGATTGTGTGGATAATAACCGTTCTATCATAAGAATAATAATAAGATATCTAGGTATTAATATCTTGTAACCAAGCCTTCTGGGGGAACAGACAACAAGAAGGCAATATGATGGACATTATTAAACTCATTGATTCTGAACCAGTACTCAAATTGTATATTCAACAAATGATGAAGGAAAAAAAAATAAGGGATTAAAAACGAAATTATATTCATATCTATTATCATACAATAACATAAATAGTTTCATTGAAACCATGAAGAATATGGTTATAAAAAAAATTCAAAATGAGATTGAATTTAACAGGTGATTTTCAATTATAGTTGATGGCACATATGATGTTTCGAAATCAAAAACAATAGCTTTGATAGTAAGATATATTGAAATTAGTGAGACGCCTAAGCTCATTGAAAGATTAAAAGACATATATTGTACAGGAAATTCAACTAGTCTCGATATTATAAAGAATATAATATCCAAACTTGGCTCCATGAATTTACCTATTGAATTCCTATTTGGGTAAAGTTATGATGGCGTCTCAAACGAGTGGAAGAATCAGTGGTGTGCAGGCTTTGATTAGAACGGAGGCGCCAAAGGCAGCTTTTATTTGGTACTATTGTCATCGATTAATATTAGACGAGATTTATATATATTTTAATGGTGTTAAAAGATATGAGGTGCTCAAAACATGTCAGAGTAATGCACTGACAAAATCACAACGATTTCTACGCATCAAGAATACCACTCGGTAATATTATTTTATTTGTTTAGATAGAAACTGGCTATCGTGATATAAAGCTTTTGTAAATTTTTTATGCTTTATGATGCCTTGTGGGCAGCTTTAACAAATTTAAAGAATTCTGAAGATCCTGCCACTTTGACTATGGCTAGGGCTATAATCTTTAGAATAGAAAAATTTGATTTTATTTAATCAATTTGTGTGGATAAAATATTGTTGATAACAAGTTTGACTTGTACAAAATTTCAAAACATTTCGAAGAATATAGGGTTTGCAATAATTCAAATTCAATTGGTAAAAGACTGCCTGATTAATTTGAGAAGTATAATTTAAATTATTGTATTTAATTATTTTTTAATCCTAATAGATAATAACACTGAATTTTTGGATGTTTTTCCAAAGGCACAAGATTTTATGAAGGAGGGAAATCAATTTTATCAATGGAAAAAATTTATTTAAACAATTAAATATTGATGAAATTATAAATTCTTTAGCTTTCTCTTCCCACGATTTATCTAAATTATTAATTTTAAAATAATATTTTTTTACAATTTATTTATATTATATAGATTGATGCAATAAAAATTATTTTTAAAATTTATGGGTGTCTAAAAGTAATTATCCTCAGGGGGTATTCTGCTTCCATCCCTCAGAAAGTGTAGGGGCCACTGATTGCATCTTAAGTTAATGAACTATTTTAATAACAAACTAATCAATATTTTTTCTAAGCCAGTTTAAAAAAATTTTTTTTAAGTTCATCTTAAAAGATCATGCATAAAAATTACAAAAAATTTTGGCATTTTAAGGTAAAATTTGATCAAAAATCAGTTCTTCAAAGATTTTTTTAAGATACTTTTCAAACTCTGATATTAATATTGTATCAAAATTTTCCTTTGTTTTTATGTACCAAATCGACTAAGTAAACCATATAGACTGATAACCGATATTTTTTTAAAAAAAGAATGATCTGGCAGATTCGATATTTAAAAAATCGGCAGATCCCTATATTTTAATAAAAATTAGTTACTCTCAATTGTCTTATAATATACACCTTTAATTTTTATTTAAAAGTTTTTTTAGGAGCGCTTAATTTAAATCCAATTAATAAGATACATCATGCTATCATTTCTAACAGGAAAGGATCTAAAATTTAGAGGAAAATTAAATTAAGTACAAACAAATATATCGAGTCCCATATTTTAATATAAGATTTTAAAATAGTATTTTTTTTAATTTTATTTTATTTATTATAAATTTTTAAGTGCTTTTATATTTCTAATTCTACCCTACCAAACTGATTGATACACATTAAACTAAGATGTATATTAGTTAAGCTTAAGCATTACACATATTGGCCTACGCTTTGGAATTAGTTCCTTCAAAAGTTTGGCAAACTTCATCCAGAGGATTGAATTATCATATTTCTATTAAATTTACCGAAAAGAACAAATGATGTCTATAAAGATCATGGAATCATGAATTCAAATATTTTGAATTAGAAAGAGAAACCATAATGTTTTTAGCAATATTGTAATCCTAAAATTAACAACGGGTGTACTCTATTACTCTAAAAATAGTAAGGGGCACGCTACAATAGACAAAAAATAGAGGCGGATTTTTGTTTTCCCAAGAATTTAAGGCAAACATTTTTTCTGGAAAACTTAATTTATTTTTCGAATAGTTTATAAAAGAGCATTTCATATAAAATACATTATATCTATATTATATTAAATGGTTATTTAGAAAGTTATATAAAAATTGAAATATATTGCATAAAATTTTGTGGTCATTGTTTAGAATGCATTTCATAACTATATAAAATCATTGAATTATTATATTATAATGCATAAATCGAAATAGATTTAACAAAGGCGAAAAAAATTATATTTGCTATAATAAATTTTTTCCAATTTAAAAATATTAACTTGCTTACTTGATTAGTTCTTATTTGTCGATATATAATTTATCAGCCACTTTTTAATATATGGAGAATTCCACTGAGAGGAGGCCCATTTACCTTTATCCTTTAAAATGGAAATATGTTTTATCATAAGACCTGCACGCAAATCCGTCATAATGACATTCATAAGAAGAAAATGCTCACTAGCAATACGGAATTATGTTAATACAATTTTAAAACTTTCTAATAACTGGGGCATTTACAATGATATATAATAATAATATTTCATTGGGCATTTATTACTTTTATTATTATCGCACCTGCTCGACCAAGTCTAGAAATATAAAAATAGGTTCGTGAAAAGTGGAACCTAATACCGCTTTTACTTAAATAACGAAGGCTGTTTTATTTGAATATGCTGGAGATTCATCTATTAGGATAACGATCATGGGTTGTTAATTAACAATATACGTGATACGTGATAAAAGCGTTTTCTCCCTCTGGTTGTGGGTACAACAGAGCTACGCTAGGTTTTCCTCAAAATCCATCAAACTGGATAGTTAATTAGGGGAAGAAAAATGAGGAGCCCTTCACACCTTTGTAGGCAAGCCGCACGTACTTGTAGGCGCAACATTTCGAAAAAAGTTGCTTAAACCTCTATAGGCTTAGTAAAAAGGAGAGTGGTAAAAAAAGAGCCTATACCCGAGAACGACAGTATAATTTAATTACTTTAAAGGTGGGTGATGGCTGATTCTAAGTTAATGTAAGTTTTGATGATTACTATCACTATTGAGATTTAATGTTCATAGAATCTGTAAATAAATATGATTAAAATAAAAAAATTTGCCTGAGTAGATATAGTGTATTTTTTTTATTAATGATTCAACCCATTGTTATGTTCATCATCTTTTTTTATTTATTTATTTTTTTTTCTCGGAATTATCAATATTATTTTTGATTATCAATTTTTGAAATTTATCAATATTTTTCATGGAATTTATTTTTTCTCGGAATTATATATATTATTTTTTGATTATCGATTTTTCAGAAGAAAAACTTATTATGATAAAAAGAAGAAAAGAATTTGAAAAAAATATAATAAAAAAATATAAGAAATAATAGAAATCGGAAAATATTATAATGGCGACGAATTATAATATTTTTTTATTATATTTTTTTCAAATTCTTTTCTTCTTTTTATCATAATAAATTTTTCTTCTGAAAATCGATAATCAAAAAATAATATATATAATTCCGAGAAAAAATAAATTCCATGAAAAATATTGATAAATTTCAAAAAAATAATATTGAAAATTCCGAGAAAAAAAAATAAATAAATAAAAAAAAATGATGAACATAACATCTCTCCTCTTAGAGAATGTCTGTTCTCTTCCGCATTTGATCTTGATGTCTTCTCCATCGGCCCTTGGAGGTATCCACAACGTATATGCACCTCCCAGCACGAGCCACTATTGTTCCTTTTATCCATTTTACCTTGTCGTTGTACATTTTGGCCCACACCGGTTGTCCTATCCTAAATTGACCTCTCTGTTCCGTTTGTGTATCGTTTGATCGGCTTTCTTGGGTGGTCTCTTTAATCATTTCCAGATGATTCCGAGCATTCCGTCCGAACATCATCTGTGCTGGGTTTTCTCCTGTAGTCGTATGCTGGGTGTTAATAGCTAATAATATTTTCCGATTTCTATTATGTCTTATATTTTTATTATATTTTTTTCAAATTCTTTTCTTTTTTTTACATCATAATAAATTTTTCTGAAAAATCGATAATCAAAAAAAATAATATTTATAATTCCGAGAAAAAATAAATTCCATGAAAAATATTGATAAATTTCAAAAATCGATAATCAAAAATAATATTGATAATTCCGAGAAAAAAATAAATAAATAAATAAAAAAAATGATGAACATAACATCTCTCCTCTTAGAGAATGTCTGTTCTCTTCCGCATTTGATCTTGGTGTCTTCTCCATCGGCCCTTGGAGGTATCCACAACGTATATGCACCTCCCAGCACGAGCCACTATTGTTCCTTTTATCCATTTTACCTTGTCGTTGTACATTTTGGCCCACACCGGTTGTCCTATCCTAAATTGACCTCTCTGTTCCGTTTGTGTATCGTTTGATCGGCTTTCTTGGGTGGTCTCCTTAATCATTTCAAGATGATTCCGAGCATTCTGTCCGAACATCATCTGTGCTGGGGTTTCTCCTGTAGTCGTATGCTGGGTGTTTCTATAAGCTAATAAGAATTCGTTTAGTATCTTTTTTATTTTCGTATCCTGCTTCCATTTCCTTCCCCTTCCGAAGTCGAAGTTGTTGATCTTGGATGTGAGTTTAGTCTTGTTGGAATTCGTATATTTTTCCCTCTTCGGTAGCTCTATTTGTTGAATTATTCTGATCGTGAGTCTCTTAATCTTTTTGTTGCCGATTTCTCCTAATTTTATCTGAGATGCTGATACATCGTCGTCCCAGATGTTATATTGAAATATTTTTAATTTACATATATCGAATTTGTATTTTTTGATTTTGGGTAAATATTTTCCCTTATTTTTGTCCTTTAAAATATTTTTCACTTTTATATTGTCATTATTTAATTTGATTTTTTCACTATTTTTATCTTTTAAAATATTTTTTATATCTTGATAATGTCTAGTTGAAGACTTGGGTATTACATCAATTTTATTACACTTATGTAAAATTTTAGTGGTTTTAACGTATAATTTATCCTTTAATAAATACTTAGAACATATCTTTCGTTTTGACGGGACTTGCTCTTTTTTCTCGATACTTGATACAAGTGCTAAACTGTAAGAATTTACAGAATCGTTAATGGAAGTCATATGACAAGGCATAAAATCTGGTAATTTTTTTGAGTGGGGTGCTTTTTCCCGTTTATCGAATATTGTTACGTACTTCTCCGTTAGGGCTTTTAATTCTTGTTCCACATAATATATTTTGTTATTATTATCGTATGTGTTTTCTGTTCCTGCTAATATTGATTCTTTCCATACCAATTCTCTGAATTCCTTTATCCAGTTTATACCTACCAATGAGGGTCCATCAGCTTTCACTATTATTAAGGGTAGATATTTTATGGTTTCTTTTATTTGAACTTTTACGTCCACGCTGCCTATGATGGCGATTTCGTTACCTTCGTACGTCTTTAATTTTGTGTCCGAATCATGAATTGTTTTATTGGAGTTGATTTTATTCCATGTCTTTAATGAAATGATTGATACTGATGCTCCTGTATCTAGGATCATGTTTGTTTTCTTACCTTCTATATTTAAATTGATTTTGAATTTTTCTTTACAAGATTTGATATCCATCGAGTATATATACGATATATCTTCCTCTTTGTCTCTTTGATCGCAATATTTAATCAGATGTTTATCGCTACCGCATTTGAAGCAAGTTTTTTTTGTCTGACTGTAATATTGATTGTCGTTGTATTTAAAGTTATTATTGTTGGTGTTGTAATTTCCCCTTGTCTTATCGTAAGAATATTGATACTTATTTTTATGATAATAATTATTGTTGTCGTACCAATTTTTATGTCGGTAGTTATCATTGTTATTATATTTGTTGTCATTATTATTATATTTGTTATCATTATTATAATATTTGTTATCGTTATCATATTTGTACCGCGGATTAACGTTATTATATCTTCCATAACTCGAGTTGTCATAATTATTATATCTAGTAAATCTGTTATCGAATCTCGTTTGGTGGGGATAATAATTGTCACTGTAGCGTTCCTGAACTCTGTTATTATTATTATTACTATTATACCTTTTATTGTCTTGTATATAGTTTATTTCCTTATTTTCTATTTTGTCTTCCTCTTGTTCCTTTCCGGCTTGACAATAAAATATATCTTTTGTTTTTTCCTTTTCGTCTATCAAGTCCATGGTTCGAAGGAGTTTTTCAATTTCCTCTATACCCATATCTTCTTCGAGTAATCACTTTGTCGTGATATCTTTGCTTTCTAAACCATTAATTATTTGCATTTTTAAGTTCTCTTCATATTTTTCATTGAAGTTGCATTTAAGTGCCAAAGATTTTAGAGAATTTAGAAATTCTAAATTGGTTTCCCCGTCCCTTTGGGTACGTTTATAAAATTGAAAACTTTCCAATGGTGCAATTTTTTTTTCGTTGTCTATTAGCGAATCTAGCATATCGTCGTATTTTATTTTATTAATTGACTTCGGAGCGAATTTTAAAATAACCTTATTTAAGTCATAGGTTGATAGTGCAGATATCAATGCTGCTCTCTTTTTCTCGTTGTCCGATATATCATTTAGTGTAAAGTAGGCTTCTAGTTTTATTCGAAAAGTAGTAAATGAGTCATTATTTTCTTTAACAGGAATTGCTGCTGGCATTTTAGACAATTTTATATCAAATTTAAATTTTCTCTTTTTTTTTTCTATATATTTCCGCGCGGGTTCTTCCGTATACATAGTCGCCATTATAATATTTTCCTTTTTCTATTACGTCTTATATTTTTATTATATTTTTTTCATTGTTATCATATTTGTTGCATTTTGATCCAGGTAAAGATATCCAACTCACTACGGATGCGTCTATGAAGGGCGTAGGAGCCGTATTGTCTCATATCGAGAAAGACGGATCCGAGAATCCCATAGGTTTTGCTTTACGGACACTATCTGCGGCAGAAAAAAACTACTCAACTATCGTAAGAGAGGCATTAGCGCTTGTATTTGGAGTAAAGAAATTTTATGAATATTTAGTGGGTCAAACTTTTACAATATGGACCGATCACAAACCTCTTATATATATATTTGGCAACAAAAGTTTGGCAAATATAACGTCACCACGATTGCTCAAATGGTCTCTAATATTAGAAGGGTACAATTGCGAAATAAAGTATAAAGCTGGCAAGGAAAACAAAGTGGCAGACGGACTTTCAAGATGCCCAATGGAAAACAAAACCAAAGACCATAATGATGAAGTATATTTTATAAACGAACATCCAATATCGATAGACGAAATTCGGGATAAACTTAAAAACGACGACATGTTAAAAAAGGTAAAGGAGAGTATAAAAACACAATTCAAGTCAAAAGATGACAGTGTACTAAGACAATACGAAATGTGCAAAAACAATTTATGGGAAAAGGACGGTTGTTTATACAAAGGAGACAGAATAATAATTCCAACAGAATTGCGAAAAAAAATACTAAACGAATTACATAATGGTCATCAAGGAATCGTCAGAATGAAAAGTTTAGCTAGACAATATGTATGGTGGCCCGGAATCGACCATGAAATAGAAGAATTATGTCGTCAATGCGAATCATGTAACACATGGGCAAACAATCCTCCAAGAATGCAAGATCATCATTGGGAGAAACCGACAAGACCTTGGCAAAGAGTTCACATAGATTTCGCAGGACCGTTCAAAAACACAATGTGGCTCATATTGGTAGACACCTTTACCAAATGGGTGGAGGTAAAAGGAATGACCACCACCACATCTGAAAGAACTATGGGGGTACTAGGCGAAATATTTTCTAGATGGGGATATCCAGAATCCTTGGTATCGGACAACGGTCCACAGTTCACCAGCTATCGATTTAAAGAATATTGCTTGAAACACCGAATAAACCATGTGCTGACACCTCCATACCATCCGAGCTCAAACGGAGAAGCAGAACGCATGGTAAGAACGGTTAAAACAGCTATGGGAAAAAATACAACCCCAAACAAGTACGAAGGATTAAACGAATTCTTATTAGCTTATAGGAACACGCAACATGCAGCGACGGGACAGACACCAGCAAAACTGATGTTGGGACGAAATGTTCGAAATCATCTGGAGATGATTAAAGAGACCACCCAAGAAAGCCGATCAAACGATACACAAACGGAACAGAGAGGTCAATTTAGGATAGGACAACCGGTGTGGGCCAAAATGTACAACGACAAGGTAAAATGGATAAAAGGAACAATAGTGGCTCGTGCTGGGAGGTGCATATACGTTGTGGATACCTCCAAGGGCCGATGGAGAAGACACCAAGATCAAATGCGGAAGAGAACAGACATTCTCTAAGAGGAGAGATGTTATGTTCATCATTTTTTTTTATTTATTTATTTTTTTTTCTCGGAATTATCAATATTACTTTTGATTATCGATTTTTGAAATTTATCAATATTTTTCATGGAATTTATTTTTTCTCGGAATTATATATATTATTTTTTGATTATCGATTTTTCAGAAGAAAAATTTATTATGATAAAAAGAAGAAAAGAATTTGAAAAAAATATAAGAAAAAAATATAAGAAATAATAGAAATCGGAAAATGTTATACCCATGAATACAGTAATCATAGTCTCTGTTTTTAATGTTACCATTTCAGCTTCAAAGGGAATTGAGTGGGATAAATATTTAGTATAAAATTGGATGATCCTTTGCTCTTATAAATTGCAAAAGGATGTAGATATATACAATCAAGAGGGGAATGAATTGTTCAATAACCTAATTGTGTGATCTTTTGGTTCTTATATTTACAAGAATAAGGAATTCAAAATATCTAATTGTGTGACCCTTCACTTAACTTTGGATCTGATATACTCAACAAATTAAAATAGATCAAATGTAACCATTCCAGTTTAGAACGTATATGTGTAAGTAAACTTATAATTGCAAAAGTAAGTGTAGAATATTATAATAAATCTAATTGTATGGTTATTTTATACTTACTAAGTGAAATAAAAATATTCAATATAAAATTGCATGTCTTTTAATCCTTATAAAGAATAAAGATATTCTATATATCTAATTGTGTAAACTTATAAATTACAAAATAATGTAGATATATACAATCAAGAGTGGAATGAAATGTTCAATAACCAAATTGTGTGGTCTTTTAGATCAATCTGATGTACACAACAAATTTAAAATAGATTAAATGTAACCATTCCCGTTTAAAGATATATGTGTAAAAAAAATGATATATTTATCTACATTATAGTTAATAAATGCTATTTCCTTAAAAGGGATTTATAGATGCAATATCATCACAGTTCTAAAAACATGTCCATAATTAGGGTACCACAGGTACCAAAACCTTTCTTTACGAATGAAAGATCATTACAGTTCTATATATGTCCATAATTAGGGTTCCACAAGTACCAAAATCTTTTTTTAAATGTAACTATCTATGTACTGACCATGATTCAAATGTATATAAGATAAGAAAATTCATGTTATAATTATAAACTAGTAGAAAGCCCGTCAAAAGTGAAAAGGAATGAGATTCCTTATTCATTTTTTACGTTTGATGTCATGCCAGGTTCAAGCTTACAATATTAGGAAGCATCCAAGATCTTTTAATTATAAAAAAGTTTATCAAGCCCAGCTCAACCTTTAATAATTTGTAAAAGATATTCCCAAGTCAGGTGCAAGCTAATATTAATTTTGAGGTTCCAAACCCAGTCCTACCCATTATAATTTTGAAAATTTTTTCCCGCCTCGGAGATAGTTAATTTTTTTATCATCACATAAGCTGGAAATATACGGGAATAATCTGATTTACCAATTAGTCTAATATGGAAAAAAAACATGTAAATTCCGTATTATGGGAAATTGGGAAGGCCTGGGCAACCACTTATTAGAGAATTATGACAAATAAGATAAAAATAACCGACTCTTATACTTTTTTGTAATATAATCAGTTAAAATTATATCTAAAAAATATGTTGTTTATTATATAAGGTTATTGTTGTTTTTCAGATAAATTTAATGTATGTCTTGCATTTCTGAAATTATTTGTCAAAGAATTTGATAAGATATATATTTTTTTATGTTAAGTAAAAAAAAATGCTGTCTATTTAAATTACAAAAATGCCATTAAACACTAATGAAACTTATATGCAAATTATTTATATATTTTTTAAGATATTTTTTTTATTGACATATAAATTTAGGATAATTTTTTTAAAAAATAATGAGGAATATTTATTTTTTATTTAATAAAATTAAAAGCAAATCCTTGTTGACATTTTAATTTTTGATGGAAAAAGTGACAAAATAAATCTGGGCGGTCGTCTGGAGAGGAAATAATTAATGTATAATATTATATCATTTAGGGTTGTAGATGAAAGAAATGATGGATTACCAAAGCAGTGTACAAAACACAATACGTCCTGATAAAGATGATATGCCTATGCATTGAGATACTGGTAAAAGAAGAACGCAAAACGATATTTCTGTCAATGTCAGCATTGGTATCCCCCTCTAAAATAGAATCATGAACGACAATGTTAACTTAACCATAAAACGGTCATAAGTATTGTTATAAAGGCCACGACAGAAATACTGCATATTTTTCCATTAATAAAGTTGATGAAATTGGCCTTACTGTACATTCAAGTTTGAATATTTCTCTAAATAATCATGAAAGTTTCTCAGAGAATCGGATAAAGTAATATTTATAATAACTCCTAGTTAAGTGAATGATAGTACAGAATTATATGTTTATATTTGTTAAAGACATAGGGATTGTGGTAGTGGTGATAGAAATATCATTTGGAGAGGGTGAAAATAAAATAAACATAAATATAAAACATAAGATTAAAAAAAACAAAATAAACCTCCCGATGAGTTCATTTCAAGCGTAGTTCATTATTATTTTGTCTACTAGTAACTCTAGAACGGGTAAGGTGTTTGTTCAATCATCATTATTTTCTTTACTTATCTTTAATATAGATTCATCATGTTTTGTAGCAATGTGAGGGATTAGGGTTAGCCTAGGCAAATAAAGAAATCAGGCAAAAATATAAATAAAATATTGTTGAAATTAAACAAATATTAAAATAATGTAAAACCGGTGGATGGGTCAATATAATATGCATATTTCTAGTAGTTGGAGGGCTATCATCAAAAAAAATTTTTGGGGGACTTATCAAGCCTATTATGATATTCTAAAAGTTAAAAAATAACATGATGATTGTAATGTTATAAAGATTAAGGTTAATTAATTGTAAGGTAATTAAAAAATAAGATTAAAAAAGGGGGGAAAAAGGAGGGTATAAATTATTATATTATAAAAATAATAAAAATTAAATTAAAGGAATTGATAAGGTTTTGAGAAATAGTGGTTAATAGATAATAGACTTAGAAAGAAAAGAATGAGATAATAAAATTTAGTGATAAATAAATTCATTAAGGGAGGGGAAAAAATAAAGAAAGAGTTATTTATAAGGATTGGAGATTATAAATAAGTTAGGATAAGAATATTTAAATATTTAAATATACTTGATTATCTTTTTATTATTGATTATGAATGAAAAATATGAGTATAAAAAATTGTAATGTAAGTACTGACAAAAATTGTGAGTATGTTCAAAATAAATATACAAGTTGAGTATCTTGTAGAGATTTCATTAATGTGTAATTGATAATATGAGATGAAAATTGATAAGGTAATCTAAAAAATAAAGAAAGGATTAAGTGAAGTATTAGCCTGAATCTTTTTATTCACATCATTTATTTCATTCATATTTAGAAAGTTGAGGGAATATTGTTTATATCAATTCAAAGACGATTTTTCAAATCTCTCAACCATGTTAGGTATGTGTACACCATCAATTCTCGAAATTCCATTCATCTGTTTTTATAAAATAAATAAATAAAATAAACAAATAAAAAATACCAATGACATGACGTAGCGATGAAATGACGTCACGACGACGTAATGAGGACATCGAAAAATTATAATATAGATTGTATAAGCTGGAAGTACATAATTAACACAATATCTTATCATGAGGATCTTCTGATAAATGTAAAGCTTCTTGAAAATAATTCCATAACTTTGAATATTCTTCATAGGACATCAATTAGTGTTTACATGGCATACCCGCCACCGATGTTATAGTTTGATCTAAAAAATAAATATACATTATAATAATAACTTCTAATATAGTATTGAATCTTGGTATTTTATATTGTGATTGAGGATAACAAATTTTATTTCATTTCACCGGAAACCGAACCAAGCAAATTTTAATTTTTTCAGCGGGTAAAAATTAATTAAATTTTGAGTTATCTCATGGTTCATTTTATCAAAATAATAAAATTATATTACCATTCACAAATTTTACACATGTTTTGAAGAATATGGATAAGCTTATTGTGACTAATGTAAAGTGACCAATTGACAGAGTTGTTAAAGGATTGAATCATAAGATCGCCGATCCTGGACTCGTTCCTAAATTTGTTAATTTTCTCGGATTAAGATCCTGATCTTAAATTGTGGATCGTGATTGATATCATTTCTTTAAATATTCGATCCTGATCCTTATAAAAATTATGTTTTTTACTTAAAAAGCAATAAATAAAATAAAAATTTTGAAAATTAAATTTTAATATTATTTTAAAAAAAATATCTAACTACATCATATTTTATCACACACCATTCCACCAGATTTTATATTTCAACAATTTCCAAAATTTATTGTAAGAACAAGTTATATTTATTTATTAATTATATTATAATATAAATTATAGGTTTTAATAATGTCCTCCATTATATATTTAGAAGATGATACATCTACTTCTATTGATGTGACAGCAGATATAAGTGAGAATGAGAGTCTTTAACCATTTCATAATTTACGTAAGTATTTTACTTTATGTGAAACGGATGGAAGTAACCATACAATGATCTACGAAAAATGCTCTTTATGCAAAAACAAAATATCTTCTTCAAAGATTAGTAGTTCAAACCAAGAAGCATTTAGAAGTAATTAATTCTTTCAAAAATACAATCTTTATTATTTGTGAAGATCATAACAATACGCATATAATAAAAATTATAGATTTTCTTCACTATGATGACTGTAATATATTGGTGTCAATAATTCAACCAAAATTTAAGCTCTTGGCCTTTTATTAATCTGCCGCAAAATTTGTTACTAAAAGATAGGTTAATTGCCCATTTAGAAAATACAGGGTCAACCATATGCAGATCCTTCAAATGAATGCATGGATCGATACCTTTTTTGATAAAAACTCGTCACAAAATGCTTTACATTAATAAATTTTTTTATTCTAATGATGATTCACTGAATATTTTTAATAATTATGTTAATTTAATAAAAAACATTTATTAAATATAACACACCTTTACCATAGTAAAGCTAAACATGTACTTAATGAAAAACGTGGTTATTTAAATGATAATAATTTAGAAAAAATTTTGTTATTAAAGGCTAATTTAATTATAAATAAATATATTCTAATTGTTATACTTATATTATATTATTCAATTACAATTAATTTATACCATATTTGTTGATTTTTTATATTAGTTAATTTTGGATCGATCAATAATTTAAATAAGAAAAGGATCGTGATCGCGATCCTTCTTTTGAAAAAAGGTCTATCCTGGATTTCGATCTTTTTAAAAGGATCGATTAACAAGCCTGCCAATTGACACTATTATTCACAATTTTTATTTTATTTTTTTTCTATTTTTTTTCGTAATTATACAATATATCAATAACATATGATATGTGTATTTCGACTCGTTGCATTATTGCAAATCTTGAATAAAATTTAAGTTTTACGATAAATGAATAAAATATTATTTATAATATCACGATCAATCCATCTTTCTACAAATATCTTTCTAAAGAGAGGCACAAAACCTGATCATACTCGCTGTAGAGAAGGCTTTGTACCTAATTTTGAAAACATTTTAAAAGCATGTAATGGTTACACACATGAACCTTTAGAATTCAGAAAGCTCGGTGGGAGAGATAAAGAATCTGGTATATTTTTTTTTGTTTATTTTTTCATTTTTTATATTGCAGGGCAGCGAATATGTAGAAGAGGAGGAGGTGGTAAAAGACATTTTGTTTTAGTTGATAGATACAGGATTTTATTTAATCAAAGTCCTATGTTTGAAAAGGTAAATTTAGCAATTTTTTGTCTTAAATACTAATACTTAATTTGGAAAAACCTAAATTGAAAATGTATTTTTTTATGTAGCCAACCAATTTAATAATATTATAGGTGATTCAAATTATAAATAATTACCCCTTACATAGTTCAAACTTGGCATTGCTAGCTGGTGGAACCAAAAAACGATGGATAATTTGTACAGAAAACATGAAAGTTGGTGATGTCTTAAAATCATCTGGGATTATACCAAGAATGCCTGGTAAATAAAACAAAAAAATTTATTTATATTTTGTCATTTATTTAAATTAAAAATTTATTAAATATGGAATTGTGAATTAATTTGTAATTTTGCCTTAACAGTTTTTTTCACAATCTATATACTAACCCATTAATGACAAATAGGCAAGTATCAAAATAGTAATTATTATCTACTCAAAACCATCTATCTCCATTGTTAATCAAAAAATAAATATAAAATTTCATAGGTCTTGAAAAAATGAACATCAGAAGTAAAAATTTAAATTTAATGTTTTAATTAATAATTCACTAAAAACAATCTTATTCCAAATATTTTGTGCAATAAATAAAATAAAATTTTAGACTGGACTCAGATTTTGAAAAAAAATTAGTTGGAAAAAAAAAATTTGAATTGGGTCAGGCCTTAAAAAATAGTTTTATGCACAACTCCATAGGCCTTACTGGGCATTTTTTAAAATAAAATAAGTAAAGTTAATATTTTTTTAAACTAATAACTATAATTCAAAATTTTTAGAAAAAAAGTGAAAATCTTAGTTTTTATTTAATAAATATAACATAACTAAAATCCTGCAATATGTGGACTTAAAACCTTCAATAAACTTTACTGGGGAAAGGCCAAACTAATAGTCCCCCTCTCCCCTCACTCACAAGATCCTGGATAGCCCATGCAAGGCTCTAATATGCATTCATTCACCAAATTTGAAAAATAATATAAATTGTTTGTGATATTGTTTAGCCTTGCATTAATGCAATGTTTGTCTTTAAAGATCATTGTAAACTACCAATTATTAGCAATAATTTGGTAAAATAACAATTTTAGATATTTCTGTAATTAGTTTGCATCACATCATAAACTTATTTAAATTGCTTCATGAATATTATTTATTTATATTCAGTGAGAGCTATAGAAGGTGAAGCTCACCCACTTGGTGCCTTGCCTGTGGGCACACTAGTGAACAGTGTTGAAATGCGACCTGGCTGGGGATCCAACTGGGCTATGGCTGCTGGCACAGCTTGCCAGATTATTAGACAAGCTTCGGTCCAGGATTCAGGTAAGAAATTTAGTGTATTATATTTTTCATCTATCTGAACTGATGATTTTCTATATTTGAACAAAACCGATACCAAAATGATTGAATTGATTTTGACATCTATCTTTCATTAAATTGTATTTAAAATCAATAATTTTTTTAAACTCATAAATGTAGATGTTTTAAATTTAAATCTGATTTTTTTAAAAAAAAGAGAAGTTTGGAATATATCAGTGTTATTAAAAGCTACTTTTAAAAGTAGCGCACTATTGCTACCGCTATCACAAAAAAAGTAGCGCATTATCTCTACCCCTACCATTTTCAAAAAAGTAGCGTGCTATTAGCTACTCACTACTTTAGAATTTTTTATAAAATATTTTTTACGTAATATAAATTATGAATAAAATTTCAAATATATATAATTTATTTATTTTTTATTGCATCTCAATCATTGTTTACATACTGTCATCTCCAAGTCTAGAGCGACGATCAGTATAAGTTATGGCTAAATAATCGTTCAAAATTAGCACGTAATCCAATATTAAATTTAATATACATATTTTGTATATAAGAAAATCATCAAAAATATTTATTTGATTATTTTTAGATTTAAAAAATGCGTTTAAAGGATTTTCAATAGTATTAATATATATTTCAAAAAAATCATCTATAGTGAGTGGCGTTTTTGATTTTGCTAGGGTCAGTTTAAAATTATAATAATATTAGTTAGATTAAAAATTATGCAGGAGATAAGTGAATGACAATGTTTGCCTTGCCAGGCCACCATCCTTTAACTTTTTATCTTTTGAACCAATTTCTTTCAAAATTGGTTATAATTTGAAAGGATTGAAATAAGTATTTTTTAGCATGTTTTAATAAATTTTTATAAATTTATAAAACGATGAATGGTTAATTAAAAGCATATCTAACATTCATATAATAAATGAGAAAATTATCATTAAATAGATGAGTTTAATTATAAAATAAAATTTTAATATTATTATTTTTCATAATTTTTAATTTATAATATCATTCTTGAATAATCTTATGGCCAGTTGAAGCAAACTTTGTTTGGACTGAGCCAGAAAAAACCAACTTTCACATAAACTCATCTAATTCAAAAACTATTATAAATACAGCTTTGGTTCAAATTTTTTAAAGATTAAGGAATGGACTATTAAATTTGTTTGATATATTACTTTTAAATGTTTCCTCGTTGAAGCTAGAAGTCTTGTTTGATGATAAAACCTTCTGGTACATCTTACAATGAAATTTATACCTTGTGGTAATTTTTTTATCAAAATTAAAATATTTTGTGAATTTAGGAAAAGGAAATTCTATATTATTATCATTTTTCATGGAAATTATTAAACAAAATTATTTTCAATATCAATTTATATCGTCGACATTTTATATTATTTTAAAAACTATTATAAAGTAGATTTTAAAATATAAATTTCAAAATTAAATAACAAGATTATTTTTATAATTAATTATAAATATATTTTAATGATGCTTATGTGCATTTATTATATAAAATTGCTCTTTTTTTAAAAGTAGCGGGCTAAAGATACGGCTACTGAAAAATATAGCGCGCTACTTTAACAACACTAGATTATATATGTTAAAAGCTTGAACGTAGGGATTTATGTTAAAGTTTTTATGCCATCATGTTTGTGAAATCTTTATTCATATTAATGAGGAATACCTTTATATTTTATTTAAATAGAAGGAAAAGTACATTTTATAAATATAAGAAAATTAAATTTATAATTTAAAAAGATAGTCTTATTATAAAATATAAAAATAATTTTAATTTCACAGAATAAGCATAGTTATGGAATACATGTTAGATAAGGAACTTATTGTGAATTCTGTTTTATATCCTAAATGCGCTTCTCATATGCCAAAGTCCATTAATAGATCTTCAAACCGTTTTCTTTATAAAGAAAACCATAGCTCTTCTTTAGTAATTTGTAAAATGTTTAGAAGAACGAAATTAAATATTTTAGATTGAATTTTGCGCTCCAAAGGATCATAGTGAGGGTAGACAGCGTAATACCAGTTAGTATCCAAGCATACTTATAATATTGTTTATATTTATTTGTAGTTCCTCTCTTATATTGTGAGATTTAAATAAACCATTTTATCTATCTCGGAGAACTTTTAGTCAATGCCCAATACTTCTTATAATTTGTGAAGACACCCGAAAATATTCAACATAATTTACCAGATAAGTCATAAATATCAACAAACGATCTTTTAAAGATATAATTTCAATCGCAAAATCTTTGAATATATTGCATCAAATTGTGTCGAACAATGAGTGAAACATCTAATATAAATAATTTAATAACAACACAAATCAGAAGTGTTTAGTAAAATAATGTTTCCGCCTTCCAATAATGGCTTAAATCTTGAGTGGTGAAGATAAAATAGAATTTTTATTGGTGATAATACAGATAAAATTATAATCTTCAATCAACTCTTGGGTGTAGTAGCTTCTTTAACTTGTGAATTTCTTTACCTTTTAGCCTATGCAAAAAAAATAACTAACTATAAACTATAGGCAAACCAGAAATACTTTGAAATTTCTTTTTCTTGGTAAAATGGAAATCATTAGAACCTGTTAATATGAATGAACCTCTTCATATTAAAAAATGGAGTGATTCCATGTCATAGTTTTAACCTAATTCCTTTCAATTTTCTATAAATTGAATGCTGATAAAATATGAATTAAAAAATATAACTAATATTTGAAATTTATTTAAACTGTTTAGGTTTAAAAAAAAACAATTTGCCTAAATATCTCGAAAAAAAACATTGTTATAGGTGGAAAATCCACCTATAAGCACGTCTTAATAGGCCTACCTACCTTGATGTTGCATAATGCATTAACGGCGATTTAGGCCTAAAACCTGGAATGCCTATAATCATTCATTTATTTTTATTGGACGAGACATGAAAAATTTAAATTTTTAATCTTGTAAGTTGTAACATTTTATAAAATAATAATATATTTATTATAATTCAAAAACACCCATTATTTAATAGACTAGCATCAATGTTACCTTTAATTCGACCTATCTAAAAACGAATGCTAACTAACAATTTTAAACGAATTATTTGAATAATTTGTTTATTGGACAAAATATTTGATTAATATGTTAGATTTAAATCAAATTTTTCGAAATAATTATTAATTTTTTTTAAAATAAAATTTAATCATTTCTGATAGGTGGTATTTATTAATCAATTGTTGGAACTATAGGTGTGTAATTACTATATTTTAAGACATTTAAGCCAATTTTTAACTGGCTAAAAAATTGTCTACCGAGTTTTTAATCGAAAACTATCACTTTAGCCTTGAAGTTTTTCTTAAAGTATAGCAGCTCAAATTTGGAAGAAACTAATATAATTTAAAACTCTTTAGCGCCTGTAGATTGGGATGAATTAGCCGTAGCCACTACCCAACTATAGTTGGAACTAATTTTCTGTCAAAAATCGCATGTCTAATAAAAATAAACAATAAGAAAAACTATTTGCCTTAAAAATTGACTGTCATTATGAATTAAATTGATATGCTGTAACAAAGAATATTATCCACATATTTAACTTCCTGGTTATAGGCATTCCTTGTTTTGGGCGTATTCTCAACTGAAATGGATGTCTACCAATGAATTTTACACACTCGTTGTATCTTAATAACTTTTATTTTGAGAAATTTTAAATTCAGGTCATCTTTTCAGTTAAAATATTAATAATTCAAAAAACATGTAATTAACCTCTTCTAATTAAATATTTCTCTTTTTCCATTTAAAAGTAAATGATCATGTAATTCTAAGACTCCCTTCCAAGCAAGAGGTAAACCTGAGCCGAGAATGCATAGCTACTGTTGGCAGATGTTCTAATCCAGAACACAAGCACATGGTCATAGGAGGTCCTTTGCAAAAGAGGTTAAATATTAATTATTCAATGATCAATTTGGAAAAGTTTTTTTTTCGACCATGATTTTCGCAATCTTTTAAACAATTAAAGTAATATTCACTATAGCGTACTTTATTTTGATTGAAATTTATAATTTATATATATATTAAAACCTGTAAAAATAAGATATCTAGGTTATAGGCCAAGGAGTGGACTCTGGCATAGGAAAGACGGAACCTGTGGACGTAAAATAAGACCTCTCCCACCAATACGCATATATGATAAGCTAACCTCGGATAGTGGCTCTAGTGGAGGGCTGGTGAACGAGCTTAAACCTTCCTATCAGTAAGTTCTAAGATGCTTGAAATTGGAAACAACTTTTATAATAACCCTTTATGAATTTTGATAGAATTCCTTACAATATACATTGTATCTGGCCTCCAAAAAAAAGCCGGACTAAGTTTTCAGAATTCCTAAATAACCGACGAATGAATATGATATAAGAAATTGCAAGGATCATTCCACTTCAAATCGACCAAAAAACGAGATTATCGGACAACCATCTTATAAATGAATGAAACTTGGCATGTTAATTATTTATGTTGTAAATTTTAATAAAATCAAAATTTAGAGTGCTAAGTTAACCAGATCCAAATATATACGCCTTCATAGTCGAAAATCGCGCTATGCCTTATTAAATCTTGTTTTTTTGAAAAATACTTATGATAGAATTACAAATTATATATCATTTTATAGCCCTTAAAATTTTACATTTGAAAATATCGAAAATATATTTTAAAATTTCAAGTGTTTTCTTATTTCTGGTAAAAATAAAAAATTAACAATGTAAGGATGGGATTATTTTTGGGTGTTGATATTTTCTAAAAATGTTTATATCTTTATATTAAACTATTTAAAATCTCGATCATTTTTTTAAAAAAATTTTATTAAAATTTTTAATATTTATATAAATAAAAAGATAATATAGATGGCGTTATAATAATAATATTTAAAAATAGGAATTTTATTGGTATTAAAATAAAAAAAATCCATTGAGTATAACCAATATGATTTCCTGAGACAATATGTAAGCAAGCAGCCCATATAGATATGATTATTATAAGGACCTTATATTGTTAAATAAACATATTTTATATTTATAAATTATTATAAAAAAAATTGTTGAATTTCATGAGGCGATAATTCCTACGTCCTGACGCTGTTGGAATCTACTATCGTTATTACAGTGTTATGCAGATATTTTTTAATTTATTTGCAAATAAAATTATTTGAGTTGCAAAGGATTTTTACAATAACATATTTATTTATTCTTATCAATTTTTGCAAATTAAATAATTTTATTTACAAACGAATTAAAAAATATGGAAATGTTTTCCATTAAATTTGCATAACACTGTATTTGATTAGCGGGCATTTTTCTTAATCTTGGGGTAAAAAAAGGATGGTGATAGTCCATAGGAATGTAAAAAAGAAATATATTATTTTTTATTATGTGGCTAGCCACCAAAAATCGTTTAAATATACATAATCGGTCTTTTATTTACATGTTGAACCAGTCTTTTTTTTAAACATTTTTTTATGACGATTTTTGGTGGTTAGCCACAGTACTAATAAAGAATGAAATTCCTGATATATTTCTTTTTTACAACCCCGTGGACCGACAATCTTCTTTTACCCCACAAGTGACATTAAATAATAACGGTAGTAGATCTCATCAGCAACAAGATATGCCTATAAATTATGGCCTCAGGTGATTCCATTAATTAGCACAAAATGGAATATGATAAAGATAATTAAAATATTTTTTTTTCTAATAGTTTGTATTTAAAATTTTAAGAGATGTTTATTTTACAATATAGTTTCCAAATAATAATTCTATCTGTATGGGCTACCTTTTTACATGTCTCCCCAAGACATCATATTGGTTATACTCAATGGATTTTTTTTATTTTAATACTAATCATTAATATTTTTTTTAAATATATAATGTTATAATAATTTTTTAATATAACGCCATCTATATTATCTTTTCTATTTATAAAAATAATAAAAATTAAAAAAACAAAAATGTTATCGAGACTTTTTATCAAATAGCCTAATATAAAGGTAATCAACATTTTTAGATAATATCAACACCCCAAAAAAATCCCTTCCTAACAATGTTAATTTTTATTTTTTACCTGAAATAAGAAAACATTTGAAATTTTTTACTTTTAAGGGCTATAAGATGATATATAATTTGTAACTCCGTCTTAATATTTTTTTTAAAAAACAAGATTTAATAAAATGAAGCATTGCGCGATTTTCGACTTTGAAGGCGTATATCTATCTTTGGATCTGGTTGAGATACGCTTTGAAATTTTGATTTTATTGACATCTAAAACTTAAATAACTATCATGCCAAGTTTCATTCATTTTTAAGATGGTTGATATGATCATTGGTCTATTTGCTATGGGATTAGCCTACAACTTGTTGATAGGATTTTAAATGCGATTCAAATATAGCAATGGAATATTTTGTTTGTAATGAAATAAATAGCGTTGAGTTACTTGTTATCATGAATCTCTTCTTTTTGCCTCAATTTATTTAGAGATTTTTTTCCCCATTATTGCAATGTGCAAGGCTTGTTTGATGATGTTTGTGATTATATGCTTATAATACAAATTTCAATTAATAGATAACAATAACGAATTAAATATATGTTAACTTTTAATTATTTATAGAGTATATATATTTTTTTAAATATCTTATGTCTAAATCAATTTCCTTCTTGGAAATTTATTTATTTCTTTTAGTGCCACGAACAAGTTCGCAGATATGGATAAAAAGGACAAAAGGTACAAAAATTATATGGCGCTCCAAAAAAGGATGCAATACAAGCGGAAAAATTTGCTTATAGCCTATTACAATAATTTAAATTCTCGGCCTTATATATCTCCTGCTGAAAAATGTCGACTAATATCGCTAACCCCTAGATTTATAAATTTGGATAGATGAAAATATGCATATATTTATATATATACTAACTTCATGATATTATTATCTTTATGAAAGGATTTTAATTTTTTGACCTGATGCAGATTATGATAACATATCTTAGGATAATATGATTCGTTGATAATAAATACGTAGTATTTAGATTTAAATCGTTTTGATTTATGCTTTATAAATAACTTGGTTAGGTCTAAATGTATATTTACTAGGGATATCAGGTTATAAAAAAAGGTTAATTTATATAAATCTAAGCTTCCTGCTAGGGCTATTCGATATATTGGCATCGATATTAGTTATTATAAAGAAAGATTGGATCTGCTATATCATTTTAAAGCTGATTTTTGAATTTTTATAAGAAAGAGACATGAAAGAGATGTACAAGAACAAAAATGCTTATTATCATTTTAAAATGAATTCAAAAATTAAAATTTGCAATAATATTGGCAGATTATTTTTTCCATACATTATGAAATGAATTTTCTTTCTTCTGGGCATAAGCCTTGACCTACCAGAATTTAAGTAGAGTTCATTTTAAAATAAAATAGAAAGCCGCTTTGGAATATTTATTTTTTAAGAAAAGTTAATGGAAATATTCTGATTATATTTTTAAAATAAACTCAATTAAAATATTAATATTAACAAATAATTTTTTAACTATCAAGTTAGTATCAGATCGGTGATTATTTAATATCGAAACTTATTAGCTAAAAAGTTGCGAATCGGAAAGCCTTACTTCATGCCTTTCATAGTTTAAGGCTATTTAAGATTTTATGAAAGTTAACCTTTTTTTGCTATTATTATACGCAGGATAAATTGGCAAATACAGGGTAGAATGGCTCAAATTTAAACCACAAAATATTTTACTGTCTAAATTAGTATATATATTAATCTAAAAGATTTAGAGCTATTTTTCAAAATCAACTGTATAAAATATAATTTTGTTCTTGAAGTTAAATAAGTAAAAACTTTATTTATTTATATTTTAATATAATATCAAACATTTGAAGCAAAAACTATAAATCAATTATCAAATATTATAAATAATTTTATATTAACTAAAAAGTAGACAAATTTATATTCGTGATTAATAATGTTTATAATATTTAAATTAATATGCAATTATTAAATATTTAAATTATATAATATATATACAATTAAAACATTTTAGAGCCCATTTATATCCAACAGTTTACACATTTTATAGAATTCTAATCTTGATTACAATTAATGTCGATTTTTGTTGAGATGACCTGATTAATCTTTTTTATATATTTCTTTTTCGTTATTAACTTAATATTAACCTTTTGATTTAAATTGATCTTTCGTTTATATAAATTGCTAAATTAATTTTTCGTTAAATTTATTTTTCTTTTATATAAATTGATTTTTACAAGCCATATAAGCATGAAAATATATTAAAATTTCTTATATGATTGTAATATGAATTGATAAATAAAATCACCTAAATTTGTTACCTATTACCAGTAAACCTAGAAAACTTCATGGTGGCAGCGGTGGGATGTGTTCAATTCTATGATCTTCGTAAAATTTAGTAAGGTTAATACCATTATCACTGACTATTTTATTGGGTATACCAAATAAACTGATTATTTTCATCAAAACTCAGTGGTTATGTTTCTCATTCTTCTAATAATAGGGAGTTTGCTAAGTGCTTCAACACATACCATAAAATTTCTATCTTTAAATTGGACAAAGTCGATGTGCACGCGTTCGAATACTTTTGTTGTTGTTTCCCAAGAGTTTTGTATATTATGACTATGAGGATTATCTGCATATTTAACATGTATCACAATTTTTCACCTCCTGATCTATTTCAGCGTTTAAAAGGGCACCACAAATAATCTTTCGCCAAAGTACCGGATTGTTTGTCAAGATTACCCCAAATGAACACAGAAGAGATAGTACAATAAATGGTGAAATAATTAATGAAAAATTTTGGGACTTTCCAATAAATTTCAAAAGAATAGTTCAAGAAACTAGTATTGATATAGAATTAATGGAAGTAATTAACAATAAAAAAAAATGAACAGATAAAGAATAAAATATGTAAATGGAACTGAGCTTAATTAACAATCATTGACGAGAGATTATTTGTGGTAGCCTGGTTTAAACTCTGAAATAGATCAGGAGCTGAAAAATTGTGATACATGTAATAAATATGCAGATAATCCTCATAATATACAAAACCCTTGGTAAACAACAACAAAAGTATTCAAACGCATGCACATCGACTTTGCGCAATTTTATGGTATGTGTTGACGCACTTAGCAAATTCCCTATTATTAGAAGAATGAGAAACATAACCACTGAGTCAACAATTAAAGAATTAATAAAAAGGTATACCTAATTTAATAGTCAGTGATTATGGTACTAACTTTACAAGTAACTTATTCAAGAAATTTTGCGAAAATCATGGAATTGAACACATTCTCACCGTGCATAACCACCAAAAGTTCAATGGTCTTGTGTGAGCGAATGATAAGATCAATGAAAATAAGCATGAAAAGTAATATGGAAATAAATAATAAAATAGACTTAGATATAGCTTTAGAAAAATTCTTATTTAATTATCGTAATACACCAAACGCAATAACCAACAAGATACCAAGCCAGCTATTATAATTTTCACCTTTATAATTATATTAATACTCTTTTCAGAGAAATTATAAGGGTAACTGAAATTAATCTATCTCTACCAACTTTCGATATTTTGTGAATATAAAGAATTTATTTTTTAGATAATAATTTCAATTAAAACCTCCATTATTTACAAATGAATTAATTATTATGGCATTATGAGCGCTGATATATCTAAACTTTTTAAATTACATTTAAAAGGATAGCAGAAGGTTTTATTTGGAAAACAATGTGTATGATTGTTTGCAATATATAGATAATAATTTTATAATAAAAGTATTAACTTTTACAGCAATAAATTGTGTTTTTATCCACGGCTGCTGTCTTTTCCTCGAAGTCGATATCGATGCCGAGGTAGCAGATTTTGCCCGTGGGGATGGTGATAATTTCATTAAATATTTCAGATTTTCGAATAGATTTATTTATCATTTATATTCATCTCAAAATTTAATAGATAACCCCTCAAAAAATTTATCCTACCCCGATTCAAGCAGCCTACCCCCTCAAAAAATATAATGCAAACTGTTCCTACCCTCCCCCCCCCCCGCTCATGTAGACGCTGTACCAAGCGAAGTGATGCTTAACAGAACTATAAGAGATGGGATTTAATTAAACCACAAGAAGATAAAGTGAATGAATTTAATCGTAATATATCGTCAAATAGAAATATCATTAATGGTGAAAAGTTTGGTATAAAACTTTCAAGGATAGTATATGGGACAAAGGAACGGTAAAAGCAAAAATGGGAATTTATTATATGAAGTAGATATTGGAGAATTATTAAAAGACATTTAGACCAAATCAAAAAAAGATCAACGAGTATCATACCTCTTAATAATGAAACGAAACATTTGAAAACATATGATGTTTAGAGGTCGAATAGAAATAAAACGTTGCCTGCGCTATATGAAGATCATGAGTTTATAAGATTCACATACAAGAAGAACCTGAGTGGAGTTCATTTCTTAAAGGGTGGAATGTTGAGATGACCTGATCAATCTTTTTTATACATTTCTTTTTTGTTATTAACTTAATACTAACCTTTTGATTTAAATTGATTTTTCGTTTATATAAATTATTAAATTGATTTTTCCATTATATAAATTGATTTTTACAAGCTAATAAATGAAAATATATTACATTTTTAGTAATTTTATAAATTTCTTATACGATTGTAATTTGAATTGATAAATAAAATCACCTAAATTTGTTATTCCTATTACCAGTAAACCTAGAAAACTTCAACTTTTATTATACCATTTAGTTTATTTATTTAACATTTTACATTTATGAAACGATTTAGTTTATATTTTTAAACTTAAATATTCAAATGATTTTATATTAATATAAATAGATCGTTTTTAAAGGCATGCTTCGGACCTATCCTTCAGTCCGACCCAATTCGATATATTTCTCCAATTGATCCGAAATTTATTTCAAAAAGCACATTTTTTTTGAAAAATGGTGGTGACAGTAGCGCGCTTCTATTTATGAGGATGACGAAGTCGCTTCAATTAAAAAAAAATATTTACTTAAATGTAAATTAATTTATAATTTCATAATTACACCTAAAAATATATTCATATAATTTTGATGATTAAATATATTTCGAAATATAAATTATATTATTTATAAATAATTAATGGAAAAGATTAAGTAAATACTATTTTAAAAATAATTAGGAAATTTTATCATTAAAAAATCCTTTATTTCTGCAAATTGTAAAAAGATATTAATGCCTAATCTTGCTGTACTCATTTGCTTTTCAAAAATTCATAAATCAAATATACCAGTTCCATTACTTAAGAGATAAGCTTAATTTTTATCAATTATTCATTAAAAGTTTTAAAAAATCTTAAAATGTGATATATACAAAGTTTGATTTTCCCTTGATTGATATTTTTTTATTCATTTAGTAATTGAAATTATATAAAGTAATTAGGAATAACATGTAAACACTTATATGACAACATATTTAGAAGAAGAAAAAAATTATTTTTGTTAAAAATAGTCATCCTCCTCTGGTGACGGCCATGAATTTTTAAATTATTTAAAATTATAACGTAATATTTCATAAATGATTTTTTGTTTAATCAGGCCTTTGAGATTGTTGTATTATGGCTCTTTTGGCTAATTAGTTTGATTAGGGATCTCTTTCCCAAATGAGCAGTTTGTTGAAATAGCAATGGGTATATATATATATAAATATATTGTCAACTAGATGTAAATATTTTTGGGATTTCCATTTTTACATTATAACTAAGGAATCGTAATTATTATTTGATGAGGCGAAAATGTCTATACATGTGAAGTCCCAATATAAGTGTTTCACTATATCCCAAGGGATTAACATATTCCCATCGGGCCGCGAGTTATTAATAACAGAAGTATCCCGTGGTTCGAGATATGAAAGAACATCGGCTTTGAATAATGAATCTTGGATTAATATTAATTCTTTCGTGCCGTGCCTTACATATTTGTATTTGTTCACATGACATTGTCGATGTCTAGCTTTAAAATCAACTATTACCCTATATCTTTTAAAGGGGGGAGATATGATATGTCTAGCCAAGCCCGATAGCCAAAGGATTTCTAAATTTGGTCTATATATTTATCTAAATTATTAAAATACAAGTGATTCATATTGTTTCCCATAATTTTAGTATTTAAGAAGTACAAGAGCTAGTTTACATAGTCAAATCGATTATAAATAGAACTTTTTCATCTATTGAAAATATGAGAAGATTTTAAGAATCCCTTGTTTACTATAATATTGAAAGAATGAATATGGCACTACAATCCTTTGCCGACAATTATTTAAAAAACATAGTAAATCCAATTATAATTTTTTTTTATAAAGTAAAGTTACTATGAAAATGATATTTATAGCACACATGCCACTTCCTTTTTAAACAAGTAGCCGTAGCGCGTTATTTTCAAACGTCTCTAGGCAGGAACATTATTAGCCTTTACAACATCACCGGGCTCAAAAAAAGTTTTCTTAGTGGGGGAGGGGGTATAAACATTTTTTTAGGAAGCTTTTCTTTCTTTCTTCTACAAAGCAATCTTGAGATTGTCACTAATTCAAAAAAATTTTATATCATGAATATTTTGAGTTGTCTCCAGATCACGAAGATTTCTGTTTTATCTGTATATGATCAATTAATTTGTCATTTCTTCTATGGAAAAGGGATGTACAATGATCCAAGATTTATCCTTTTTTGAGTATTTTCGGACATTTTAAAAATGGAAAACATAAATATGTTATAAATATTTTGTTTAAATATTGAATGGATAAAATAAATGTATTTAAAAAAATACCCAATATGATAGGGGGGGATTGGATACAGAATTTTCTAATTGAAGCCATTTTTCAAATTTAATAGAGCCCTTACTCACCTTGTTGTAAGAGCCAGTCGGTGTAAGTGTACTTTCACCGTGTTCGAGCCCTTAATTTTAAATTATCCGTATACCATTAGAAACTATAATAATTAATATTTAAAGATTTTTTCTTCTAAAATTTAAAAGAGATTTGTTTCGATTTTCAATGTGGCCATTTTTTTTTTAAATCAAATAAATGCTCCACTTTTTTAAAAAAAAATCTGTCATAATTCTTAAATGGCTGAAGAAAAATAAAATATTTTATTTTGATAAAGGATTTTATTTTGTATAATATCCTAAAGGCTCATTAAAATTTGATATATTTTTATTTTGATAAATTTTGTGCCAAAAAGAAATTCATGGCGGTCTTTCTTTATACTTCAAGATTATTTCTAAAATTATTTGCCAAAAAAAAAGATTCATAGATTAATGACCACTTCTGGAACCTGCTAAGTTTATTAAAAATTATTTCAGAATTTTTTTTGAGCGCTAATCATCTACTTTATATATTGCATCAAAAACCCCGTCTTTTTTACAGTTAATTCGGTATATTTCATTTTAAAAAAAAACAACTATATATATATTAATAAATACTTTAGAAATTAAATATATGATTCCATTGCTTATAACGATAAAAATGTTCACTTAACTGTAGATAGACTTAAAAGCGAAGAAGGGAAAAACAGAAAAAATCCTGGGAATTGACTAGGGGCGGATGTATTTAAAAATATATTAATTATAGAGGTGAGTTTCTAAGAAATAAATTGTTGAAAAGTATTTGTATCTATATTTCAATGCAATTTTCAAAATATTCCTATAATCCTGATTATTTAAAATTAATCGTAACTTATAAAATTAAATAATGGCTTTTATAAGAAATTCAATTGCCTAAGCCCAAAAAAAAATCCAGATAAAGGCAGGGAAAAAAGAAGAAGGAAATCCAGATTAGCAAAAAAATTTCAAAGAAAGAAATAATGTTAAAATTAGCAAAAATAAAATTTAAATAGCAAATAAAGGAAATCAAAAACAATGCACATAATTGCACAAGAAGAAAAATTTAATGACCCCTAACCCCCTAACAAGCTGATGAAAGGGGGTGGGCGAAACTTGTCAGACATCTACTAAAGGTTAAAATGGGGGGGGGGAGGGGTAATTCCACATATTCTCCAATTTTAATTTTGCAAACGAGGGTGATTTACTATGTTTATGAACTAAAAATGTAGATCCAAAAGTCCTTTAATACCTTAGTATAATAAAAATTTAACGAAGAAATGTTTAAAAAACAACTAATTTATGCATTTAAAAATACTTGAAGATCGGCAATTGGAAATTTATGGTTTAATTATTGAAGGGATTTATTACAGAGCTAAAATTTTATTTTACTATCAAACAATTAGTAAATTCCGTCCCGATATGAATTTTTTGAGCAGATAAAAATTCAATGTTATTCTTGAAGGTTTTAAAATTTAAAAATTTACCACCAAGTTTCCTTGAAAATGATAACTAAAATGTTATCAAAACGTTGGATATAATAAAATGATTTTTTCTCATATTTTCTATATCAATACAAAAGCATTTTATCAAAAATTTGTATACACTGTGCCGGATAAAAAAACTTTTTTTTAATCCTTGTCTCACGATGCTATTGTATTGGTACTTTTGCAAAATTTCAGAAATAAATTTTACAAGTAAAAAAAAATATTTGAATTTACAGTTTTGCCTCCGCCTAGGGGAATTTCTAGATATCCCCTTCCCTACTGTAATATATAGCTTGAAAAAAGATAAGGTTATTTATTTTTTCTTTCTTCTTTTTAAAATCATATTATTTATTATTCCATTCTTTTCTTTTATAAAAACCATAATAATAATATAAATACATTTACATACAATATTTTTTAATAATTTTTTTTTCACAAGATTTTCTATTTTCTTTTATAACTTTATAATACTTTTATTTATTTATTGTCTTGCAATTTTTATATATTCTTTTTATTGTTATCAAAAATAAGAAAAATGCCTTTAAGGTAAAAAAATAAATAAGTAAACTCGGTTACATGCAGGTAAGAAAAAAATAAATATTATATTTAATTTATATATTTTTTTTTAAAAAAAAACATGACAATATCATCATTCTATTATTTATAAAAAATAAATTAATAATAAAAATATTAATATAAAAATAGTAAAACTAAAATTACTTAATAATAGGGGTATTTGTCATATTTAATTTATAAAAGTGTTCAAAAATCAAAAAAAAAGTATCTATTGGTGGCTTTTGTTTTTATTAATTTTTATAATTCATAAATAACAAAACAAGATAACATAAATGATGCTGAGATAGGGATATTTGTTTTGTTTTGTAAGAAGATTTCAATTTAAAATAAATATATCTGTGTGTATTTTGACAATTGTCATACACATTAAAAAAAAGAAATATAATTATTATAAAAGTATATAACGGTAATAATAAAATTTTTAAATTGTGGATTGAAACATGCATATGGGAAAGTCATTCTTATAAAATCATCTTATTATCATTTCTTATAGATATTCTAATTTCAACAAAAAATCACTATTCCGAAAATCTTTTTATCGAAGTAAAACTGTTTGTAAATTAGAGAAATTTTCTTTTCACTCATGCCTATTTTTTTGTTTTCATTCCTTCATGAGTTTTTTATTTAGGTATGCTTATGGTGATATTCTTAGAACATAAAAATAATAATCCTAATTCCTAACACCTTACTTTACTAATTTTAGCAGCGAAGAATTAATTTAATTTTATGTAATTTATATGCAATTGGAAATTTTAAAAGTTGGGTGAATATTAATTATTATAATATTTTAGTAATTTTCAACATTTTTTAAAATCCAAATCTACTATTAATCATAACAATAGATTAATGAATATAAGTTGATAGTCTATTGAACTTTTTCTTCTTTTATTTTAAAATATATTGTACTTACATTATGATAATTTGGAAAATAAAAAATATATTATATAAGAATGGATAATTCCCCAAAAATCTGTATTTTTGTTCTAGAAAAATGTTCTGATTTTACAGGTTATATTTTTTTAAAAACTTAAAGTTCCGCTTGGCGTTCAGGGGAAAAGATACAAACATAATTTATTAATTTAGAGTTTTATTTATTTTCCTTTTCTCGGCAATATCAGCCGGATTAGAATTAGCATTTCTGGAAAGGAAGAGGCGCACGCAAATTTTCAAATTATGGATTTGACTAAAGACCAAGATACTAAAGTTATGCCATCATCTGATAATAAATTTGTAGCCTCCAGAGTTTTCAAGCAGTCAGGCTCAAATTTAAAAGGTTCTTTTAGGATAAAGGAGGAATATTGTGTTGTCTATCAAACGTGATGCCAAAAAATGAAAAAAGAGATAAGGTTTAATGAATATAATGGAGGTAATTGTGAGAAATACTTATTTAAAATCTCCCAAATTTCTTATTTAAAATATTTTTTTGGTAAAAATGAATATTGGAGTGAAAGTATTTCCTCTAAAATATCTTACAATCCTGATAAGCCTTTAAAAAAACTTTTTCACAGAGGTGAATCCCTTAATTGTGAAATAATAAGACTTATTTCCCTTTCCTCTATAATTTTAAACCCAAGAACTTCGAAAGAGGATTTGAAGTTATAAAGAATATTTCACTAATTTGTGTATTAATTAGTTTTTTAAATTTAAATAATCTAATTTTTCCGGAAATGGTCTGTCACGGTAGAATACTTACTATAAATTTTGAACAATTCATAATATTCTTCGTCATATTGGGAGTTAATATATTAAATAAAATACAGATATAAATATTATTGGTCTAATATTATTGAGCCTCCTAAAAAAATAAATTTCGAGTCACAAACCTGATATCAATTTTTTTTGCATTTACTGGTTTGACTTATTTTTGAAACTTAATACTGCTAAATAGCTTTTGAAACAGAACATCCTATTTTGGTTTGTTTTAAGTTTTTGATGGCATTGTTATTTTTCCTATTTTTTTCTCATCTTTTTGTTTTTTCCGTTTTTTTTTTAAATTTCTTTTATTTTTAGGCTGTTTTGTTTAGTCGAAGCTGAATAGCCGGCTAGAAATGGCTGATTAGTAATAAGTCGAACCAAAACACAGCCTTACGACTTGTTTAATTAAGCCAAAAAATGATCTAACAATATACTTTACTAGCTAATAACCCGTCAAGAATGACGGGGTTGAGGGGTAATTAGTTAATTTGTGTATATGGTACTAAATATGTTTTATATTAAAATTTAGGAGAAAAAGAGGTAAAATTGTTGAAATGTAACCCGTGAGCATCAAGGGTATTAGAAATATAAAAATTTAAATTTGTGATAGGAATCATATTGGGTAAAATAAAAAATAGAGATTCTTCAAAATTTTTGAATTTTAAATATAGGCTAGACATTGGCCTCAAAATTTTGTTTTGCAGACACAGCTAGGCCTGATCAAAAAACCACGTCCCATACAACTTTCCCAAAATTTTGCCATTTATTTCTATTGTAAATTAATAATAATGTCTTAAATTTAATTTTATATTTAGAATAAAATTTAAATTTGTGATAGAAATCTGAATAAAATTTAAAAAAGAGATGCTTGGAAATTTTTTAATTTTAAATATGGGGTAGTCATTGAATTTTTTTTGCAGACATAGCCAGGCCTGATCAAAAAACCAAATCCCATGCAACTTTCATAAAATTTTGCCATTTATTTCTATTGTAATTTAATAACAATGTCTTAAATTTAACTTTTATATCACATTTAGTTCTATTGTAATTTAATAACAATATCTTAAATTTAATTTTATATCTAGAATAAAATTTAAATTTGAGATAGAAATCATGTTGGGTAAAATTTTGAAAATTTTTTAATTTTAAATATGGACCACACATTGGCCTGAAATTTTTTTTCTCAATGGCTAACCCATAATAATTTTGTTATTTTTTCCCAAGCCTGGAGATAGGTAAATCACTGAAAACCATATTGTTGGGAAAATTTTCTCAAGCCCGCCAAAGACCATAATAATTTTGTTAGTTGAGAACTGAAATAAAATATATAAAAGTCAATTCATTTAAATATAAAATCAGAATATGAAAGTTGCATGGGCTTGGTTTTTTAATCAGACCTGACGATTTCTGCAAAAAAAAATTTGAAGCCAATGTCTAGCCCATATTTAAAATTAAAAATTTTTCAAGCATTTCTATTTTATATTTTACACAATATAATTTCTATCACAAATCTAAATTTTATTCTAAATATAAAATTAAAATTAAGACATTTTTATTAAATTACAATAAAAAATAAATGGCAAAATTTTATGAAAGTTGCATGGGACTTGGTTTTTTGATCAGGCCTGGCCTGGCTATGTCTGCAAAAAAAAAATTTTCGGCCAATGTATAACCCATATAAAATTCAAAAATCTTAAAGCATCTCTATTTTAAATTTTATCCAATATGATTTCCATCACAAATTTAAATTTTGATATTTCTAATACACTCACGGTACATTGCATTTTACCTCTTTCTTTCCTAAATTTTAATATTTATATAAAATTTATTAATAAAGTGTATTAGTACCATACACACAAACTAAATAATTACCCTTCAACCCCGTCAGCTTATGGTAATAAACGGCAGAAATTTAAAAATATTAGCTTTTAATTAATATATTTTAAATTTAATTATATTCAAGTTGGTGCATACTTAAAACATACGACTTTGAAACGGGAGGCTTGTGTTCGACTCTCGTAGAGAGCAAAAAATAACATTACACTATATAGTCTCCATAAATTTTAAATTTAGGAAGATACGAAAACGATCATGTTTTGATTATGGAGATTATATATATTAGATATATATTAGATTTGTATATTATCTTTGTATTTAAAAAATTTCCTTCTTTTTCCCCAAAGTTTATAGCTGCTTAACTATATTTGTAAACAATGGGATTTAGAAAATTTGGCATAGATAAATGACGAAGTATATTATTGAGAAAAGTTAATCATTACTGGAGCAAATGATTTTTATTCGAGAGTCTATAAGTGATTATAAATTGAATTATGGTCTGCGAGAATAATACCATTGATCATTTAAAACGCAAAAATAAATTGACTGAAAGTAACAATTGCTTAACTCATCCCATAAAATAATTAAATTAAATAAATGTGCAATTCTCGGGTATAAGCTCTTACTTTAGCTAGCTCTTTTTATCTCGGCTCATAGAGTTTCAAATGAGAGTCTGCTGACTTTTGCGCATATAAATAAGGCTTGTCTCCAAACGTGTAATGGGTTTTACATCTACAATTTTTCCTTAAAATTGTTTCATTGTTTGATGGAAATGAAGAATACCTGTAGCTCTTTTGTATTCACAACTCATAGGCCTATCCAGGATTTTATTAAGAAGTGGAGCACTATCATGTGGGGAATAACTTCATAAATTGTATTGGAGGTTTTTAGATCCTCTTATTGTAGACCCTTTGGCTATATTATATTTTTATAAAAATAATTTTGAGGTTTTACTTATTTTTTTTTATAAAATTATTTTTTTTCTAAAAATTTTGAATTGTCATCATTTAAAAAGTTATAACTTTTACTAATTTTTCTTACAAATTCTTATTTATTCTAATATAATTTTATATATTTTTGACGAAGTTGGGGGGGGGGGGGGTATTGACGAGAATAAGCAAATTTGCGATTAAATGTTCCCCACCCCTTGGTTGTGCACCAATCCTAACTAGAGGACGAAAGGTTTTTTATCACGTGTCACTTAATTTTGGTCAATGAAAATAATATCATTGATTATTTCGTAAAAGTAAATTGATTAAAAATTGTTCCAGTGGCTAAAAAAATATGTTCAAGTCCTTTCCCACCCCCACAATTATTTTTACAAAGATGCCACCAAAATAAAATAACCTATATATGCATAATCAAATGGTCCTTTAAATATAGCTTTTTAAAATGCCAATTCCTCTTTAAGAAATATTCTGAAGGAAAATGAGCTATAAAATCTCCTAAAACTAAAAAAAAAGTAAAAAATAATTCCTTGATCACTAAGAATCGGGTAAAAGATATCACCAAAAATTATAGCATCAGTTAGGTTTTTAAAAATAAAATGCCTTTTTTTTATAATTTGGCGAATTTCGCAAAAATACCCATCTCTCCTAATTAATTGTCAATGATTGTTTTTTTTTAAATTTTAATCATTATTTGTTTATGTACATTTTTGTTTTAAATTCGTTTTTTAACAAAATGGAAAAAAGGATATTGTGGGATCAACATACAAGATAAAATAAAGATAACATGTGGGGGAGATTGAAAGGATAGGCAGGGGGAGTAATTTGTCACGATGATTAAATAAAATCTGTTAGACCATAATTTCGTAGTTAAGAAGTATGTGGATGGGTAGGGTGCAGGATAGTGTTGTTAAACGGCAAACGGCTAACTCAATACTTTATCCAGAACAATATTTAGCAAGCCTGAAGATTTTGCTCATAAAAGGAATAAAGATCTAGACATCTATTAGCGAAATCTCGAGGCTTTAGACAATATTTTTCTGGCCAAAATATTGAGTTAGTTAG